TTGATTTTCGTTTCCGTTTGGCACGCAGGCGCCAATGTGTCTTGCGATTAATCCTCGCTGGCGGCTTTGTCGCAGAATATCTTCCTATACAGGACCTCCTGCCCTTCAATGCCTTACTGGTATTCATAAAAGTTTGCCGGAAAAAAAATCCCCCAAAAACGAAACCGAAACAGACACGCATCTAAGAAGTAGAAAGAGAAAACTTTTGCAATTCCATATCATATCATCACATCATCATTGCGATGATAATGCCGCCTGTTTTATGTTCACATATCTTTACAGTGTTTGTCCAGGAGGGTGGGGGTGAGTGACAACTCGGTTATATCAGTATGTTTGTCCCATGTCTATGGCTCTTTTATTTAGTTTTGCAGTTTGAAATTGTGTTCCTCTGTTGGTTGTCTCGCCAATGGGTTTTTGATACGGTTTCGATATTGATTTTAGATTGCGGAGCGGCTTAAAGCACTCTGAGACCCTTAATGCTCTTGGGAAGAGTTTAAAGAGCCTCAATATTAACGCATAATATTTCACTTGATTGATCAAGATGGTCTAGGTCATTACTAGGCCATTATCTAATCAATTACGTCTGCCATTAGGTTCTATCAATTTCAATGATTGCCCCAAGTCCGGGGCCCCACGTTGAGATTTCATGTACACGCGCCAGAAATCACATTTGAGAATCCAATCAATACTATACTGCGATCGTGATTCGTTTCCAAATTGATTTTTAAACCGTTTGCCAATTTAATGGCAACTGTCAATGATCTTTTTGGGTAAACAGTGCTCGAATATCATCTGCTGGCATCTCTGAAAGCTCAAATTGTTTAAACAATTAATTAGTCTTGGGTAAACAGTATTGCAGACACCAGATCCCCATCACCATAAATTTTCAATCTTGATTTGTTTAGTCTTTGGCCCACTCGGAGCAAAAGTGTTTACAAATTGGCCAAACAGACAGCTCCCAAAAAAAAGACCGAGTCTGAACCAAACCTACTGGCAATTTTTTTATCCCTCATATTGGACAGTTCAAGGCTGTGTTGCCGGGTTTATACAAATATGAGTGGGATTCCAGATGTAATATTTATTCAATCCATCAGATTCTTAGCACGTTTTCCGCCCACTCGCAAAGTGTTACAGATCAGCACCTTTGCAAATCAATAAAATCCAAACAATTTCCGCCGCATTTCGGAATTCGAATTTCAGTAATTTAATTACCCAGGCAGTCATTTATCAAATCATTAAACTTCTTAGAATTTCGAAGAATTAAATAATCATCTTCTCTTTATAGAATCAGCTTTAATGCAGGATCTTGTTATGCCGAAAGCTGTACACATATATTTTAACCACTGGTTTTGGCCAAAATTCAATTTAACTGCCTAGCCTGGTTGGCAGCAATTAGCCGAATGAATGGTAACCTGTTTGTTGGGCGAACCAAAAAAAAAATTGGGTTGCCGGAGTGTAGAGTGTCGTTTCAAAAATTTATATCTCAATTTCACATCTAAATGCGAATAATCTTTTTTTTTTATTTCCATGCCGAAGTGGTCGGGTGGGAGACTAGCTGTGTGTTCATTTGATTTGTGTGTGAGAATCGCTGCAGCTGTCTGGCATTGGGGCGCTTGTACTTTCCACACCCCACCGCCCATTCAGAGTTTAGCCTTTCCCCATAAACTGATACAGATCAGACTCTTTTACGATTTTTTTTTAGGTTTTTATTGACGTTTTTGGTGCCATTTTTTTTTGTTAAGTCGCGGCCAGCCGCAAACCTTTAAAATGTTTTGAGTTTGATTTAGAAAAAAGGAATTAGATTAAATGATGAGTGAATGACTTTAACAAACTGCTTCAAGGCTGAATATTTATAGAGTATGATCCCTTTTTTTTAAAGCTTTCCTCTAAGGAATCTCTAGGCTCTTTTAAATGACACTTGTTCGCAGATATTAAGGACAACCCAGTTAGCGGCACATGTCGCGATTCAGCTTCTCCATAAGCCGCTCAAATGGCCCAATGAAATATGCATATTTGATACGAGATGACAGCGCTTCACGAGATACATAGAGGCAGGGCTTGCCCTCCTTATAACAGGGGGAGCTGACTGATAGCGCCTGAAGTCACCCCATCGTGGCTTTCAGGAATACTCTCATATGAGGGGAATGAAATGAGCTGGGAGATTTAATATATTTTAGTGCTTCGGTTCCCTTTTTGTCTATCTCTGGCAATTATTCATATAAATTATAAAGAAATGATTCAGAACAAAGTCGGCTAGGCATTCATAAATAAAAGTTTTTCTATAATAATTGTAATTGGTCATTCCGCTTTCCGCTGGAAATATCTTTAACTACAATTTCCCCCTCAACGATCGATCGATATTGGGTCACATTTTTTGCAATTGAATATTCCTAGAAACTTCATTGTGTTTCACGCTCGTTGCACATTAATTGTACAGAATAAGGGCCCACATATCCTTGACTACCGGATCGGCACACCCCATAAATACATGAAAATATTCATTTCTCTGGCTTTTGCTCATTTGCCGCTTCTGGGGAGCAACTAGATTCAATGGAAGCCCAGTTTTTCCATTCCGATTGCTTTTCATGTGCTTGCCATGGGTGCGAATTGTGGAGGCGACGATGGGATGACCTACATACGCATAACTACAAATGCACTTGGGGAAAAGTCTCACAAAAAATATATATATATTTAATAATTATGATTATGAAAAGTAATCACTTCTTAAGGTTATGAAAACTCGATTTTACATTTATAAACCAAAATAATTTAAAAACGAAAACTACTATAAATTTATGTAATATTTTTTCCCCAAATTATCCTCCTCTTCAGCTGAGTAGCCTCGGATAATGCATCTCCTTGGTAACCCATGGCACGTTTTGGGGCCCAGACTTCCTTTAAGCCCCCGGGCAGGTCGACATGTGGTCGCAGTCACCGAGTCGCGTACATATAATATCTCTCTCGATTTAATAGGCCCAATTAGTTAGATGAATTGAGAATGTTCGCAATGCTGGCATGTTCTTTTGGCTTTTTTTTTCTCTGGCCGAGATTTAAGGTTATGAATATTCAATGAAGTGTGTGCCATAAATTATGAATGCCGTTTGTTTGCATTTTTGCCTTGATTTTATGGCCTTGTGGCTACACCCCACTTTGGACTTTATTCGACTGACTTTAAGATTGGCTTTAATCAAAAGATATTTTTAAGAAATGTCCCATCGCCAAGAGTCCCTTTAACTCGTTCCCCAATTGATATATAAACTTTGGAAATTTTATTTGGAAAATATTTTCTCATTACTCACCCACCCACCCACACATTCGGCCAAGACATCCTGTTCCTGGGCGGAAGCTGGTTGGATAATTCTACAATCTGGCCATTAGCATAATCAGAACGTTTGCCAAGTGGATGGAAGCTCCGCAGGAGAAACGAAAATGTTTGAACATTCTCGTCCTGCTGGAGACGCCTCAGTCGGCAGCGCACTTAAACATTTAAATAAAAATGATAACTTTATGCGAAGGGGGTAAAATTAGAGGGCGGAGCCAAACCAAAAAATGTCGTTACAGGACTCTGGACGACCGACGCAACAGCATCCGAATCCGAGTCCCAAACCAATCCTCCTGTCGCCAAGAAAAAGTTTTCGGCAGCCAAATAAAAAAAAGAAGGAAGAAAATTGTTAAGTAAATCCAGCATTAGAGAGTCTGAGGGGATACTGGTACTGTCTGCGAACAGGTTTCAGGTCGTCAGGCGGGCGTCTGTCAGATGCCTGGCATCCCTTTCTCTTTCACGCTTTTGCAACTTGCCACCACCCCCTAATTCCGAGCCACCCACTCACATGTCCTGGCAACGGTGATAAATGGCGCCAATGTGCCGCCTAGAGTCGCGACGCGTCGCAATCGCTTTTTCGGTGACTTAGAAAGGATGTGGGGAGAAAGTGCACTGAGAAAAAATTATTGATATTAAATTATATGATAACCGGTACTTTTGAGATTACACAGAAAGATAGGTCTTTTTGTCGAGTACCGGGAATTAGTAGTAGTTAAGAGCGTTTAATACTTTAAAACATTACCTTTTCCCGTGCATAGATAAACTATTTGATACCCAGTACTTCTAAGATTCTACGGAATGATAGATAATGCTGTGCTGTGAGGTCTTTAAGTAAAGTTAAAACGAGTTCCGAGTAAAATGCTCTAGAGTAGACTGCTTTAAACCTTAATAAATATCGTATAATATTTGTATTAATATTCAATATCTTTCCCGAAGTGTATGCCTTTTACTTTTTATTTTTGTTGGTGGATGGAATCTGTGGAAGGTTGCCTTTTCAGTTAGTTTAGTTTGTAATGCTCCATTTAGTTTTGGCTGCCACTGAAACCATACCTCCCTTTTCCCTTTTTTTATTTAACCGAAGCCCCCTCACCAAAAAAATCCAGCTGATGACAAATCCACACTAAACGTGTTTGATTCTATTTGTTTCTGGTATTTCTATTTCACTTTTTTTTGCACCCGATGACAAGTAATTGTCGTTGTTTGTTTTTTTTATTTTACCTAGACAGAGTTGGGAGTTATTGGTCGGGATTGGGTTGTGTAGTCGATGTCGATTTGCTGTCATTACGTTGCTTACACGCGGTTATTTATGACAATTGTTGGAAAATATGAATTGACAGCGACGGGGACTACGACTACGTCGAGGATGACGACGACGACAGCAGTGAAGACATCTTCCAATTAGAGTGTATATATGTGAATGTGGCGGGATCCTGTGCGTTCTGCACACCATAAAAATGTCGACAGACAATTGAATGGCACAACCGGAGAAATACGAAAGGAAACGCAGCCACCATTTCAGTTTTTCCCATTGAAGCAATTGCTTACAAATTGTTACATCAGCGCTATTGGGGTGTGAGAGATCCTTAGACAAAAAGCCAAGGGATTTGCAAATTTTGCACATTTTATTTCTTCTAAAAAAATTGGCGTGTCTCTAAAATATACTTTGCTCTCGTTACAGAACTCTATACGTCACAATCTGTCGCTGCACAATCGCTTCATGCGCGTCCAGAACGAGGGCACCGGAAAGTCCTCCTGGTGGATGCTGAATCCCGAGGCCAAGCCCGGAAAATCGGTACGGCGCCGTGCCGCCTCCATGGAGACGTCCCGGTACGAGAAGCGCCGAGGCAGAGCCAAGAAGCGGGTGGAGGCATTGAGGCAGGCCGGAGTTGTTGGCCTAAACGATGCCACGCCCTCGCCGAGCAGCAGTGTCAGCGAGGGGCTGGATCATTTTCCAGAGAGTCCCCTGCACAGGTAACTATTTAATTTGATTTTTTACAATTTTTTAATGAAACTTTTTGATAAATAAAGTAATAACTTTAGCTGATTTTTTAAATGAGAGCCTTAGATTTAAAATGGTTAAAACTAGTCACTTTTTTTAAGTTTAAAAGGCATGTTATTTTATTAAGCTTAAGTAGTTAAAGAACTTAAAATAGCGAGAAATTACTTTTTAGTAATAGTTTGTAAGGTTCTCAAGTCCCTTTAGATATCGCTTTTGAAGCATGATTTTAAAATTATTTTAAACTTTATAATAATCAGCGCTTAGGCTTTACCCATTTGAAAAAATTGGCAAGTTTTTAGAATTTTTAAGACTTTTATCAAAATGATTTTCACTTGTCTTGTGTCTTTACTCTGGTCACTAAGTTTGTCAAGACTTTAAGTTTTAGTTTCAGTTTAAGTGATTTATTTTATTCGAATTTTTTATTTATTTGTTTGTTTCCGTTTTTTTCTCCCTCTTTGTTTTTTCGTGCAATGATGATGAAGTGGCGGTGGCTTCCAGCTGTCGCCCGACTTCCGGCAACGCGCCTCATCCAACGCCAGTTCCTGCGGACGCCTAAGTCCGATCCGTGCCCAGGATCTCGAGCCCGACTGGGGATTCCCGGGTGTCGACTACCAGAATACCACGATGACACAGGCCCTCGAGGAGCTCACCGGCTCCATAGCGGACGAGCTGACGCTGTGCACCCAGCAGCAGCAAGGGTCAGTTCCCGATGACGGTTTTTTATTTCATTCTTATAAATGTCACGACCCCCCAATAACCTTTGAAAAAGAAACAAATCCTTTTATGTTGTTCAATTTACGTTGTAAACATAATTTGTTGCATGTCCTCCTTGACACTCCACCAAAAGCTTGGCATGCTGCAGAATTACTCTTGATATGATATGTGGCAGCTTCCAATCAGACAGATCTATAAAGTCACCTTCTCTTCTCTTTCTTGCCACCCAACGATCGTACGGCTGGAGCAGGTTCAGCGCCGCCTCGGGCCTCCCCACACAGCCTCCTCCGCCGCCCTACCAGCCGCCCCAGACGCAGCCACAGCAGCAGCAGGGCCAGCAGCCCTCGAACTACGCCCTGAACGGCCCCGCCCCCGGCTACAACACGCTGCAGCCACAGACCCAGTGCCTGCTTCACCGCTCCCTCAACTGCAGCTGCCTGCACAACGCCAGAGATGTAAGTAATAAATAAGAAATTAACATTTTCAAGATTTTGAAGGGGATAGCCCCGAAAAATGGACAAAAAATCTAAAAAATATTCCATTCATAGATTTTGATGCAGGTTTGTAGAGAATCGATCTACAAATCGTTTAAAACATTCCGACCAAGATTCCGATAATTTTTGGCTAAGATATGGCCTTTGCGGTGGGCCATATTAGCCGTCCATGCATTTTTCAACATTTTGAAGAGGATCCCCAGAAAAATGGACAAAAAATCTAAAAAATATTTCGTTTCCAGATTTTGATGCAGATTTGTAGAGAATCGATCTACAAATCGTTTAAAACATTCTGACCAAGATTCCGATGATTTTTGGCCAAGATATGGCCTTTGCGGTGGGCCATATTAGCCTTCCATGCATTTTTTAACATTTTGAAGGGGATGCCCCAGAAAAATGGACAAAAAATCTAAAAAATATTTCGTTTCCCGATTTTGATGCAGATTTGTAGAGAATCGATCTACAAATCGATTAAAACATTCCGACCAAGATTCCGATGATTTTTGTCCAAGATATGGCCTTTGCGGTGGGCCATATTAGCCTTCCATGCATTTTTCAACATTTTGAAGGGAATCCCCAAAAAAATGGACAAAAAATCTAAAAAATATTTCGTTTCCAGATTTTGATGCAGATTTGTAGAGAATCGATCTACAAATCGTTTAAAACATTCCGACCAAGATTCCGATGATTTTTGGCCAAGATATGGCCTTTGCCGTTAGCCATATTAGCCTTCCATGCATTTTTCAACATTTTGAAGGGAATCCCCAGAAAAATGGACAAAAAATCTAAAGAATATTTCGTTCCCAGATTTTGATGCAGATTTGTAGAGAATCGATCTACAAATCGATTAAAACATTCCGACCAAGATTCCGATGATTTTTGTCCAAGATATGGCCTTTGCGGTGGGCCATATTAGCCTTCCATGCATTTTTCAACATTTTGAAGGGAATCCCCAAAAAAATGGACAAAAAATCTAAAAAATATTTCGTTCCCAGATTTTGATGCAGATTTGTAGAGAATCGATCTACAAATCGTTTAAAACATTCTGACCAAGATTCCGATGATTTTTGGCCAAGATAGGGCCTTTGGCGTGGGCCGTATTAGCTTTACATGCATTTTTCAACATTTTAAAGGGAATAGCCCTGAAAAATTAACGCATTCCGGTCAAGAACCGGATGAATTCCAAATTACATATCTTGAATATAGATAACCCTATAATATAAACATATCTATTTTCAGGGCCTCTCGCCGAACTCAGTTACCACAACAATGTCGCCCGCCTACCCGAACAGCGAGCCATCCTCGGACTCGCTAAACACTTACAGCAACGTGGTGCTCGATGGTCCTGCGGACACTGCCGCATTGCTAGTGCAACAACAACAACAGCAGCAACTTGGGAACCTTGAAGGTAACATCGACAACCTCTGAAACTTTAGCACTTTCTTTATCTGTACTCCTCTATCCTGCTTATCTTCCCTCTAACCGTCTGCGAAACTCCAACCTATCTCGATGCCCAAAACCGAAATTTTAGATAATAACTGCGCCTCTACTTTGATAGGACAATGCCTGGAGGTGCTCAATAGCGAGGCGCAGCCGATTGACGAATTTAATCTGGAGAACTTTCCCGTGGGGAACCTCGAGTGCAACGTCGAGGAGGTAAAGTAGTCCTACCGTATTTCTTTAATTGTAATGAATTAATTTAACTTTCTATTGCAGCTGCTACAGCAGGAGATGAGCTATGGTGGCTTGCTGGACATCAACATACCTCTGGCATCGGTCAACACCAACCTGGTAAACAACAGTGCCCCCATTAGCAACATCACCACCTCGACCGGCACCAGTCTCGCTCTGAACCAGCTGCAGGCCCAGCTGCAACAGCAACAACAGCAGCAACAGCAACTGCAACAGCAGCAGCAACATCAGCAACACCAGCAGCAACAGTTGCTCCTGAATAACAACAACAACACCAGCAGCAACAACCTGGAATTGGCAACACAAACGTCCAGCACAAATCTGAATGCCAGAGTTCAATATTCGCAACCGAGTGTGGTGACCTCACCGCCCTCCTGGGTGCATTAGATGATGGCTAAAAGTCGATTAAGGATCCACGATCTGTAGTCGATGTATGGTTATCGTTGTGTGAGTGTGCGCGAATGAATGTGTGTGTTATTTGTATCGCCAATGGAACGCTTTAAAACGCTAACTCTAAGGACAATAGTGTAAAGTTGTAAGCAGCCGTAGATGGGAACTGGAAACTGGTAACTGGTAACTGGTAGCTGGAAACTAGAGTCGGAATCAGAGGAGCAGCTGCAGGATCAGTGAGCAGTAAGACGCAGCTGGACCGCCACTAAAAAGTTTACAAAGTATGTATAGAAGTCGGTTTCCATCTACATCATCGCTAAAAGCCATCCAATGTGACGGCATAAATTATGTTAATAATCTCATTTCACGGCGCTCGTTTTATGAATATGTAAAAAAGTGCCACAGTGTCCGGATTCCGGAAGCCACCCTCCTTCTTAGTTGGAGGACTTTTCTTACCCTCCTCCTTTCTTGTTATCCTGCTGCTACTTCGTGTCCTGTTTTATACACAAATCGTCTTCATTTGACTCCAGTTCACTCAATGAATCTTTTATGGACATTCTTTCGGCATTTCGTGTACTTATGCTTATTTTTCTTTCGTTTTTGCTCTGCTACTCGAGGGCAATTACAAGCGTTCAATTATCATAATACATTGACAAAAGCCAGAGCAACAAACACAAAAAAAAAACACCGGAAAACGATGAAGAAACTGCCTTTAAGTCCTTTTCAATTTCAATTTGTCCGGACGCTTTTTAAAGCGCACGAAACGGGAAGGCGGTGGCGGAACAACTCAAATTATAGCAAATTAAGTCAATTTACCTAAGCCATGAAATATGTAAGAGGCCACTTTGCTACCTTGGCAGGACGATCCGCAGGATACGTGGCCGATGGGCCGCTGGGCGGCTTGCTTCCTTGTGTGCTCCCGAAGTCCCTCCCCGTTTTTGCGCTAATTTGACTAGCCAAGCAGAGACTCTGAGGGAAAATACCCCCAAGGTATCGCGCCCTGGCCATGCAAACCGCGGCGAAAATTCGTCAAGGCAACTACGCCCCTCCTCCGGACCTTTTTGCGGGTCTGGAAAGGACTGTCGTCCGAAAGCAAATGCTGAAAAATTAATTACGTCCTTAGGGTGACTTATGCATGCCACTGATATTCTATCTCTGACCCGGCTCACCTGGGGGAGCTTGGAGGAGGGTTTCGCTCAAATCAAGCGTGTTAAACGCTGCTAATATTGAAAAATTACACCGACGAGCGGCTGGGTGGGTGATTGTTTATTAATGGCAGCTTAAGTTTTAAATACTTTCATATCTAATATAATTTATACAGATTTTGAGTTACAAATGTAATCAGATTTCTTCCAACTATGAAGTGTCCTAACTTACAACCATTTTGTGTCCAGAAATGACTAATTCTACTTAACATTCCTTTGTATTTTTTTTTATTTCAATGTCACCGCTCATTTTTGCTTTGTCGCAAACTTTATGAAGCGCAGGACGAAACCTTTGTCCTGGCCGCACACTCCCACAAATTGAATTCCTCGCTAAGTTCTGCTGTAAGCCAACAATTAGAAAACAGCAAAGCGACCAGAAAAAGCAATACTTGGTAAAAAGAAAGAAAAAAAATAAAAAGAAACCCAGTTGCTAAAGGACAAAGTTGTAACTTTGTCAAGTTTGGCGCCAATCGCATGACGTGCTAATAAAATAAAATTGCCAGAGAAGGCGGGGAATGAAATGATTTCGAAATTTATGCCAAGTGCAAACTTTTTTGTTTGGCGAGGATTTGACTTTGCCTTCGCTTCATTTGACTGAATAATTTGAATTGCATCAGAATCTGGAGTATCAGGAGAAGAAGCCAGTACTGGGGATTGTATTCAAGGATTTCCATTTCTTTCACTTTTCATAATTCATCCAACTGACAGGTGCTAGAAATTCTTTCTTTTGTATTATGCTAATTCCTTAAAGTTTCAAGCAAAGGGACGCTGGCTAGGCTTATTGAATATTTAATAAAAAAATATTCCATTGAAATTATGTAACTTTAAGCAAGTGGTGGCGAGTTCTTATTAGACACATGCCACTCAATAAGTTGCCGCAGCATCTGCCTCGAAGGAGTCTGTATGAAACGCTGAAAAATGTTAAATGGGGGAGAGAGGTGGCGAAATCACATCATCGTCCGCAGATTGAGTGACTTGACACATAATAAAGTCACACTCAAATTATGGCTGGAGCTGCTGTGCCACCACGGGGCATGCCCCTCTTTGAAGAGCAAGCACTGGAAAAATATGACAAAAGAAGTATATTCCAAATTAACTATAAAGCTCTTGAAACAAATGGTTTCGTTTAATACTTATGTAGAAGGTTTCCTATTACGTCTAGCCCTTCTTGAATTTATTTAAAATATGTATCTCACACAAATTTTTTCCAAGTGCATATTTAACGGAGGGCACAGGTTGGTTGTCCTGGTGAAACCGCGCGTGAAACACAAAGGCATTTTCAGGCAATTTATTAGTTGACAAAAAAAAAATGGAGGAAAAAAAAAAAAAAACAGCAAAGGAAACGAAAAAATGGAAAAAATGTGCGGCTTCAATGTCGCGGCCTATGTTTCGCCTTGGCAACCGGATTCAAGGACCAAGGAACATCGCCGCAGGACCGCAACTTTCGTTTAGGTGTTGAAACTTGTCCGCAACTCGCTGAATAATTCAGAGACCGCAAACTTTTTTCTCTGGCACACATTTTATTAAATTTTAATGCCAGTGCATCATTAATAAATTCCCAGCGGTGGTGGCGGCCGTCTCAGGAAGTTTGAATAAATTGAATTAGCGACAGAAAATGTCCTGCGGGAGCTAATCCCGGCACATTGTTTGAGAAACTTTGGACAGGTTTGGCCGACCAACTCGGCCACCAAGTGTCAGAACTAATTGTCCAAGTGCCGGAAAATTTTAAGAACAAAGTGGTAGGGCAAAGAAAAAGAAGGTCCCTGCATTGGCATTCAAATGAAAATTTCATTATCCTGGCGGCAACGGGAAATCAATTTGTCAGCGTGGGGAAACCAATGCGCTGCGCGACTTCATAATACAAATTGTCAGCAATTTAATAACATTTAAGCTGCCAACGTCGGTAACAATGATAAGCGAGGCCAGACTAGGATACACGCAAGGACCTCTTGTGGGCGGGTTAGGTGGGTGGAAAAGGTCCTTGCGCCAGCAAACCGCATTTACACTCACTTAACTCGACACGATGCGGAGGTCGCTTTCCAAAGGAGGGAAAACAATTGCCAAGCCCGGCAGCAGGAGTAGCAAGGGAAACCGAAGGGAAAACGGAAAACGGCTTGTGTACAAGCTGCTTAAGGTCCTTAAGGACACCCAAGCACACAGACACACAAGCACGCACGTTCAAACAAATAAAGCTCTGCCAGCGTTTTAAACACTTGTTGCATGGACAAAGGATAATGACGTGACAGGAGCTAGAATTCGCACAGAAATACCCACAAGTCATACACCTCAACATGCACAGGAAAAATAGGTCCTTAATCTGTCAGATTAAATGTTCTATAAAATATAACTTATGCTTCTTAGATTTTCTCTGTGTAAGTAATAAAGCAAACAACCAGCACACTTTGTAATAAAACTGCAGGATAGCAAGAAGGCAGAAACAGGAGCTGTGAAGAAAGGGCAAAGGGCAAACACCTGCCGGCGTTTATTCCTGCCCATCCGGCCGTGAAAGGCCCAGCAAATATGCCTGTGGTGTGGCACAACTAATCACAGCCCGTTCACCACACACTCACCAGCAGTCGCATACCAAAATCAACGCCCCTCTCTGGGTCCTGAGGGTGTCGCCATAAAGCGCTCATAAGTAGGCAATAGTCTTCACACTCCCTCGCCCGAGACGTACAGCTGTCTCGTAAAATTCAATTGCAAGTCATAAAAACTGCGCGCGTGATCTACATACCGAATATAATTTAAAGCTGTAACTAATAAAATTGCCAGCGATAAGCGAGAAGCTTTGATTTTTATGTTCGCGAGGGCGACAACAATTTGCCACCAAAAAAAGGGAATTTATTCGTTATGGCCACGAGTGGCGTTTCCAAGCACAGGACTAAAATCTTATTTTAAATGTTTAGCGCCGTCGTTTTTATGGCATAATTTTCGGCCATTTCTGTAGTTGGCCTCCGGAAATTTGCATAAAAATTGCCAATGCTATGGCGGGGGGTCCTTTATCTACATGCCATCAGACTACTTATGAATATTTCTGATTCCGAACAAGAGCCTGCCAAGTGTCAAGTGCTATTATGTCCCTTCAAGAAAAAAGGAAAATCTGAATAAATTAGCCACTCCTAGGGAGGGGGAAGGCTGTCTTGGTCACTGTTGAAGCAAGCTGATTGTCCTTTTATTAAGTGTTAATGTGGGACTGATTTACCCAGAAAATCTTTAAAAATTCTTTAATAAAATAAATTCTTTCTTTCGTTTCAGGATAAATCTGGTCGCTTTTAATCTAACATACATACACTACAAATACATAGATATACAATTACAAATATATATATATGAATATAATATGCATTAAACATACAACCGAAGCATACAAATAATACCAATTAATCACCAATAATTAGATGCTACAATTAGTGAAATTCTCTGTGCTTGGCAATGCAAAAGGAAGCAGTCATCTGGCAGGAGAGAACCTTGAATTCAATTGAGAAAATGGTTAGTCAATAAGTTGAACACTGTACATATTAATTCTAATACCCTTGACGTTATAAAAACAAACTATAATAATAATTCTGATAACTAAAAACAAAACAAGCGTAAAACGTAAACTAAATGTTCGAAAAAAAAACGGAAAAAGCATAAAAAATAGCTATCAAAAAAGAAAACAAATAAAATCAATGTATGAAATCGAAAACAAAGGAAATTAGCACAATTATGTAATAATTTATGCTTAATTAATGTATTTAATTGAAAATCTAATTATAATTGTATATTTTTTCTATAAACGAGCGAGCAAACCCTTAAAGAATGAGAAACTTGTGTAAAAATTATTTTTAAGATTTGCAATGGAATACGTAATTACATTTTCTGATTAGTTAGCTCAGCTCACATCAGGACAGATAAAAAAATTCCCAATTTCCCCCCGAAGAGCGTAATGCACTTTTGTTAAACTTTGCAAAAAACATATGTAGATGGTAAAAGTTAAAGAAAATTATGAAATACATCCAATTGAAATGTCATATATTAGTAAATGTAAATGTTGGTAGAAAAAAAACCAGGGACCTTACGAATAATAATTTCTTCAAAATAAAAAAACTGAAATACTTATTTTTCAATTTAAAATTTAGAGAATACCAATTTTGAAGTTTCAAAGCAACTTTTCAGATAGCTTTTGTTAAAATTTGTAAGTTATTTCAAATCTATTATTTTTTTATGGTCCCATGAAACTAAAATTTAAATTCGAAATCTAAAAAAAATATCCACAAAACCAAACAGAACTAAGAACAGAAAATTAAAAGCAAATAAATGCGCATTATTGTGTACTATTATGGGCTAAATGTTAATTATTAACTAGATTGTAAAATTCAAATGTAGTTCATACTATTTAAAATGCAAAAACGGAGTGAAGATGAATAAACTGACGATTGAATATAAGAAAACGGTTAACCTGTGTTTCATTTCATACATTTACAATTTATTGGTAACAAATATTAAGAATCGTACATTTTCAAACTCTTTCAAACTCGTTTTTGAAATTTTCAAAGTTTCTTTTGACGTTTTCGAAAAAGCTCGATTTCAGTCCCAATTTTTTTTCCTACATTTCAGTATGTAGAAATTCAGTAACACACTTCGGTATGTAGAAAATGTTAGGGCGGCATGTAAAATAGAGTTGCCAACCGTTTGGGACAAAGCGCCATCTGCTGTCCCCGAGAGGAAATTAAAATTTACCCGCACTATTCCGGGGGACATTTTTATGAAGTATATTTCATTTTAAACGAAAAAAAAGGATTTTTTTTTTATTTTATTGTTTTTGGAAATATTTTTCTCCACGCTGACTACCTCCATTCTGGGATTAAAATTGCCAAAGTCCATCTGGGCGAAGGTGAAAGTCATCCGGGAGATTCAGGTGCATCCTGGTCAAAAGCAAGTGAAACTTCTCTACAGGCACCAACCAGAAACTATAAAGGATGTTGTTTCACATCTCACCCGCAACTCCCAAAAACATCTGGTAAGAGCAGTATAACGCTAAATATATAAATAAAAAATGAAATGTTAAATTAATAAATACTCGTCGAAAAAAACCGGCAAATAGTTTCAACAGATTAACCCACAGGTTATCATCCAAAAGCGACGAAGCTCTAGAGTATTGTGGGCCGATGAAACAGTCTTTTGTCGACAATGATGGGCACCAGAACGTGTACTTACTTCCTGCTGCTGCTTGGAACTTGGAGCGTGGCATCCAGCTCAGATGTTAATACACGAATCCTGGAAAGTATCCCTGGTTATGTCAACACCTCTGCCGATCCCTGTAGGGACTTTTACCAGTACATCGGTGGAAACAAAGCAAAGCGCCATGAGACGCGTTACACAAATCAATTAGGTAATTAATGTCTCACCATATTTAAAGGGCCTTTAATTACATTTTTTTCTTTACTTCATTACCTAGGAGAAATCAGAGAAAAGGTTAACCAGAGACTAGTTCCGATCTTTGAAGACCTGCGCCAACGAAAATTCATCGATGAGCTGGGCGTGGAGGAGAAAGTGTGGCGTTTCTATAAGAGTTGCGAGAGAACCATTAATGCCACTGGATCGGAACGCTCTTATTTGAAGCTAGTGGCACCGTCAAAGGACCTCGACTGGCCCCAGTTTGCTTCAAGTCCTAGTCAGTGGCGGAGTGCAAGGTTCAACTTGATGACCACCCTGGCTAATTTACGAAACTACGCCGTGAACGATATATTTTTCAATACCATTTTGGCTAGTGATCAATATAATACTAAACGCCAACTGGTGACTATTGACGCGCCCCATAACGGAGAAAAACAAGCACCATTTCTCAGTGAGTCTTCGTTGAAGGAACTTCTAATCCGATTAGATGTTTCTCTCCTAAGAGCTACTTACCTTGCCAAAGCTATCTGCCTGCTGGAGAAGGAAATTCGCCAGTTGCCCCAAGATTTTGAGTTTTTTCCGACGATCATTACTGTGTCTGAAATGGAGGATGAAGCAAATGGAGGGCTGCGCTGGAGAAAATTTCTCAAGACGTACACTCAGCGAGACATTGACTCTGACTTTGAGCTTCAGGTGTATAACATTGAGTATTTCCGAGGCTTGGGTCATCTTCTGAAAAAATACGACAACGAGGTTATTGTCTCCTACATCATGGTCCGATTTGTGGATTTCGTGACAAACGCCGGGTATTATCCCACCGGGGACAACTCCTATGATTGTATAAACGTCGTGGGATACCAAATGCAGTTCGCCACCAAGTTCTTGTACGAGAATCGCTACTTGGGAGAAGGAGAGCTCCAGAAATATACGTCAGAAATCCAACGAATTTTTCAGGCGATAAGCACCAAGCTTTTAAGGAAACTGGAGGAGAATCACTTCCAACTGACCGATACGCAGAATGCAGCTCTACAGGCCAAGTTGGTAACATTGGACCTAAACTTTAACAATATGCCATCTATTATAAGTCACCGGCTGTTCGTTCAAGCGTTTTACCAAGATCTAGAGCTGACTGGCGATGAAGACTACCCCGCTGCTCAGTTGAAAGTCCTGAAGTCAACTGCTGCGAGGGAAATAAGTAACTTAAATGAACCCACGCCCAGAGGATCTGCTTTCTTTTCAATAAATTCGCTCGAATATGACTACTACCCAACAACGAAGATAGATCTTTTGAACACATTAATCATCGAGTCCGCGGTCCTGCAGGAGCCATATTTTGCTTACGACAGCCACGATATCTTCAAAGTCAGTTTCCTGGGCGTTATAATGGCCGCAGATATTATTTCTCAGTTCCTTCCATGTCAAATATTTTTTGACTCGCAAGGCAACATCAACGATTTGTTCAATAATTTCTATGAAATTCAGCATTTTGCTGATGGTTTAGAGTGCGTTAATAAATCCCAGCCAGAATATCCGTTTTTTAATATATTCCAAATGACTGGAATACAGCTTGCCTTTGACACCTATTTCGACTCGGATTCAACATTCAACCAGACGCAGCCGGAATTTACTTCGATTCCCCTGAAGAAGCTGTTCTTTCAAAATTCTGCCAAAATCATCCTCAACGGTTATATACCGAATATTGGAGAAGGTGAGGATCCTGAGGAAACGAAATTGAAGGAGATTTTTAGGAATACAAAAGGCTTTTCGGAGGCCTTCCAGTGTCCTAAGTCGGAGGATAGTATGAATCCATCTGTCAAATGTAAATTCTTTGAATCGTAAATGTACTTCTGTTTTTAAATTCATTAATGTTAATACCTTGCTTTGATATACTTATAATAAAACTTTGCGAATATTAATAGTATGTTTTCAAGTCTTTTGCCTATCAATTTTTACACAAAGCGCCAAAGCGCCATTTGCTGTCCCCGAGATGAAATAAAAATTTACCCCGCACAATTCCGGGGGACACTTTTGAGGAAATGTATTTCTTTTTAAGAGAGAGACAAAATTTTTTTTTTTTTTATTCTACACTATTCTACATACATTCTGGGATTCGAATGGCCAAAGTCCATCTGGTCAACGGTTAAGGCCATCTTGGAGATTTATGTGCAAGCTTCTCTACCGGCAGGCACCTACCAGAAGCGCTAAAGGATGTTGTTTCACATACCACCCGCAACCCTCAAAACATCTTTGGCCCAGACTGTTCTGGTGCCGTGCCAATCCTGTCTTTCTTGATAACTTAATATAGTTGATATGATACTTGAAGTTGATATAGCCTTGCAGTTAGAACCGGATATATATCGCAAACATCGGATATAGTTGGCCGATCTTTATGAGAATATCATATTATAACCCAATTTATTACAATACAAAATCAATAAAAGTGCCAAACTTCTATCTTCACATATACCAAAGTTGGTATTTCTACCAAAAACCATTTCCGATCGTTCAGTTATATGGCCGCCGTAGGATATAGTCGGCCGAGCCTTACGAAATTTTGCATGTCGTATTATTTTGCCAAAAATAGCTTTCATGTTAAATTTGAACTCTCTAACTCTAAAAACACCGAAGTTATACCATTTCCGATCAATCAGTTATATGGCAGTTACAGGATATAGTCGGCCGATCCCGGTATATAAGTCGGAACTTATATACTGCGTGCAAAGGATAGAAGGGTGTGTGCAAAGTTTCAAGTCGATAGCTTTAAAACTGAGAGACTCAAGAATGAAACTTAAAACTGATCAAGAATATATATACTTTATAGGGTCGGAGATGTCTCCTTCACTGCGTTGCACACTTTTGACTAAAATGATAATACCCTCTGCAAGGGTATAAAAATTGGATTGAGGAAGGCCGACTCAGTTGCCGATCGTCACTTTTTCAAACAAGATACCCTGCCTCAGAAGCTTTTAACTTAAACAATTCTAAAATTCGTTGACTACTTCAAGTGGCCCTTGTGTAGCCAGAATTTATCTGGTACAATTGTTCGAAATCATCTATAAAATTAATATCTGTTCGCTAATTAATACCTTCACTTAAGAGTTTCATTGGCCACTGAAGTCAACCCATGTTCGAAGGGTGAGCTTTTAATGCTTAATGAGAAAATTGAAAACCTTCAAAGTAAAATAAACTTAAAGTAACTCTTTTAAAAAACAATTTTACTAAATGGTAATGGCTAAATAGCTAAATACTTTCTCCTCTTATATGACAAGAATATATAAGATTATTCAATCCCCTTTTCTAAGTAGTAACAAGATGATTACTACTGTCTAAGTAGTTATAAGATGATTAGAAATCCTATAAGAAATAAGATTTAATTGAGATAAATTGTGTAACCTAAAACTATAGACAATTTCCATTTGTTTCATCCGATTACATTAAAGCTCTAATTAAATTTTATAAAGCCAATATTTTACAATTAGGACTCAAAATGTAGCGTTTTTAGCGTTTAATATATAAATAAAAAATAAAATGTTAAATTAATAAATATGAATGGGTTATCGCCTTGGAGGAGAGCCAAGGCTTAGAGACAGATTTTTGGGTGCTCGCCGAAAAAAACAGGAAATAGTTTCAACAGTTTGACCCACAGGTTATCATCCAAAATCGTCGAAGTTCTAGAGTATTGTGGGCCGATGAAACAGTCTTTTGTCGACAATGATGGGCACCAGAACGTGTACTTACTTCCTGCTGCTGCTTGGAACTTGGAGCGTGGCATCCAGCTCAGATGTTAATACACGAATCCTGGAAAGTATCCCTGGTTATGTCAACACCTCTGCCGATCCCTGTAGGGACTTTTACCAGTACATCGGTGGAAACAAAGCAAAGCGCCATGAAACGCGTTACACAAATAAATTAGGTAATTAATGTCTCACCATATTTAAAGGGCCTTTATTTAAATAATATATTTTTCTTTACTCTATTACTTAGGAGAAATCAGAGAAAAGGTTAACCAGAGACTAGTTCCGATCTTTGAAGACCTGCGCCAACGAAAATTCATCGATGAGCTGGGCGTGGAGGAGAAAGTGTGGCGTTTCTATAAGAGTTGCGAGAGAACCATTAATGCCACTGGATCGGAACGCGCTTATTTGAAGCTGGTGGCACCGTCGAAGGACCTCGATTGGCCCCAGTTTGCTTCAAGTCCTAGTCAGTGGCGGAGTGCAAGGTTCAACCTAATGAACACCCTGGCCAATTTACGAAACTATGCCGTGAATGATATATTTTTCAATACCATGTTGTTTAGTGATTTTTATAATACTAATCGCCAACTGGTGACTATTGACGCGCCCCATAACGGAAAAAAACAAGCACCATTTCTCAGTGAGTCTTCGTTGAAGGAACTTCTAATCCGATTAGATGTTTCTATCCTAAGAGCTACTTACCTTGCCAAAGCTATATGCCTGCTGGAGAAGGAAATTCGCCAGTTGCCCCAAGGTATTGAAGTTTTTCCGACGATCTTTACTGTGTCTGAAATGGAGGATGATGCAAATGGAGGGCTGCGCTGGAGAAAATTTCTCAAGACGTACACTCAGCGAGACATTGACTCTGACTTCGAGCTTCAGGTATATAACATTGAGTATTTCCGAGGCTTGGGTCCTCTTCTGAAAAAATACGACAACGAGGTTATTGTCTCCTACATCATGGTCCGATTTGTGGATTTCGTGACAAACGCCGGGTATTATCCCACCGGGGACAACTCCTATGATTGTATAAACGTCGTGGGATACCAAATGCAGTTCGCCACCAAGTTCTTGTACGAGAATCGCTACTTGGGAGAAGGAGAGCTCCAGAAATATACGTCAGAAATCCAACGAATTTTTCAGGCGATAAGCACCAAGCTTTTAAGGAAACTGGAGGAGAATCACTTCCAACTGACCGATACGCAGAATGCAGCTCTACAGGCCAAGTTGGTAACATTGGACCTAAACTTTAACAATATGCCATCTATTATAAGTCACCGGCTGTTCGTTCAAGCGTTTTACCAAGATCTAGAGCTGACTGGCGATGAAGACTACCCCGCTGCTCAGTTGAAAGTCCTGAAGTCAACTGCTGCGAGGGAAATAAGTAACTTAAATGAACCCACGCCCAGAGGATCTGCTTTCTTTTCAATAAATTCGCTCCAAAATGACTACGAACCAGCAACGAAGATAGATTTTTTGAACACATTGATCATCGAGTCCGCGGTCCTGCAGGAGCCATATTTTGCTTACGACAGCCACGATATCTTCAAAGTCAGTTTCCTGGGCGTTATGATGGCCTCTGATATTATTTCTGAGTTCCTTCCATACCAAATATTTTTTGACTCGCAGGGCAACATCAATGACTTGTTCAATAATTTGGACGAAAACCAGCATTTTGTTGAAGGTTTAGAGTGCGTTAATAAATCCCAGCCGGCATATCCGTATTGGAACATGTTGAGTATCACTGGAACACAGCTTGCGTATGACACCTATTTCGATTCGGATTCAATATTCAACCAGAAGCAGCCAGAATTTACTTCGATTCCCCTGAAGAAGCTGTTCTTCCAAAATGCTGCCAAAATCTTCCTCAACGGTTATCTACCGAAAACTGCAGAAGGTGAGGATCCTGAGGAAACGACTTTGAAGGAGATCTTTAGGAATACAAAAGGCTTTTCGGAGGCCTTCCAGTGTCCTCAGTCCGAGGATGGTATGAATCCACCTGTCAAATGTAAATTCTTTGAATCTTAACTGTACTTCGGTTTTTGAATTTTTTAATGCTATTACCTTACCTAGATATTCTTGTAAAAAAACTTTGCGAATATTGATATTATGTTTTCAAGTTTTTTCAAATATTTTTAAGTCCTCTGAATCACTGAAAGAAACCTTATAAATACATTTATATAATACCTGGGTTATAAATGAAAAAATGTTAAACTTTTTAAAACAAAATAAACGACGTAATTAAACTCATCCCCAAAACACACCCATATCAGTATTGACTGGGTAATCATTACTTCCGAGTTGATCGGCAAACAAATATAGGTTTGCCGATTGCTTCCTCTTCCCATTACTTTTCACAGCTTGTTCACTTGGCGGAGTGTTATGCAAATAAAATAATAAAGCTAAGCGACGGGTTCCTAAATTCGAGTAGTTTACGCCTTTATCCATCAGCTGTTTGAACGTTGACCGGTTAACCGCTCGGGCAGCTACTCCACAAAAGGCCGGAAACTTTCAATTCTTTAAACATTGTGTAAAGTTTTTCAAGCAAGAAAAAACCGGCCCGTCCAGAGTTTTCAACTTGTCGCTGGACGAGCTGGCATTTCGTCTATTTGGGTTCCAGCTTTTAGTTTCGGTACGAGTATCTATCAGTTGCATTTAAAGCTGCAAGCACTGCGGTTGTAGTTTCACTAAAGTTGGCTTCCCCATAAAATCTTAAATTAGTCAATAATATTTGTAAGTTTTTAAACGGGGCTCGAAAAGGTTTATTTTTTAAGGGAAATACAATTATATAATGCAAAAAATTGTAATTATAGATAAATATAAACAAACATACAAATGTGTAAATGTGTGATTCCAGTATCGATACGTGGCTTTTAATTGAATTCTCGATTTCGTTGGATGTTCAACTTTCTAAATGCAAATGACACTCAACTCAAACACAAAAGTGGGCACGTCATGCTCTACAAGTCATCCAACTTCCTGGATAATCCGAACAAAGGGGAACGCGCTGTTAATTCTTAAAAGTTCAACTAAATTGAAGCGTTCTCCGTTCCCCAACAAGTTGGAAGTGCTTTGTGCCTTGCATAACAAATAAAATCAACTACTTATATGACAACATATTATACGTATCATAACTCGTTTTCAGAATTATTTCAAAGTCTGGAAGATGTGAAAAAATAAATATTCATAGCAATGCAATTTGCATTTTAGGCACAAACAGAAAAAATTAGTCAAAGTGATTAGGGCTTCATGAAATGTGTGCCCACTTTGACTTTAAAACCCCGCACCTTTATTGGATTGGCGGTTGACTTGACAAGGTTGAAAGTGTGTGAATTCTCAAGTTGTATTTTATTATTTACTTGACTTGGCCTTTAAAGTACTAAAAATCCAAGCCCGATCTGTAGTGTAAATAGGGAATTAGGTTTTAACTGGCGTCAATTCCTAAAAGTTTCACTTTCTGACCGAAAACTTCATGTACCTCCCACAATATAAGTCTCAGATTCTTTCTGTAATAGACCGCTTGGTATGCCAGACAGGCAAAGAAAATGGACAGTCCAGTCAATTGAAGCCGTGAGTCAGCACTCCCAGTCGATTTTATATATATTCCGACATGCGATGCGACTCGCGACTCAGTTGCCGATCGTCCGTTGTTCGAAGTAGCAGCTCCGCGTTAAAAAGATATATCTCTACATATATATCCCATTGAGCTGTTAGTTAAATTGTCTACAATTGCGGTAGAAATTGGTAAATTATACAATTTTCAAAAGGTGGATAGACAAAATATGTCGTTTATGTGACAAATAAGGCACTCAAGGACTTAATTTATTTAATTCCAAGTGATTGAGTGTATTTCAAGTGTCGGATTTTGATCGCTTATCTTGGTGTTACTTTGAACCGGCCCAGGTGTAATTGCTGGCTTTAAAATTGTCTTGAGACTTTTGTGAGATGTTTTTAAGTCAAGGGCAATCTTTCGTTTTAAGCTCAGACTGGCTCAAGACGAAGCCAACCGGTTTCATGCCGCAAATATAATAGCCCATAAGCTTGTTATCAAACAAGCTAAAGCTCTCGACCGGTCTGGCCCCGGGCCAAATTAGTTGATCAGTAATTAGCAGCCTGTCGTTAAATTTGCCTTACTTTTTTCTACAATTAGCCACTTCAACAACAAAATGAAGATCAGCTCGATATCAGGATTACTTTTCATCTGCGCCGCCCTATTCCTTGGATTGACATCGGCCACTGATGTCAGGCCTTGCCCAAAATGTGAGTTTTTAAATACATACAACATTTTATAATAATATTAAACGTAATTTAAATATTTATTTTTATACCAAAACTTACCAGAAAAGAAATTTAAAAATTCTATTTCAAAATCATTTTTGAAACCAATGACAACGTTGCGTATGTGTACTTTTTATACCCTTGCAGAGGGTATTATAATTTTGTCCAAAAGTGTGCAACGCAGTGAAGGAGACATCTCCGACCCTATAAAGTATATATATTCTTGATCAGGATCACCTCCTGAGTTGATATGAGCATGTCCGTCTGTCCGTCTGTCCGTCTGTCTGTCCGTCTGTCTGTCCGTTTCTACGCGAACTAGTCTCTCAGTTTTGAAGCTATCGTCTTGAAACTTTGCACACACCCTTCTTTCCTTTGCACGCAGTATATAAGTCGGAACGGCCGGGATCGGCCGACTATATCCTATAGCTGCCATATAACTGATTGATCGGAAATGGTATAACTTTGGTGTTTTTAGAGTTAGAGACTTCAAATTTGACATGAGAGCTATTTTTGGCAAAATAATACGACATGCCAAATTTCATAAGGATCGGCCGACTATATCTTATAGCTGCCATATAACTGAACGATCGGAAATGACCCAACTTTCGTGTTTTTGAAGATAGAAAGCTGGAATTTGGTACAGATTATATTTTTGGTCAGTTGATCCAACGTACCAAATTTCATAAGGATCGGCCAACTATATCCTATAGCTGCCATATAACTGAACGATCGGAAATGGTATTTGGTAGAAACATCAACTTTCGTATTTTTGAAGATAGAAGTTTGGGACTTTTTTTAGATCTTTTATTGTAATTAATTGGTTTTATTATGATAAATCATAATCATAAGGATCGGCCAACTATATCCGATGTTTGCGATATATATCCGGTTTTAACTGCAAGGGTATATAAACTTCGGCTCCGTCCGAAGTTAGCTTTCCTTTCTTGTTTGACCATGCTTAGACCGTTTCTCCTATAATAGTGTGTTAAATGAAAAACAATTTTTTCTAAATGTTTTTTTTTTTATATTTTAGCCAAGTCCAAGGCTTTAAGTGCCAGCGATGTAACCATTTCAAATTGTGCCAAAAACAAATGCATTTTAAAGCGCAACACTGAGGCCAGCATCATGATGAAATTAAGGCCGGAACGTGATTTCCAGGAGTTGACCTCAGACATCCAGGGAATTATCCTGGATGTGCCACTGCCATTCCCAGGCTACTACGGCACCAGCGCCTGCCCGCATATCTACGACGAGGCCGGCGAGAACAAGGTTGGATGCCCACTGAAGGCCGGACAGGTGTATACCTATAAGAACAGCTTCAAGATCCTGCCAGTTTATCCCACCGTCAGCCTGGAGATCCACTGGGGACTGGGCGACAAGCAAGGCGACGCAGCCTGCTTCCAAATTCCCGCCAAAATCAAGGCCTAAGCCGTTAAGACAAGTGCAATCGATAATGTTAGCGTTTATTAGTGTTAAATCTTAAAATCGTTTATCTGTTTAGTTAGGGGTTAAGAAGTACGGTTAAGTGATAACAAAACGCAAGATCTTTGCCAATATTGCGGCATCCAGCCAGTGACGCAATATTGCTCCAAATGATTCGATACCCACGGATCATCTGTTTTGGTAAAACTATTAAAAATTCACAACGAATTCTACGAAACTGTATTTGTGTTTTGTTTTTTTTTGTCAATTTACATTTAATTATGTGGAGCTCAATCCGACGTGTGTGTGCTATAAACTGGCGACCTGCTACGATCTCCTCCGATCTCGATCGTGCCTTTGGTTAATTATTTTTAATTTACTTTTAATTGATGCCCGGCATGCAATGATCGTTTGTGATAAATATCTCTTAATTTCGCTTTCCTCTGCTCTGTTAGTTTATACTTCTTTTGGATAATTTCATTTTGGCAATTACACAAGGTGGATTCACTTTTTGAGCTCGTAGAGCTGTGGCTCGCCAGGTGACATTTCGTTTTCGGCTTCCAGTTGCGCCTGCAGAGCCTGCTGGAGTTTCCGCCAACTTTCAGCGGCGGCATCATAGCCCTGAAGTCCGTTCCTGCCACGGCCCTGCTGCTGCTGCTGCTGTTCCTGCAACTGCCGCATCCTGTAGCGATGCTGCCGCATAATCTGTGTCCATTTCAGGCCATTCCGGTTGCGCTCGGGGGCTGCCAGGGCTGGAGCTGCCAGTGGCACGTTCCTAATGTTGCTGTTATTGTTGCTATTGCTGAGATCCGAGTTGTCGCTATCATTGTCCTCTGTATTCTGATTGTTGTTGTTGTACAATTGCTCAGCCAAATTCTCAATTGCATATGAATTGGGTCCAGTTTGCTAAAAAATAGTTAACATTTTAAAGAAATTCCTTTAAAGTTTACTATTATTAAAGCTTACCTGCTTCGCATCTATTAACGCCTTGCTGCCAGATCGCTTGCCATGAGCTAGACGGAGAAAAAAACATTTTCATAAACACCAGTCGTAAGCCAGTTGATGAACTGCTCCTTTAGAGCTTAACCAGCAGACACTTACCTCCCCAACAGGAATGTCCGTATTCCAGGCAGGAACCTGAAAGTAGGCAACATTTTTTAAAATTTTATATAAATCATCATCACATGCCAGGAGGTAAGACGCTGAGCGTAAATTTCCTACAAAATGAGGCATTTCCCCAAGAAAACCACCCAGCCAACATCACCCCATTTGAGACCCCGCAGACCGGCTTTAAAACTTTCGCTTTTAAGGTTAGCTCCTGGGGTTTTACCTGCCTGTTGATGCTACTTTCAATGCTACTATTCTGCTGTTTTCTTGGAAAGAAGATGTTTATTGTGTGCTTGGCTGCTAATGTCCCGTCCTATGATAAATGTGACCATTACGGAACTCATACGGCAAGCCAGAACGGGTTGAGTAATGCACTCGGTATTCAGAAGTCACAGGTAGGGCAGACCTGCATTCATCTGAAGAGATGGCCATCATAAAGTAGCTACACTAGGATCTATTAGATAAGGCGCTCGACTAATAAGAATAATAAAAAAAAAAGTTTTTGAGGATAGAAAAATAATTCTAAAATCAAAATAAACTTTCGAGAAAATATTTCTATAAATAAAAATAGAATTACAAAGATAGTTCAAACCATTTTTAAAGCCTGCATAACAATATTCTGACTTTTGTTGCGCAATGTCTAATATCTCCATACGCAAGCCTTTGGTCCTTAAGGACCAACCTGTGGCCCTGCATAACGCTTATACAACGTCCTTGATGCTCCTGCCAGCTCGTGCATTGTGTGTGCCAAAAAAAAAAAAGTATGAATGGCGGCAAACACGAGGAGGTGGCAACGCAGACCTAATCATACAAATGGACGGGAAAGCATCATCACGAGGCGTCAACAGTGAAAGGACAAAGGCTCAGATGGGACAGAGGCTGCTGGACGGCCGGTTACGGATATACGGATACGGTTTGCGCAACTGTCACTCCGTCCGGCAGAGTGAAAGATCTCTCGCTCCTTTAGCAAATAGCAACAAGTTCCATGACGCAGATGGCTGACAATTGGCCAAAAGGTGGACGGGGATGGGTTGAGTTTGCATAAGCCAAGATAAATACATATGTGTCTGGTTGGAAAAAAAAATAATATCCCATAGGTTGGCTAAGCCAGACGATTCTATCATGCCTGGAGCGTCGGTTGTTGCTACCCTGGCCATATATCAAACCCGCAATCATTTGTCAATTACTTAAACCGTGGATTAATTGTTGCCGGGCAGCTACGAGTATGCGAGGCCCACAACACTTGTTGACAGGCATGGCGGCCATCGGAGATAAGGGTGCCCCGTTTGGGGCGCCGCATCGAAGGGCTGTCATTAAACAAAGCCCCCTCTGAAAACAGATCTCCACCCCTCATCCCAAAAGAGACCTAATTAACTTTCGCCCTCGTAGTTTAATAGCCACATCCTTGATCTTGGTCAGTTCGCGGAAAAGCGTTGGTGTCTCCTCTTGAGAATAATGTCTTTTTTTTAATGGGCTCCACCTCATAACCGGAAAGAGCGACGTAATTTGTCTGAAAACCCCATTTAATGGCTTATTTTACCTACGCGAGGTCAAAATCGCATTGCTGCTATCTAACTATCTGCCTTTTTGTTTATTTTTGTTTTTTATTTGGGGAATCCCCGAACAGAGTCGAATCGTTGTGACATTCCACCCGAAATAATCATTAAAGGTGTGATTTAGGGTTTCAATTATTAACTTTTAGTGTGACTTTAATTAGCCTCTCTACACTGTCATTACACAAACTGGATGATAATGAAATTTGTTTGCAATTTGAAATGCAATTTAGTTAATTTATTTTTATAGGACGATCAATTTCTTCTAAAAATTATTAAGACTTTTGAATCATAATCCTTGCAAAAATTTTTCCAAATAAAAGGCAAAAGACAATCTTTCCTGAAGTGATGTTCATAAGAACTTTAAGTTTGTACTTTACATTTACTTTTTACTTATCTTTCTTTGTACTAAGTTTAGAAAAGATACACAAATATTTTCCTCGCAATCAAGAATTCAAAATTTCCCCATAATCTTTTATCCTGAACCTAACCCAATCGTTTTGTATCCAAAACTTTCCTGTACGTCATTTGCGGCTCTTTTGAACGTGGAAAATGGTTGGAAAGTAAGCCCCTACTTCCCCTAAAATTCAGATTCAGGAGGTGGAGGGATTGCCACCCACAACTGCAATGCCTGCAGGCGGCACAGCTTGACAGGTTCACACGTTCGGCTTGGGTTTTTTTCTCATTGACGCTTTTCCACGTTTCTCCGTGGGTTTCTATTTCACCAGCATTTTTAGCAAGTCACGAGTTCAGCTTTTCACGTTAAAACAAAGAAAAAACGTCACAATACGGTCCCTTTTTATCAAAAAGAAAAAAATTTATAAACCCAAAATATTTTAAATCAATACTCATCACTACATAGTCTAAAAATTAATTAGTTTATCTGTAATTCAGGTCCTTTTTCATGTCCCGACTATTTTTTTCTGTGCATTATCTGCTCAGCACGCAGTTTGGATTAATTTACGACGGCAATTGAAAGCGTCGAACCGTGCCAGAAGTGCCGGGTCCGAAGGGCATAACCGAGCCCCTGATCTCCGCCCACTAAACCCATTTTCCCCGATCCCTAATACCACCTGTATTCCACCTGTTGGCCAGCATTTGCGGTGAGTAAGAGTACAAAATACGTAGAAAAACCCCAAAAAGAAATGCCGCCAAACCAGTGAACAAACAAGGCGTATCGTATCAGCAGGAAAATGTGCATAAAACTCATAATGATAAAAAGGATTAACCCCGAAAAAGTACGCTGAAAATGGGAGCTAGAGCCGGAGCTGGAGTTTTCCCAATGATCCATCAAATTGGTTATACGTGTTAATCAGTTGGTAGTTTGGTATTTTTATGGCTCAGATATGCCAGTAAATTCTTGGAATTGTGAGCAGGGTAATAAATCTATTTCACCACTCAGCCAAGCCCAAAAGTATGATTCAAAAAGTTACCAACTAACTTTAGTTATTTTACATTTTATTAAATTTGTAATAAAGGTAATAGATTTTTTAAATAATCTTTTAGAGATTTATACAAAAAATACTATTTAAAAAGTTATTTGATAAGTGTAATCTTCCAAGGAAGACAACAATTACTAATAAATAGTAGTATTTTGTTATAAATAGATCTAAGAAGGCGTTAAACTTTAATTTTAATATAAAGCTAATTTTCAAATAATAAGTTTTCTGTATAGGATTTTAGGGAGGCCATGAATTATATTTCAAGCCATTTAAAATTGTAAATAAAATTTAATTGATATATTTTAAAGTTTTCTTCTTACCTGTCACCATGGAAAATAGCGCCACCAATGCCACCAAAGTCCAAACGCACTTGATGTACCACATTTTTCAATAAAACTTATTTCGCAACCTGCACTCAAAATGTCCGATGTCAATTATAATTTCCGTACTGCTGGCGCACTTTTGGAGGAAACTTGAAGGAAACTTTTCCGGAGCACTTTTCACACTTTTCGCAGCTTTGCAACTATGGTTGATGGTCGATCGGAGTTTGGTGCCAACGCTTTTCGAATAGCCAACAAAATGCGGTCTACCAGCGGCTTTTATAGCTTAGAAGAGCACCGTAAGTGCCGAAAAGATAACGGGACAGCCAATACGAGCCGGACTCCCGATGCCGGAGCCTTCGGCCCGAAGGTATCCGACCGGACCCGATGCTAACCCATCTGCCAATGAGCAATGAGATGGAGGCGCCCACGCAACAGGCTGCTGTTCTGGCAGGGGGCCAGAATGGGGGTTAAGTGGGTGGCATTCAACCGTAGGTGTGACAGTTGCGTAGGAAAAGGGGATACCCGTACATGCTGGGGCCAAATTAAGGTCACAGTTCAACAGTTTTTGTTTTATACATTCCGTTCTCTATCCCTTTTTCCACACCTCTGTCTCTCAACGCATAAACCATTGGCGGTTCGATGCAGTTGGACCCCCCACGCATCCTAGTTTATTTGTGGCCAACATCAGACTTGGCTTTAATTAAAGTACATTTTCTATAAAAGAAGAAAATGCAATAACAATTTAAAAAGTAAAAGGAGGTTTTTTATTGGGGTACTTGTTGTCCTTACAAAGAAACAGTTAAGAACTGTTTCCATTTAAGATATTCAACAATAGGATGCCAAAAATTTGTATTGTTCGAGCCTATATTTATAATATCTATTGAAAACTAAATGATGTAAGACCCCAAGGTTGCTTAGATGGAATAAATACTCCATTCGGCATAACAGAAATAAATTGACAAATGGCTTTCTATAATAGGAACTTATGTAAGTAATTCTTATGAAATCCCTTGTTATCTTCATATAAAACATAAAACTCCCTTTAAATAAAAAACCATTATTTCGTTGGACTGTCCTTACACAAAGTATTAACGTTTTTATTTTAACATTAGTTTCTTGGGTTGTGTGGGGGTCAGCGTGTGGATTTTTGGTTAGCTACCAAATACATCATTTTAGGTTAATCATTTAGTTTCGAACGCAATTAGCGCAAATACGGAAGTCTGCGGCATTGTATATTAATGGATGTATGGATGGATGAATCTCAAAGGGATATTATGGAATTATGTTATTATGTTTGCACGGAATTGGTGTGATGAAATGTTTTGGTCCTTTCTGTGTTTAAACCTATTGTAGACTGTAGTTCGATAGTTCAGTGTTTGATTCTTTGTTTCGTTGTGAAGCTTGGAGTGCCCCTAATGTGGTGGTAGTGCTTGCTTGTTTGTTTGAAGTCTTGATGTGGTAAGTGTTTCGCCAGATAAAGAGTGTTTCGCCAATGTTTTATTCCAGTTTCGCCAAAATGTCGCTCTCCCGGAAAAGAACGTATTCGTTTTTGTCATCCATGTCTACCTTTGTGCCGCCGTATTTGGGAAGCAGCACTCGATCCCCTTCTTTCACGGCAACGGATAAGTGCCCAGCTCCAGCTGGATTCCGGGCACCGGGTCCGACAGCCACAACGACGCCCTGCATCTCTTTGGGTACAGACTCCTCCGGCAGCAGGATGCCACCCGCAGTGGTAGTCTTTACCTCAAACCGCTTGATAAGGATCCTGTCCAGCATGGGGATTACCTTCTTAATTGTACTGGCCATCGTTTCTTGAACTGAAATATTAGAAATGAAACTATTATTTATCGAAAAATATTATTTTTTTATTATTATTATTACAATAATATCATTTTTGGAATTTTCTTTTTTTTTTGAATTTTTTTCTTACCTTTTTTACTCACCAAAATTATTTCTTACTTTTTTATAAAAAAAATATTATTTTTTGGTTTTAAATTTGGTTTATTATTTTTTTTTTAGTCGACCGATGTTTTCAGGTTGCTTCCAAAACGTAGACTGAACTCTGAGCACCAGTCTCGGGACCTAAACGACTTTCAAATCAAGTCATCGCTATATTGATTGAAATTTTGTAAAATCTAGCGATACTATGATTTATTAGAAACAAATAGTGTTTAAAAACGAGTATTTGTTTTGTGGGTGTTGTAAATAAACTTTGTGGTACTTACCAACACGTTTAAAGCAAGTTTTGTAAAAAAAAACCCTTGAATGTTTTATTAATAACTATTTTAATTATATGATTTTATTTTGAAGATTGTTTGGAGGCCAATGCTCTCATCTTTTTTCTCACACGCTTGTGTACCACAGTGCGTATACTAGCTGTTGCTTGCTTGCTTGAAGTAAAGTCCGACACGTGATTAACGAAGTCGTGACTCTCTTATTATATTCCTCCAATCAAGACTCAATCCAAAAACCGCAAACAAAAAATCAAATCAGAAGTAGAATGCGCGATTAACAGTTAGTCGAGAAGACAAGGTCCACCCGACAATATTTTTGTTTGCTTTTAGCTTTTTCCACTTTTGATTAATTTCTCCCACCGCGGTCAACGCCACCTGTTGGCAGCTTGCCTGACTAACAGTGGCGGAGGAGTATGGCTGCCTTTCCGCTTTCCGACCGCATAAATGTCTTTCGGTCCCGTTATGCGGCTTCCTTCCTTGTCAGAGGATGCGTGAGTGTGTTGGTGTATGTTTGTCTAAACTTGTGGCGCGTTAAATGCTGTTGGGCTTTACTTTTTTCTTGAAATTGTTTTCTTAAATGGTACTACGTGTCTCAGAAGGATATTTGTTATTGGATTATTTTAACTATTTTGAAATAAAAAGTCATTTATGTACATGCATCGGTCAATGGATAAAATAGGTGTGGGTATTGGTGATGAAACTGCAAAATATATTAATATTGATTAATATATTTAACAAAGATACAAATAAATTATTTTAAACCTTTTCCTAAACCATAACCCTTCTACTAATACATACATAATGATAATATATAAAGCTTTCCGATTACTGGGTATCAAAAATTTGTTATGGCTTGATAATAGATTTTTTTATTCTACCATAATATTGCTCTTTTGGCCCGATTTGCTCGTAAATCACAAACTTCATAATTTCTACGTCATTTTGCGGACGTGTGTGAGCGTGGCTTTTGCTTCTCTCGCCGGTTGTTTTCAGTAAATTCTTTTTTCCTTTTTACTTTTGGCTTAACGTGACGTTGGTTGGTAAAACAAATCGTTTTTGTTTTAGCCATGTGACTGTTGTTTTTGCCTGTTTGCTCCTTTATGGCCCGCTGCGCTTTCGACTTTGACGCATTTGCGACATATTAATTCAGTTCAGTTCGTTTTGGCTTTCCATTTTGGAAGCCAGATATTTATGCAGTTTGGGCATATACCACTTTAGTTTTGGATTCCATTTGCCTGATTGCATTTTCATAACAATTTGCAGGATTACTAATGCGCCACGTAGTCCCTGCATTTGCATGACCTTGAACCAGTCGGCACCTCATTAGAATTTCATTTGTAGTCAGTGCTATGGGGTAGCAGGGCGACGCCCGACCAAATCGATTGGAGCCCAAATCTATTTTATTGCCAAATTACAATTTCAACAACGAGCACCCATGAATCCATAGAAAATTATATAGAGAAAATAAGCGGGCGCGAAATATGCTAAGCTTTATTGTTGGAATAATTTTAAGACACCAAAGTAGAGCTTTAAGGCGTTTTCTTAACCTTGGCATTTTTTCTTATCACACAATATGCATATATGTAAATATCTGGATAGTAATCGAACTTGGTCCGTGATTAGAATTGAAATAAAGATAATCAATGCCGTAAGACTTACCATTACATTTAAAGTACACTAAAAATTGTTGAGATATTTTTCGAATCTAGGTGTGACAAAGTATTTCTTAAATAAGATCTTATCTCTAGGTGGTGGGCGTTCTATAAATGACTGATTTCAAGCAATAAACACATTAATTAAATATTTAAAATATACCGCTCTGTCTGGTATATATTTAAGAGAAAAGCCCCTAAGCATTAAACCAAAGTTCAATTAAGAGAGCAACTTTATAGAATCATTTGAGTCAAATATTTTGCTTAAACTTAATAATTAAGAATACTTGATAGACTAGTTCGTTCAGGCGTAGTACTTAGCGGACCGATTCCGGTTCAAGATCCGCTACTGCATGAATGAAAAACTTAATATTAAACTCTCTATTGGCTTGTGATTGCCTAGCAAATGCAGTTTTTACTAAACGCTTTGGTAGATTCAGCAGCAATACCGACAATAACGACAAATAACTACCTAGGAATCTGGCTTAAACAGTATTCAAAATAAATTAGCATTAGGAAGCCGCATGGGAGAGCGATAGCGATTATTTCAGTTGATCTGGGCATTGATCATGGCGTATTGAGAGGCGATTTGCGGTTTGGCCAGCGCCACTCGATCGTTCAGGGGGTGCTGGGGCTTTAAATATATAAAGAAAAATAAGAGACTCATTTAATATCGGGGATCTTCCGCTTGATTATAGAGCAACCCACCTGCATAAGTGGTTGTTTTGGCTGCTCCGCCGATTCAATGGAAACACGCTGCGTCTGGCTGGACGTGGTGAGTCCCCTTCGCAAGCGTCGCGATTCTATTTGGTTGCGAGAGTTCAGCGATCCCTTGGACAGCTTCTTGCCAAATAGCACGGCCTGGAAAATATTTATTTTTTTTTTTAAATATTCCTGACAGCTTCTTTCGCAAACTCACCTTGAAGGCCTCGCGGAACTTGTTACTCATGAGATTGTAGAGCAGCGGATTGATGCAGGTCGACAGGTAGTAGAGCACGCCGGAAATATAGGTCATCACCGTGTAGACGAACTCGTGCTGCTCCCGCAATTTGGCCCCCCGGGCTGGGGCGTAGATGGCAATCAGACGCTGGGCGTGGAAGGGGGCCCAGCAGAGAAAGAAGCAGACCACAACTGCAACTGTGAGGAGCAGAGATAAAGAGTCAATGATTATATTTTTTGGTAATCGTCAATTGTCATCATAAATGGCGAGTCCCGAAATGACAAACGCAATAAACTGCCCGCAGACGGGTTGATTAACTGGCTTAGGACGATTACAGACATATGGTCAGACATTCGTCATACACTTGAAAAATAGGTCCTTTTATAAATTTGTATTATATGGAAATGATAATTTAAAACTTTAACCAAAAACTTTAGAAATTACTTTCAGAAAGTTAAACTTTAACGGGCTAAGTAAAGTTAAAATATTTTGCTAAAGTTAAGTTACAAATTATTTTCAGTACATCATCTTTATTCAGTAAAATTATATAATTACCAAGCATCCTGAGGACTCGCCGGGTGCCATAGTGATTGAGTCGCCCCCTCACGGAGCTCAACTGCGCTCCCGAGCCAGCCACTGATAGAGCTGCTCCTGTCACGCCTCCACTGCCCCCGTTTAGATTAACGCCGGTACTAGATCCCGCATAGCGGTACAGGACCGTATCGCTGGGCACGTTCTTTAGCTGCTGCCGCCTGCTCGGAGGAACAGGTCCTTCGAGCAAACTCGATCGGTACAAATGCAATCCAATCAGCAGGTACAGAACCAGGATGATGGACATCGGAGCCAGGAAGAATATGAACGTAGATAGCTGGAAGGAGTGCTCCACAATGACCCGAACCACGGCGCATCTGTCAACACCGGCGAAATCATCGATTCCAAACTGGGCCGCCTGGGGAATGGCTGTTATCACGGCCAGAATCCACACCAAGACGATGATGCGTATGGCACGGCTGAGTTTGCTCATGGCCTGGCCCAAGAACGGATGGCAAATGGCTATGTAGCGCTCCACCGTAAAAGCTGTGATGGTCAATACCGTGGCATTGGCGGATGTCTCAGCCAGAAGTCCTCGTCCAATGCAGAAGTATTCACCAAAGACGTAGGGGTACTTGGACCAAATGAAGGATACCTCCTGGGGAACGCCGGAGAGAAGCAGCAGGAAGTCCGAGATGGCCAGCGAGAACAGGTAGTAGTTGGTGGCCGTGTGCATGGAGCGGTTCTTCTTGATCACAATGCAGGTGCTAATGTTGCCAATCACGCCTGTGATGAAGATCAGGGAGTAGACCACCGTGACGGGCACCACAATCGCCAGAGAGTCCCGCGGCGGTCCGAGCAGCTGACTCGCATTGCCAGCGACAGACATAATATTGCCGCTGGAATATTTCCCCTTTTGTTTTCACAAAATTTCCACTACCAGCGCTAAATTCCGCTGCCGTTTAACTCACAATGTGCGACAGTGTGTCCCCGCAACTATGCTAATTATAATAATTTAATGATGGAGACAACCGCGGACGGGAGGCGAATCTTGACTTGGTGCCACTCGAATCTCAGCTCTCGACTCTCGATCCTCGTCCCTCGACTCCCGCGATTTGCAATTCTCAATATGCGGCTGGCACGCAAACGCAACAAATTATCCCCAATCCACTGTCCGGATTGCGGAGTATATTATGCGGGGGGCGCGACTTTTCGTGGCTGGATGCGATTTTCCTTTCTTTGGACCCGTGAGCAGCTGAAGCGACCGCACTCCAGCACGCTCCGAACTTATCTGATAAGCCGCGGCGACAGTTCATTCAGATTTGTATCTGAAAAAGTCAGCCACGAAGCGACGCGCTGCTGTTTTCCCTCACATGAATGCGGAAAGTGCGCGACATGTCTGTAGCGACGACGTGTTCGGGCAATTAACCAAATGCCCCAGCCGCAAACGCAAAAACAAATCAAAGAATTCGATATACAAAGCATCTTATGAGTAATTCGGGTTTGTGTACATTTAATTGCAAACAAGTTTTCATTATACTATTTAACCAAATTTATCTGATCATTCATAGAGAAGCAACAATGCGACTTTGAGATACCCGGTATTTTCTAAAAAAAACTGCTGCTCTTTTTTTGTAAACAAGTAAAACATACTTATAGTTGGGGTTGAAATGGCATAAGCATTTAAACCCGGCCAACACTGCGTATGAGTGATAAACAATTAAACCAACTTGTATGCTATAAAAAGTGTTTTTGTTTTGCTTTCCACATGCCTCATGCCTGCCAAAATAGATACTAAAGATAATCAAGTAGGATTAAAAATATATATAGAAATAGATTTTATAGTAAAAGTCTTTAAATGTTTCCGTCATTTGCAATTAACTAAATCCTCACACATTTCGCGGACCTTTCAGAGTCACATTTATAGATCCCTCTCGACCCCCAGTCGTGTGTGTATTTTGGCAACAATATTTCATAGTGTCTATTGAGCAGCTCGGGACATTAGCCACTGTGCGCCAAAAGCAACAACCACAGAAACGAACCAAATAAAACGGAATCAGCCAAAGAAACTAACTTGGCCGAATGCGTTTCGCGAGTCGCTCGGCTAGTTGTCGCACGCTGCTGACGAGTGACATTCTCCGTGGCCACATAATAATATTTTCATTCATTTGTTTCGTTTCGTTTAGCAGCGCGCTAAGTGAGCACCGTCGCCCCTAGATCCACTGGCCCACGACCACCCCGCTTTGAAGATATCAACTGCCATGACACACCCACCCCGGGTGGGTGGCAAAGTGCGTGTGCGATGACTTCGGCTCTGGAATTTGGCACGAGCCGCTAAGCTTTCAGCCTGCAACAGGCCCCCTCAACTGTAAAGCTTTCCACGTAACTGTACACAAAGTGAAAGAGAGAAAGCAGGGAAAAGCTCATCAATCATAGCCGGTAGGCGACGTGGGCGAAGGATGAAGGCCAGAGGAAAATGAAGGATAGAAAACTAAATAAAACCCTTTTTAGTTTAAGTATGTAATTCATATTTATTAGATTCTTCAAAAGAAGTTGAATATTGTTATAATATTGATGTATGTATGTATGTAAATATGTAGCACATCCATAAAAGTTTTCCCCTAGAGGGTATACTATTATATTGTTTTTAAACTTATAACACATTTAACATTTAGTAAATGTTATAAAATTGAGTAAGTAAAGTACATTTCTTCAAAAGAATATATTCCAAAAGTTACATAATTTCCCGATCAGAAAGTTTACTTTCCTTGCACATAAATCGTACGATTTCTTAAAAACTTTTCTCAAAAATGATTATTATATGTGATTAAGGTTATGGTTCTTCTAACTTCAACTTATACTACCAGCCTCTTTTCTTTTCATCAAGCACGAAACCTTCTTCCACTTCTAGATTCTTTTGCGTTATCCATACATGATTAGTTATTGTTGGTTAAAAATATTTGTGGATATACTTTTACTTCACACAGATACACATTGATTAATTATTTTATGTAGTTGGCAAAAGTACACATATATTTTTCTTAGCAGTTCGTTGACCTTATAGACAATCAGAAATTTAAGCTCTTCGGGCTGTAGGATTATAGTCTGGACTCATTACATCTAAAGTTAGTATAGCTTATACCTTAGCTGGTAAGTATTGCTCGATCCGAAAGTGTTTAAAATCAGAGATCCTTATAAATCGATTGTAAATAGCCTCGTTTGTGCTAAAATATTAAACATGGAAATGCTTAGACCATTTTGGGTGGGTAGTGAAATTGTACTTTGATATTTGGCTTGTGTTTTGTCTGAATGAGTAAAATTATATCTAAGTTTTCACCTCAAAAGTTGTATTAGAGTTCGTAAAGTAAATAAAAATGATGGACGCTAAGCTTCATCATATTTCATCGCCACTGGACTGGTTTCTAAACCACAATCTCGATAATTTCCGTGTCGGTGTCGTCGTCGAAATTATCCTCTCTGAGGCCCCAGTTATTGTGGGGTGGAGGCGACTCGTTTTGTCAGTGAATGTACCTCTCCTGCTATAGGAGCACCTGCTTCATTTGTGGCCTCTGCCGCTCAAGGATCCGCTGGGCCTGTTCGTGATCCAAATCAATGGAGCAAGCAATCAGCTCCACTAGGTTGTGCCCATACCGCAGGATGTGGTAGATGGACTGAATAGTCAACTTGCTGCAGTTGCTCAAGTTGAGAACGCGCAGCCGTTTCAAATTCCTCACAAACTCTCGCACCGTGTCATCATCCACCGCCACACAACTGGACGTACACAGCGACTCCAAAGAGGGGCAATTATTGGTCAGTGCCTCGAATCCTTCCGTCTGGAATCGAGTGCAATAACCAAGAGACAAAGCTCGCAGCTCCGGTAGCTTCAGGGCATACTTGAGTACGCGATCGGTGAGATTGCGGCAGCCCCGAATATTCAGCTCCTTCAGTCCCTTGAGGCGACTAATCGGATAAGGATCCTCGCCGAATCCCATCAGCCCCTGATCAGTGATTTTCACACAGTAATCGATGTTCAGGTTCCTTAAACCAGTTTGATATCTGGAAAAGTTAATATTCTTTAAGTAAGACCTTTTCTTATGATTTAAGAGAGCACCTTACTTGCAAATAGTGGCCATGGTTCGATCGGTCACCGCCTGGCGACAATTGTCCAAGCTGAGACGCCTTAGGTTGGGCAGGCGCTCCAGCATCTCGCACATGGAATTCTCATCGATGAAGCAAACCTCCTCTAGATGCAGGTCCTGGAGGGCATAGTTCGTCTCAAAGGCTAGTCCTTGAAGCAGTCCCACACCAGTCAGCTCCCGGCAATAGGCCATTGTCAACGTCTTCAACTGGCCGCTTAGCTTTCGCAAAGCTTCAACGCACGAGGAATTCAATTGAACGCAAAACATGAGATCGAGGATCTTCAACGACTTGTCCCACTTTCCGGCCAGGTAGAGAAGTAACTCGTTAGTAAGAGTCAGCATTCCAGTGAGATCCAATTGTTCAAGAGGAGCTTCTCGGGGGACGGCTCTAATGATGGCTTCTAAAAGCGCCAGATGACAGTTACCGGAGAGCTTCAGAGTGCGTATGTTCTCCATGCACTCCAAGGTATCGGTCCAGGGCTGGGTGTCCAGTCCAGGGGAGCAGCTGAAGAAGATGTCCAAAGACTCCAAAGTGTCCGAATGATCCCGAAGAACCTCAAGCAGAACGTTCTCGTTGTTCCGCTTGTACTCGAACTGCAAGTGGCGCAGGTGCACCTTGGTCTCCGACCTTCGGAGTTGCATCAGCATCGACAGCTTCATCGAGGGGTCCAGGCTGACGCCATCGCACGCAAAGCCCACCAGCTGGGAGAACTGCTTCAGATTCAACCCATCCATGGGCTTATTTTGATGGGTATCCATCGAGCTGGTGGTGGCAATGGTTAACTTCTTCAAGTTTGGCATCCTGCCGTCCACATTCTTGAAGACCGGCGAGTGGCGCAACAGCAGATGCTTCACATCCTTGCCAACCAAGCGCATAAAGTTCTCTAGCTGGCGGCTTTGGCGCAAATTCCTTAGCTCGATTCGCTCGAAGCCCAGATTGGAGTTGCCGCGCTGGACGTGCTTGTAAAGTGCCTCCAGGTTTTGCTGGGTAACAATCACCTTTCCCTTTTCCATGAAGTGGCGTCTGCTGACCAGATCCCTGCACTGGGTGGACACCATGCGCAGTTGCTGCAGATCATTGTACGACAAGTAGGTCATGATTTCCAGCCACATCTCGTTCGGCAGAATGTCAATGGGAGTTGGATCAGCGCAGTCCAGGTCATCGGGAGTCCCCGGTGGAGTGGGCGATGTCTTGATGGAGCGCGCCAGAGCCATGAGACGATTCATCTTGAACTCCATCTTTCCGGGAGTCTGCAATGAGTAATACCATTTTTAGTAAGAGCAAAAACAATGGTCAAGGTACTACAATGCTGGTAGAAGTGATAGTAACTCCAAAAAACAGTTCTTACTTTCACCAGCTGTTATACAACACTTTTCTTCAAAGGATAATTATTCACAAAAGTATTAGCCTTTAACTACTGTATTTTTGTTAGATTTTCAACCCAAATTACTACATTTTTGAAGAGTAGATCGAATTTGTACTTACGAATTTACCCACTAACTTTATTCTCCTTATGGTCTTTGATTTGCCCATTATATAGAGCAGAAATGGGACCAAACACGTGAGTTTTTTTTTTGTTTAGTACTTAATGACCTTTTAGGATGTAACCATGGAAAAGTTTTCACTTGCGATCCTCCCCCTGAAGGGTTCGTTGCACCTGACCACCTGTGTTTATGGGCCGGTTAAATTTTGCCGTTGCCAAGGTTTACCCTACAGTTTTCCGATTTTCTGTCTCTCTTCAATTTTCCAGGTAACTCACCTGAGCGTCGCCGGAGCTCAGCCTCTCCAAAAATTTCTTCTCCCGGCGCTGACTCGGTTTTCCACTCGTTATCAGATTGTTCCCCATGCAGGAAACCAACTTAATTTCTTCGATGAAGTATAGAGATTTTTTATTGCTATTTGATTTGATTTTTTGTGTGTTTTTGAATTGGGCGTCTACGTCTTCCAGACGCGATAATTTACAACATTTTGTGGCTGGGTGTCAAAATGTTGGCTATTTTTATACCTTACAGTTTGACATTTAATGCCGACGAAGATACCGTTGTTTGTTATTTGAAAAAATTTACTTAGCACATATTTTCGGCATCATTTAGCCACAATTATTTTAAGTTTTATTGGCACGGTTATTTATATGAGGGTATTAATTATTTAATTATTTTATTGTGGTGAATATTGGCACAATTTTGTTGCTTTTCGAAATGCTTATTAAATCATAATGGGTTATGAAGTAGACGAAGTATTTTTACTGCGTCACTGTAGGTTTTTGATTTTTAACGCCGATTGTGATACGTTTAAGGACTTCTATATGTTGTAAAACGATGAAAACGCTGAATTTCCTTTGGTTTTGAATATGAAAACTATTTTTGTGCACCGTCTGGATGATTTTCTTTCCAATTTGACTGCAACCTGCTGCCGCTGGTGTTTTTTTCTTCTGAAAATCCAAATGTGAATTCCCGCTGCGAAGAAAAACAAACCACTCGCACCGAGCACAGCTGTGTATCTGTATCTTCAATGCCGAAAATTGTTCAGATACTTTTCATGGGTAGATAAATTCTTTTGACACGCATGCTCTATAGCTCTCCCGCTTGCACTCACGTCCGTTGTAATGTTACATTAAGGGCGAGCACTCTCCCAAAGGGCTGCTCTCAGAGCTGTTGAGCTCTCTCAGTGCACGGTCTCTCAATTTGTTTATGTTTGTTGCTGCGTGTGACCCACATACAAAAAAAACCAACAACACGGCTAGGGAGGGTGGCCTTGATGTGATTTGGTTGAGGAAAAGTACACGGTAAAAAATATACTTTTCTTGGAAAATTGAAAAAGTTTTTATTAAGTGATATGTAAAATAAAAACAATGGGACATAGTATTTAATAACTTAATTTTAATTGTTAATATTTTATTAAGAATGTAAGTCAAATTAAATTAAATTTTCACGCCAAGTGTTTTGAGCGGTCCAATCAACCCACGCTTTAACAACTACAAATGGGCTAAGTACGCTTCGAGCGTTCAAAAAAATTTTACATTGTAAAAAATAGAACTGATTGTATTACTGAATGAGAAAAGTTTATATTAGTGATAGATTGACAATATGTGTATCTTAAATATAATTAATTATTTTACGATTGATCAAAGAACAAAAACAGGCCGTTTCATACATATTTTTGAAGTACTTTATAAAAAGTGTACTTTATACTTTAAAAAAAATTATTTCGTGTAAGAATATAAGCTAACCTCAAACTACCAATTATATCCATTCTTGCGTTGGAGTCCCGTAACTATTAATATTGGCAATGGGAAATTATTTTAAAATAATTGCACCACTGCAACAAAAGATTGTGAACGAAACAGAATATTTATAAATTGAAACAAATAAAAAATAAAGAAAAAAAATGAACACAATGTTTCATAATTCTAAATGAGTTTCATGATAAATAAATAGCTTATTTAAGCGTATTTTTCGAGTGTTAAATTTAACTAGGATCCCGATCCCCAAACTATCAATTAAAAATCTCAGGTGGTAGGACCTCAACAATTATAATAGTAATTGCATAGATTTTCTAAGCATATAAAAAGACGATCCTGATGCATTAAATTTCATAACTGTACGGTAAGAGGACCCACAATGGACGATTCGCAACCCAAGCTCCAAAAACTCATCCGGATGGAAGACTTTCTTCGACCCCAAAACTTGCAACAATATTCGAAAAATGTGCACTTTAAATGGCGACGAAATCCTGCTGATAATCGTCTAGAGAACACATCGATGTTGGCCTTTTGTATGTCAGCTTTCTGGAATGTTATATTCTTCGGCTTCAACGGATGGAATGTTTTGGAAACTCTGTTGTTTGGTTATCCGAATACTCAAAACCCACCTATTGTCAGCATAACAGTTTACTTCTCCATCCGCGGATTGATTCTGTATCTAAAACGAAAAGATATTGTTGACTTCGTTAACGACTTGGATCGTGAATGGCCGCAAGACATCGCTAGCCAAGTGGAGAAGAACATGGATCAAACGTACCTTGCCTTTTGCCAACGGTATAGATTTGTGCAGATTTTTAGTATTGTTGGTTTTCCTATATTTTGCATGTTGCCGGTGGGAGTGTTTGTACTGACCCATGAGGGGAGTGATGTTCCTGTTTCTCTGAACGAGCAGCTTCTTGGAGGTTGGCTTCCTTTTGGAATAAGACAGAACCCAAAATTTTATTTTTTGGTCTGGACCTTCGACATTATCTGCACACTTTGCGGTGTGTCTTTTTTTCTTACCTTCGACAATCTGTTCAATGTGATGCAAAACCACTTGATCATGCATTTGGATGACCTTTCTAAACAGATCGATGGCCTCAATCCTGGTGACAGTGTGACTAATGAGAAGGTATTTTTTGCGAATCTTTCCGCATTGGTGCAACGGCAGCAGCTCTTGAACGAGCTTTGCCGCAGGTAAAGTAAATATCTTCTATATTTGTACTTAAATAATTCCTATTAATATGGGCAGATATAACAACATATTCAAGGTGGCCTTCCTGGTAAGCAACTTCTTAGGTGCTGGGTCGCTATGCTTTATGCTCTTCATCCTGTCAGAAGCATCAGATCTATTAATCATTGTTCAGTACACGATTCCCACACTTGTATTGATTGGTTTTACCTTTGAAATCTGTTTGCGTGGAACTCAGCTAGAAGAGGCTGTAAGTTTTTTGATTTAACTACTCTAGAGTCATTATTGTTTTATTAAAATCGATCCTTCAAATAGTCGTCCAGGTTGTATTCAATTTTGGCCCGCCAAAACTGGTGCAACGGCAGCCGGAAGTATCGTAAATTCTACTTGCTCTGGATTCAGTATTCCCAGCGAACCCAGAAACTGGGAGGCTTCGGTCTCATCGAAGTGAATATGGTGCACTTTACTGATGTAATTATTTTTCTCAAAATGAATTTATCAAATGTTTACCCCCGTGGTTTTTACAGATAATGCAATTAGCCTATCGACTCTTCACGTTTCTTAAATCACATTAGAAAAAATATATGTCAATTTACAGATCAACAGTTCTTGTAAAACTAAAACAAAAATATAACTTTCTTTTTACATTAAATGGTAGTCTTCTGCGACACCTGTTTTAACTAATATATATAGCGTTAATACTTTGAAAATAAACTTCATTAATTTGGCTCTTTCTTTGGACTAACCTTTAAAATGGAAATAAAAATAGTATCCTTATACAGATCAACACAAAGCTGAATACATTGAAAAAAAAACAGTACTACAATCCAAGTAATTAGAATCATTTTTCCGTTCTATTCCCACCCTTCTGATGGTTACTGGCAAAACATTCGGCAGAGATATGTTCAGCAGTATTCTTTAAGTAGCAAGATCCATGATGAGCGTTCAAAGACGTTACCTCGGCAGCTTTATACGGGCAACCTTTGCATTTATAAGGTTTTTCAATAAGTTGGCACGCCTTTAAGTGGTCTTGAAATACATTTTTTTTCTTAAAGCAGGCCCAGCAATGAGGGCATTGAGGATACTTAGACTTTAGTCTATCTTCCGGTTTTACCGTTCGCAGTTCAGGATTTTTCATTATATTCACATAGCGCCGATAGCACCGACGACACATTTCTGTGGAATATTCGTCAGACTTTTGAGTTGCTTGTCTCGAAGTAGAAGCAGAGTCCTTAAAAACACAAGCGTTTTCATAATATAATTAAAGCATACATGACTATTTATAAACTTACCGCGGAACTCGGGATCAGGGCCTCAATTTCCTCAATCGTTAGTTCTCTTGGCGACAGTTTTGGTTGAGATGTTTGCTCCGCTTTTTGGTCTGTTCCTTTTTGTGTGCTTGATGGGGACTCCTGTTGATTTTGACCCTCGTTTTTGAGTTCAATTTGAAGTACAGTGTTGATAGAAGCATCTTCAATAGCCTGGGCTTTTGCGCCGCAACTCGTTAGGCAGTTTACAATTATTCCGTAGTTAATCAGGTCGCTAATAGTAATCAATTCAGTTTTACAGGTGCATTTGTGGATTACCAGAGTTCCGTGGTTTATAAAAGTTTTTACTTTGACCGCCTCCTGGCGTTCGACGCCGAGGCATTTTCTGGTTGACATGGTGCCGTAATTCGTGACAAGATCTTTTCCCAACATTTGCAAATCACTGACTGTCTCTGGCCTGCAAAGGCATTCGCGATTAAATATGCTTCCGTGGTTAAGAAACATATTGGGTATATTAATTTGATCAAAACAAAACAAACAATCTAACGATTTAGGGATGTGGGATGCCAAGCTTGCTCTGCCAAGGGTTGCCACCAATTTTTTATCGAGTTTTTTTCCAATATCGAGTATTAAATATCGGTCGAGTTCGAAAATTCGAACTTACATGTATTTATTTTCTTTACTTAACTTTTAAATATGTAGAAAATTAATATACATATATGTGTGCAATATTTTTTTTGTTATAGGGATCCCAGTTCATATTGGAGGTATTAAAGGGCCTGAAAAAGTGGTTTTATAAAATGTAATAGTACTAAAAATTGAAATTTGGGATAGAGGAACCTCCTTTAGTGAAAATTTGGTCCAATTTTAGGATCCAATCTTTTTAGGATGCCCATATAATAGGGTTACTCAATGACAGCTTCCCAAATTCCCATCCGATCCATTTAGAAAATTGCAATTTCAAACTAGTTTTGTTATTCGTTTATTATGTTTTATGTTTTCATATGTATAATCAAAAGAATTTATAATTGGATTGCATAAATATGAAATGAGTAAAATAAATACAAATAAAATGAGTTGTATTAGTTTGTTGGTTAACAAAAAGTTTAAAAAAAAATTGTAACGAAATTAATATACTGGCGCAAGTTTTAATATAAGTTCGATATAAGGCAATTTTATCAATTTTAATCCATGTTGTCGGTAAAACATTCGTTGAAATTAACCTTGCAAAGTATATCAATTTCGATTTTGTTTAATAATCGCCAAAATTATGGGATGACGAAAACGGCTAAGATGATGAAGAAGGACTCTTCTTCGTTGGTTTACAATGTGCATTTGGAAAGCTAACTAAATTTGCAGCACCTACGAAATTCGTTAGACTAGCAAAACTTTTTACCCTGAGGAAATTGCCCGATTTGTTTTTTTCGGGAGAGATATTTGATGTAGACACATTTTGTGACGGATCGCTAAAAGAAGTAGTCGGATGAACCAAGTCACTGGCGTATAGATTCTACAAGAAAAAGAGTCAGATTTAGAATTTAAAATTGTTTTAAGAACCAACCTGTACATTCTCCTTGCCAAGGATTTTAAGATTCATTGGGGCCGCAATTTTTCCTGAGGACATTCCCTGATTTTTTTTAACAGACGACCTGTTCTTGTAGATCACAGTTGGCTGTCCATATACTATACGGGTACGGCATCTTGGTGGATCTTTACTTGTCAGCTTGTGGCGAAATTGTTTACATTTGTTAGTGATATTTTTTCATTACTTTTATATATAGCTTACCTGTGAGTCTGGTAATCTTTCATTTGGACTTTTGCTGTCTTGAGATGCTGGTGACTTGAGGATCGAGGATTCCAATGGTTGCATACCCTTTAATTATAATTTATAACAAATGAAGTACATAAATACTAATAATATTTACCATGTTAGTCAAGCTAAAGCTTTCATTTGGATTTTTGTTGACAATATTCCTATTTGCTTGTAGTGAATTCGCCGCCAAAAAGTTCATAAAAACTCCAGAATTATGACCGCTGCTGGCTTCAGTCTTATTAGGCTCATTTTTGATGCTTTGTAATGCGTGTTCCCCATTTGGATAAGGAATCGGTTGAATCGCTCCGGGTGGATCATTTCTTTCATCTATAATTATTGGGTTCTAAAAGCGACGTTTTGTCAGTGGTATTCTTTAAAGTCTTGTGCTTAACTTACTTGTAAAGTTGTCAATCTGGGATCTTTCATTGCAGTTGCCTTTGAAGAAGTTGGTTCCTGAGAAAACTCAACTTTGCTTTTTAGTCCAGAATTATGACAAATGGTTGCGAGTTCACGGTCCTTCTCAAGATGTACTCTTTGCCAGTGAGGCATTTCCATTGGTTCCGATGGACTCATAACCTGTTTAAACGATTTGAAACAATGCCATTAAGTTTTGTAATTAAAAAACATTTTTCCATTCTTTATAAGAACCAGAGCGTATGTGTTTGTAGATACATACCTCAGCTTTTGGCTTGATGGATAAAACATTTGTGTGTGTTTGGCCACGAACGGCCAAACTCGATTCCTAAAAAAAATAATTAGAACACAATTGAGGATTATTGAATTTAACTCATAGATAAAAATCGACTTACCTCCAGTTCGCGGCGTTCGTCTAAACCATTTTCTAGATGGTTTGAAGAATTCGCCGATGATGAAGCTGAATTCGGTATAATTCTATTTTCACCATTCGCAAAATGGCCGTTGGAATGACTTGCCGAAATTTCATTACACGACAAAGTTCCTTCCGATAGTGTTATTGGAGGATCGCCCATAAACGTTAAAGAATATGATGCTCCAGATCCCATAAAAGGACTTAAATGCATTATGTCGGACTTAACCTTAATAACAAAACTTTCCAAATCGGATTGGACGGTGCCTTTCGGAATCTCAAAATGCTTGCTAATGTCCAGTCTCATACGTACATTTTCCGGATTAGCTATTGGTGTGCAAGTGGATTTGCAACTTATTATGGTTCCATAATTGCGCAGTTCACATATTTCTAATAACTTGGTGTTGCAAGTGCATCTATGCCATATAAAGGTTCCAAAGTTATGCAGAACTTTAAGATTTACAATCGGCTGATTCAAATGTCCCGAGCATTTCCGGGATATAATTGTTCCACTGTTGTATACAACTTCTTTGTCCATCAATGTCTCATTGCATCCCGCAAGGAGTGTACATTGACACACCCGGTTGATAGTCTTTCCTCCACGGAAATTTAAATACATTTTGTCCGAATAAAAAATTCAATTATTCCGTTCCGAAGGCTGAGCTGAATGGAAAAACTTGAAGAGGTGATGCCAGAAAGAAATGAATTTTAACACAAGGAAGCTTCGATAATTTTTTCGATAAAATTATTTAGATATTAATGTGACCAATGCTTTTAGTAAAACATAAAATAATTTATATTTCAATTCATATTAATATGACCAACTTGTAAACTATACAATTATAACCTTTTTAACGTTCATATTTTAAGTATATTGTCATGTTCCAAGAATTCCCAAGGGCTCCAATTAACTGGACAGGCGGTGCTGAAAAGCGTGCTGTAACCATTTTGGTTAAAATGGAACAGTTAGTCAATAATAACGAACTGATGTGCAAAGATCATGTCTCTATCGAGACGTTATGTTCAAGTGGGATTTCTCTGGTTTTGCACCCTGAATGGCATAACCGTCCTTAACATAACTTCCGGAAGATATCGAAAATCGCGTTTTCTTATCGGTTATCGCATCGTTCACAATTTTCTCGTTATAATCTTGACTGTGAAGTTTTTGCTGGAGTTTTGGCGGGTCAGTGAGGAGTCATTTTCTCAGTCTCCTCTGGTTAAACTGGCTGCCATCACATACTTTGGGCTGGTTTTCATATCGCTTATTAGTTGCATGCTTTGTGCCCATCGCCGACAGGAGAGCATACGCATTATGCTAGTTAAACTAAAAGATTTTGATGAAATAATCCAGAAACGTGGCTACACTCTTTCAAGGGAGAAAAAAAAATTTCTTGATCTCCTCACAGTAGGCCTTGTCGCTCTGCTGATCCTTCGGCTTGCTATTCATGGATTTTTGAATGTAAAAAGATTCATGAGGGGATCCCATAACCCTTGTAACTGCTTTTTGTCAGAGTGCATGATCTTTGCAATGAACTCTTTGGCATTTGGCATCTTGCACGAGCTCTGCCGCAATTGGTGGTGTTTGCAGTCCGGGCTAAAGATGTTGCTATTGGAAAGGAAGCCTTTTAAAGATCGGCTGACTCATTTGAGAAAGCTTTTGGACACGTTTCAGTGCCTAATTGATATGACACAAGATGTTTGTGTGGTATTTAGGTTTGTATTTACATAGCAATGGTTTTTAATACTTCAAAATTAACCGATTTAAGGTTTGTTTTCTTGTGCTACTTGATGCGGAATGTCTGGAGCGGCATACGAGTCGGATACATGCTGGTCCGCGTCTGTCTGGGCCACAGTGCCATCGAGTCAGAATTGGAGTATCTTCAAATGGTATTTGTCACATGTATACAACCGCTGCTTTATTCCATCCTGATGAACTATCTCACCCACACCACCGATAATCTCCTGGAAGACACAAAGAGCATGATGAGAGAATTATACCATGCCAATGCTCGAGTTGATCAAGCAGTTAGTTATATCAAATATAATGTGAATTTTTATCTAAAGTGTATGTTCTGGTGTTTCAGATGGAATGGTTTTCTCTGCAGGTTGCAAAACAGCATACTTACGTTCATATCTTCAGTACTTATCGTCTCAACCGGGCTTTGGTGTTTGAGGGGTGCTCGGTAATCCTGTTGCATGTCATCTATATGGTTCAGTGCGAGTACACTCAAATGTTTTAATAGATTAAAACTTAACTTAAAATCTTGAAATGGTTGGAGATGCGTACTAGTTCTTTATTGGCAACTATTACGGCCAAGAACCATGGCCATAAACTTTCTTCATTTGTGCAATTTGTGCTTCAAAGCTGCAATATTATTGTTATTTTAAACGTACATATATATATGAAATGTTAAGCATTATTTAAACTTATTTTTATCAAACCAAAAACCACCTTTTGCAATAATAAACTTTGATCAATATTAAAGAGTAAAGACATCGTTGTATTGAATTTCCATTTAATGTTACAATGAAAAATATTTGGGTGGCAAACCCTTTATAAAGGCAAACAGTAATGGGGATACAAATTAAGTTAAGAATTCATATTTCAAAAGTTCAAATGATATTTTTAAGAAGGAATCCTGTAGTTTTTTTGCTTTAACGACTGTTATAAACGTTAATCAACTCGATATATCGTTGAAAGTTTGATAGTTGATAGTCCAATTAAATCTGAAGAGTCCTCTGAATTTTCCTCTAATCTGGAACGCTTTGGTTGTTGAGAAGCTTCTAGCGCCAACGTTTTTCTTTTTGGCTGTGTGGCAGTTTCTGGTGGCAAATTAGCCGGTGGGGTTGGCGGAACAACTGTTGATGGAATTTCCACGATCTCTGTTATCACCACTGAGCTCCTGCGGCAATCTGTGTGGCATCGAATGATTGTTCCATAATTTGTGAAATTTTTAGTACGAATCAACTGACTAGAATCCGGCATACAACTGCATTCGTGTACTATCAGTGTACCGTAATTTTTGAAATTACGCACTGTAATAGTTTTGATCTCCTCAATTGAACCGCATCCTTTTGTTATGAAGACTCCATAATTGTCAAAGGTGTTTAAACAGCCTCCTGAAGCTATAAACGTGCTGTGATTGCAAAATTGGTGAAATGTGACGTATTCATATGTTGATTGGTCAAAAGTTCTCGAACATTGGCAGTCTCGATCCGTTATTAAGCCAAAGTTGGTAAATTTTTTACACAAAATGCGATTTGAAATCATTTTTATAAATTATGCGTTTTTTTTTATAAAATAATTTGCTTGGCGTCTTAGCTTGTGGCACGTGCGCTTTAGGACTTACACTTCCAGTGTTGCTAAAACAAAAAATCGGTGTGGAAAAAACTTTCATACCGATATAAAATACCGATATTTTTTGTATAAAATGCTTTAAAAAAATATATCGATAACTTTTTATTCTAAATCGATTGGTAAGCCCCAGACAAAATACAAATTAGGATAAACTTACGGCTTTCTTATTTATTGAAATTTTAAACATACATATATTTGAATGAGATTAGGTGGTAAATTATACTACAAATGTATTTTGAGCAAATCAGCGAATCGTCTTTCCCATAACCCTAATCTTAGTTACAACTATTCCTGAGCAGTTCCATTCGGAACGTTCTGACGGCTGGTCACATATAAGCACTTTTTCCTAAACTGTCAAAAAAAAAAAAAAAAAGAGAACTTTCCATTTTAAAAGTTGCAACTTTGCAACATCGAAGAAGATTCTGCGTAGACGGAGGAATTTCAAAATTTCATAAAAGAGGGATTTAATATTATTACAACGGGAGGAAATCCCCTTAAGTCAAAAATGCCCCACTCAGCCAGGGCAATGACCCTGCGCTCTGATGCGGCTAATAATAAAAAAAGAAAAACATCGGATCCAGAAAATTCTCAAAAAGTTCAGGAAGAAATGGACATCTTGGAGTCAGAAGAATGCAACGATAATGTTTTACAGCAGACTTTGATCAACGAGCAGGATACAAATGTCATCAACATCAACGACAATGACAACATCATCATATCCAAACCACAGCAAGTACCGCTTAGCTATAAAAGAAATCATAAAGGTCCTTATATTGTTTATATTGACAAACTCACTAACGGTGACAGTACTAGAGAGAACCGTGAACCTATTAATGCCCTCGAACTAAATGCAACTATTTTTAAGCTTAAACTTAAAGATATAGTAAAAGTCAATAAAATAGGCTACGGGCGTTGTAAGGCAGAGTGCAAGACAGCTAAAGCAGCTAATAATTTATTAAATTCTGATTTAAAAAAAGAGGGCTACGACCCTAAAATTCTTAAGCATTTTATTTTTAAAACTGGTATCATTTTTCAAATTCCAATTAAATTTACTACTGACGATTTAAAAGAATTTATTTCATCCCCAGTGCCTATTCACGAAATTATTAGAGTAAATAGAAAAAATGAAAACAAAGAATTTGTCCCCACGTCCAGGGTTAAGATTATTTTTGAAGGCTCCCAGATTCCAGAAGAAATTGACTTCCTTTATACAAAGGTCAAAGTGGAACCTTATGTTCCTTTTAGCCAATGTTTTAGGTGCTTCAGATTTGGGCATTTTGCTCAACACTGTAAGCAGTCTGAAGAGAAGTGTCGCAATTGTTCCCTTTCTCATCCAAGAGAAGAGACATGTACGACACTTAAATGTATTAACTGCCACTTCTCCCACACCGCTACCTCACTTGAATGTCCGGCAAGAAAAAGAGCGTTTGCCATACAGAAATGTATGACATCGCAAAACCTATCTAGAGTGGAAGTTAGAATAAGATATCCTGCTCTTTTTGACAAACTAGCTCCATCCACTCCTGAGATTTTTAATACCACCGAATTCCCTCTACTAGAAACCCCTAAAAATTCGTCATCCCCGGTTTTGCAGGATAACACTAAACTAGCTGCTGAATCTATTCACAAATATTTACCCTACAACAAAATAGCTAAAAATTATAAAAACAAGTCAATCGAAGGAAGAAAGTCGCAAGAGACGATGTCCAATTGGAAACGAATTATAAAAGATCACGAAATTTCTCTTGAGGAAAGATTTGTTCCCCTTCAAGGGGTTCCTCTTTCCAATCAACCGGCTGATTCTAGCTCTTTGCCACCTTCAGCCAGTTCTTATCAGAACTCAGCCTTGGAAACAGCTGAGAACAGTTTAATCAACATTTCTTCGGAGATTGCCTCCTTCCTTTTAATAGACAATCCGAACAACTCAGGTAATTCCAGATCTTTTCTCGAATCCTTAAGGGATATTATAGCCAAAGCCAACTCTGAAATCGATATTAAAAAAATGAAATCTTTAATGTCTTAATCTCTCATCATGATTAAGCCTATAAAAATACTTCAATATAATATTCAAAGCTTAACTTCACAAAATAACAAACAGTTGTTGGAACTTTTTCTTATAAATAACAATATTGACATTGCCATTCTATCTGAAATTTGGGTAGTGGATAATGCCATGTGTAGTCTAGCAAACTATAATTTTATTTGCAAGCCTCGTGAGGATGGTTATGGGGGCGTAGGGATTTACGTGAAAAAGAATATTAATATAAAAATCCTAAGTATTAACTCAAAAATCGAATCTATCGGTATATCAACTAAAAACCTTAGGCACAACTTTAACATATTCAGCGTATATGCCCCACCTAATTTGAGCATACATGATTTTAAAGCAGGACTCAAGGAAACTATGTCCTTAGCTGCTAAACTAAATGGTCCCTCGTTAGTGGGGGGCGATATTAATGCCAAATCGCCCATATGGGGCAGCCTCATTCAGGACAACAAAGGTATGGCAGTGGAGGAAGTACTTTTATCCACAGGTTTTTTTTGTATTAACGATGGTTCTCACACCTATTCCACTAACCCTACTTCCAGTTCAGCTCCTGACGTTTCGTTTGTTAATAAAAATTCCCTTTCTCCTATTTGGACTACTGCAAACTCTAAAATCTCTAACAGTAACCATTTTCCAATAATTATTGAATTATTGAATGTCCCATCCACTATCACCTTACATAAAACCTTAACGGAAAAAGTTATAAAAGATTTTTCCAAAATTAATATTAGCTCTCTTGACAGTTTATGTAGCACAGCTAAGGACATAATAAAAAAAAACACTATAAATCTTAATGAAAATAATAAATATGTTCCAAAAAAGTATTGGGATAATACTTGTGAAAAGCTTTTTAGATTAAGGAATGCATGCAGACAAAAATATTATAAAACCAAATTGACATCCGATGCAGTATTGTATTTAGACTCAAATAAAAAACTAAACAATTATTTTTATAAAGTTCGCAAAGAAAACATGAATACTCTAGCTGACTCGTTATCCAACACCCAGTCTCCAAAAGAGTTATGGGAAAAAATCAAACCCTTAAAATATTATAGACAAACTAAACCCACACCTAAACTTTTTGACGACCAGGATCATCAAATTTTTGTTCAGCAAATTGCAATAGCTCCTGACACCCCAGGCTGTATAAATTATAATTTCCCCAATTTTGAACTTGGATCCATAAATAGAAAATACTTTTCTCCTAATGAAGTCTTAGACTTTCTTAAGACTCGTAACCCAAATTCTTCGAAGGGATTGGATAACATTTCTTATAGTATGCTTCTATCTTTACCACCCGAACAAATTCAAAATTTTGTTTCCATGTTGAATGATATTTTTAACGAAGGCCAAATACCCGATATATGGCGAAAAATTAAAATCGTACCTGTTCCAAAAAAAAATTTAGATTCCTCTATCATTACTAACAATAGACCTATATGTTTGTTAAGTGTAGTCTTTAAGTGCCTTGAAGGTCTTGTTAAAAATAGCTTAGAAGAACACATTACAAAAAATCAATTACTTCCTGACAGGTCTTACGCCTTCAGGAGAAATCGCTCAACAGCACAATGCATTAATGATGTGATTAATAATGTTGCTAGTCTTAAAGCCAAGGGCTTTCATGTTTTGGCAGCAGTACTGGACCTGAGCAAAGCCTTTGACTGTGTCAATATCTCCATTCTTTGCAAAGTTCTTGTTGATTTTGGTTTCAACCACCGCTACATTAATTTCATTATTGAGTTTTTGAGAAAAAGAATCCTGGTCTTGGGAAAATCCGAGGTCATTGTAGGCAAAGGAGTTAGTCAAGGAAGTTGCCTCAGTCCTATTCTTTTTAATCTGTACACAACCGTCCTTCATACTATTATTGATCAAAAAAGTCTACTTTTTCAATACGCGGACGATTTTTTTCTTATTGCTTTTGACAAAGACTTCATGACTGCAAGAGAAATTCTGGAACAAAAGGTGAATCTTTTTAAAGAAACTTGTGATACGATTAATTTAACTTTTAATCCCTCCAAATCATCTGTGATACATTTTAACAATAGGAGACGTTCTTTAAATATTATGTGCAACAATCTAGTGATTAAGGAAGTTGACCATGTTATTTACTTAGGAAGAACCATTTGTACTAACAACTCCTCTATCAATCATGTTAGACACACGCTTGCTAAGGCGAATAAAACAAATATGTTTTTAAATATGCTTAGTGGTTGCCGCTTCGGTATCCACCCCAGCGTAGCTCTTAAGTTTTTTAAAGCCTTCGTTAGATCCAAATACGAATATGCATGCTCTACCTTTGCTAATATCTCGAAGACTGTTACTTCTAGTATCCAAATACATGCTAATTTCTACCTAAGGAAATCCCTTGGACTATTAAAATCCACTCCTGTAAATATTATTTACCACCTAGCAGCAGAACTCCCCCCTGCCTATAGAATGAAATTTGCTACAGCTAAGGAATTAGCTAAAATTTTCACTCTTAATCTCCCAGCTGCTTTACTACTTAAAAACAACTTCGCCGCCAAAAACACTACTTATATCAAAACATACTTAGAATTTAAAGACATTTTTGATTCTTTAACCTATGTAAATTGCTCATTTTCTAAGCCTCGGTTTTTAACATTTGATTCAAATTTTTTAAGGGTTCTTGCCATAACAAAAAATCTAGCAGCCCTGACGTGGTGGACATTCTTTTTAGAGAAAAACATAGTTTATTAACTAGCCAAAATTTCGAAATAATTTACACGGATGGCTCTTTTAGAGATAATTTCACTGGGTGTTCCTTTTATCATGTCAATAGTAACACAACTAAAAGCTTTTATATGAATAAGAAGTTCTCTTCACTTACTGCAGAGCTTACAGCCTTAGAGAAAGCCATTGAATTTGCAATTGACCAACATATTACAAGGGTAGCTATCCTAACGGATAGTTTGGGTGCTATTCAAGCCCTTCAAAAGCGGTATTCTTCTAATCGCATTGTGGCTGAAATACTCAGAAAAATTGACAACAATATATTGGTTATTCAACTACATCATATTCCGAGCCATTTGAATATTAAAGGAAATGAAGTTGCTGACTCTGCTGCAAAAAACGCCAATACCTTGGGATCTTATCTAAATATCAGATACACGATCAATGATGCTATCACTCACATCTTCAACAGAATTAAAACTGATTGGGAGCGCGACTATAATTCTTTTTGCATAGAAAGGAATAAAGGATACTGTCTTCTATATCCATATACCTTACCCAAACCATGGTTCCAATCGGAAAACTGCAATCTTAATAGATTGCAGATCAAACAAATTAATAGAATCCTCAGCGGTCATTCTTTTGATAAATATACCCTATACAAACTAAAAGTCCATGACAGTCCCAATTGCGATTGCAATTTCAATACTATAGAGGATATTTCACACATAATTTTAAATTGTTCCAAATACGATAATATTCGTAGGAACTTCCCGCTCCTTCTAAAATACGATAACATTTATCGATTTTTTTCTCAAGAATCAGTTGAAAATTACAGCCAAATAACTAATTTCATTAAACTGGCTAATATAGATTTATAAGGCGCCTTTTAACTTCTTTATGTCACTAGAGATAATTAATACTATTAACTATGGATAACTTTTAACAACCAGCATGTGCATGTATTAACACGGTCACTTTAAATAGTTGACTATCGCATCTATCTTCATTATCGTTTATTTCCCATCCACATCATCAAGCCTCAAGTCATATTAATATAAATAATTTGTTCACATTGTCATAACAAGTATCTTGAAATTTTTTAATTTCACACATAGGCGTTGGCGTTTACCCGTCTTCACGGGACGGCCAAATAATTCTTCCCCCTCTACCGAGCTGGGATGTAACTTAATCAACAAAAAAAAAAAAAAAAAAACTATTCCTGAGCACCTCTTCTAGTAGCCGTCTAGTTACCCTACGGATGTACATGTGGATTGGTGTTCCGTGACATGCGTAGGGATGGCCGTCGGGATCCTCCGGCGGCCGTGGTTGTGAGACGAGGCAGACGCGGATTCACTGGCGGACCCATAACGCGGTCCACGGCATCCACCTGATTCTCAATGGGAGGAAGCGGCGAAGCTGGCGACCATTCCGAACTGGAGCTGGAACCCGGCGAGTCAGACCTAACGGTTACCATATAATATTTAAGAATAGATCAGGTTATTGTATCGGAACTATAGTGCACATACTTTTTGATAATGAAAACTTTTTAGCTTAGAATACGGACCATGCTTACCCGGCTGTGTAGATGGGAGGCAGCTTTTTTTCGTAGCTGCTGGTGCTGGGTGTCACAACACCGGCATGAATTTCCTGCTGGTAAAGCCCATAAAGCTCGCGCAGCTCATCAGGAAGGTCGACGTTCCCTTCCTCAATGAGACGTCGCTGGGAGCTGATGATGTCCTCGCAGAGTCGCCGTTGCCGCTCCGCCCGTAACAACTGTAAATCGCGCCTGCGTAGCTCCGCCTGGCGAGCAAGTCTTTCCGCCTGCAACGACACCTTGTCTGCTTCCAATTCATGGACACGACAGAGTAGCGCCAGCAGCTCGCGTTCTTCATCGCTACTGATGCGTTCTGGTAATTCCTGAAAATATATTTGGGTTTTTAGATCAATTTTAAGCTTTGTTAAATTGATTACATTCTTCAAGACTAAAATTATCATTTTAGGATTAAATTAATTTTTATTTGAGATACTTCTAGTTTCTCGTAGTCCTAGCACTTACATCCTCCAACTTAACTCCCTTCTGGCGGCACTGCTCCAGCTCGTGCTCAGTGCGTTCACGGATTTCCTTGTAGCGGCGTGTCTCCTTTTCAATAGCTGCCAATTCACCCCAGGCATTCTTCAGCGCAACCGAGCCTTCAGACTCAAGGTCTAAAAGAGGAGAAACCAATTTAATCACTTGAAAATGGAAAGACGTTTATATACTCACCATCGTCACCCAAGGCATCGTAGAGCTTTCCTATGCGCCCCTGCCAGTGAGAGATGATCATATGCTGCCTCTCAGCGTCTAGCTCCAAACCAAGAAGATGACTCTCTGCCTCCAGAAGCTTTCTACGAAGCTTCATTTGCTGCTTGAAGGTAAGCACGATCTGTTCTCGCAAGTAGCGTAGCTCTGTCTTTCGCTGATCGTCATGCTCATGGACTTCAGCTGGTCCTTCGGCTGCTCCCGTTCCAGTGCCCGAGGAAGCTGTCGCCGCCGCTTGGGCCGCTGCAGCTGCTCCACTTCGGGGACGATCGGTTAGCATCTTAGTCCGCAAGCGGGAAACTTCATCGCGCAGCTCAGAGACCAAGCTTTGATAGTGCTTGGTGGGGAAGTCCTTAAACTCATCGATATAAACGGAATTCTGGAGCTTGGTAGTAATGCTATTAGCGCGATCTGCATAAACCAGAGTGTTCTTTGTCTCATCCCGATGCTTACTTTCAGGAGCCACGTGGGCTATCATTACAGTTTTGCAGCGACCACTCAAAGCCTCCTTAAGGAGTCTGGTTAACTTTGAATCCCTGTAGTTTACGTAACGTGCTCCTCCGGAAAGTGCATTGATGCAGTTTCCCAATGCCAACAAACTACGATTGATATGTGCACCTTCCTGTAATCGCTTTCCCCGATTTTTAGTCTTCTTAGCACGCTCGGATCCTGCCAGATCCGTCAGAAACAGCCGGCCCTGCTTTGTTCCTAAAGAAGTCCTAGTTTGCACTGTTATACTAAGCAGTGCGTGACTCCTCGAGGATGTTTGATTTGCTGCTGTTGGCTCCATGGTACGTGCTTTATTACCTTTAAGTAGTAAGCTTACAACCTCTTTTCTACTCGATGTAGTTATCTCCGAGAGACCCGCTACGGTTATTCGCTGTCCCCGGTGGTCCTCTCTTAATTCCAAAGGCCCTCCCGGATTCAAAAGATCTCTTATGAGCTCATTATAGATTTCCAGGTAGGATATAGATACTCGACAGGAATCCACATCCGCCGACTCAATGTGACTAAATATGTCCTCAATAGCACGGACCATTAGTCCAATGTCCTGGCTGTTTACATCCGTCGAATCGCATGTGGCGGTGGGCGGAGCTCGGTCTGCGGTTTGAGGTTTCTTGCGCGGCACGGGACCCAACATGGTATGCGTCTTACCGGAACCAGTTGCTCCGTAGGCAAAAACAGCTGCATTAAGACCATTTAAAACGTCTCTTACCAAAGGAGCCGTTGTAGTTTTATACACCTGCTCCTGTGTGTCATTTTCGCGGAAAACATGATCATATGAATATTGACGTGGGCGACTCTTTCCTCCATCATCGTAGAGCAAAGATCCGCCAGAGATGACTTCAATGCAGCGCTCCGTTGCCTCTAAGCTCGGACGAACACGGACAGCCACCTAAAGAAACAATTCTATTATTAATAATTTCAGTTTATATTTAATTATTTTTATAGTTAATTTTATATATAATGATTATGTTATATAAGAATTTAAATTTTAAAGCGGGTGTTATTAAACATTTTTTTGGTTTCCCCGTTTTACTGATAAGCAGAGCTCAAAGAATTGCTTTTTCCAAGAAGAACTCATGGTTTTCATTATCGCATACATACATATACTATAGCTATGTATTTTTATAGAAAGTACAGCTTTAGGACTGATAGCTCTTAACGCCCAGTTCTATTTTAGCATTTGCCAAAGGCAGTTCTATTTCCTCTCATTAAAATGACAATAAAATCGCTTATTTTTCTTTGCTTTTTTGTTAGCGCGACTACGGCATTAATTTGGCCTGAAATCGGTAGTCCGGAACACTTTACTTACGGCGTGGAACTAGTTGGAAAAAATCTTTCATACATAGGAATTTTTACTGCCCCAAACGCTGGTCATAACTCCCTATTCTGGAGGGTTACATTCGCATGGAACAAAACTGAAAATGCTATGGTCAGTATAAAAAGATGGACGATATATTTGAAAATATTTAAAAAGTATGCTATATATATTTAAAAAAGACTCTGTTTCCGAAACAAAACGCGTTTGAGGGATATCCGACCCTGGACAAGGCCAGAAGGAACATGGAATTAGGATATCGTGGCCAGATTTTTGTGCGATTTGTTAACATCGTTGATGAGCTCCCCAAGCTAACTTATCTTTCCGTTAACGGCGATACTATATTTAGTCAGCAGATAGGTAAGTTCTTATAAAGCAATTTAAATTTCTGTGTCCTTACAAGTTACAATGACATTGGTCTATATTTTTAAGCTGGGAATTTGGAATCAATTACTGATCAGTACGAGATGCGGACTAATAATCACATACTGACAAGAGAAGATACCCTGCCAGTTATGTATCCTATTCTTCCAAAAATGGTTAAAAATTAAATTAATTTATAATAAAATGAAATGTAAATAAGTAAAAAATTTATAAAGGGGTACCTAATTTTCATCAGCAAAATTTGAATGTTATTCATAATGTCTATTTTTGGTACTGACCACAAGGCGCTCCTCCTGCGCTGGCTGGGCTGTGGCCATAGATCGTCCTTGGGAAGAGTTACTGCCTCCACTGCTGCCCGACCAGCTGCTTGCTCCTGCACTGGCCGCCATCCGTTTGATGTTTGATCCTTTAAAATACAAAAAAGTATGAGACTTGGCTATCATTTGCTGGCCACGTGCCATCTGGTTGATGACCTGACCTGGACAAGACCATTACAAATTGTGTCAATTTGTTGTCAACAATCGTAAAAACGCCATCAGCGCGGGAAACACCCAAAGAACTCCTAATGATTTTGTATATTTGCGCGCCAAGGTCTCTAAATGTTTCTAGATTAGTTCAGGGGGGCTTCCAATGCGTTTAACCTTGTTTACCTATGACTCCTAGGCTAAGAAGTTGGCGTGAGCCATAAATCAAGCCATGAACTTGAGCACCCCAAAAAGTCTGCGTGTCTTCGCATGCAAATCAATGGAGCTATAGCTGCCCAGTGTCCATCGAGTGGGTACTGTACATGGACTTCTCAAAAAAAGTCTATGAACCTTGGAAGAGCGTTGAAAAGCTTCTTCGAATAATATATAGAAGGCTATACAATATGTTTATCCACTTTGGGTAATATTTTCATTGAAAAGATTAGAATCTTAAGATTCGAATGGTCTTTGGATAAGTACCACCTCCTAAACCCCTTCTTATCCTCCTAAACCAATCGAAAAACATTTGGGAAATTTAATACCTAAATGACTGACCAAACTCATTGACCTTTTTAGTTATTAAATCTCCTCTAGATAGACAAATTGGAAGGGTTCATAGGGAACTAACACTTCAAATATAATTAGCAGCACATTTTTTTATCGCACTACCTTAATTCAAAAGCCATGTCCCCGCGCCAGACACGTGGTGACCCCTGACCTGTCTGTCACTGTCACCCAATATCACTCCATTCATCGTCGGGAACCAACTGTCGCTTCCCCAACCCCATCGCCATAATAATTTCATTTGCCTAAGAGCTGCTCAATTATAAAACGTGCGACTATTGGGGGCTGCGCTTCAGGGTGCCGGTGAGTTGCATTATTTATTTTAATTCCACGTTTCCTATTCAGGTGTCATGAATATGTCATGGAACAGCCCAGCCCCCGAAAACCCCAAGCATCCGCGACACATTCACATTAAACATGTACACAAATTATAGGCCTTGAGAATGTCAACAAAACTGGGGGACAGGGTTTTTAGTGCACGGAAATATATGTATGTATTGTATAATTACTTAATTTTTGTCCTGAAAATAGCTTCAGAATTTTGTTTATAAATGGTATAAAATTTATAAATTTATTTTTACAATAAATAATAGATGATGGTTTTCCGTAATCCGCTCAAGAATCAAACGATTATTGACAAAGATATGGACTTTGCTATGAGCCCTACTGACCTTCCATTTTTCTACATTTGGCAGGTAATTTCACAAAATATCTAAAGAATCATTCGTTTCTATATTTTGATGCATATTGGTGTAGAATCGATCCACAAATCATTTAAGGTATTCCGCTCGAGAATCGGATGATATGGGCTTTGCCCTGGGCCATAGTGTCCTTCCATGCATATTCCCCACTTTTGAAGGGGATCCCCTAGAAAATTTGACGTAAATCGGAAAAAATATTTTGTGTCCAGATTTTAACGCAGATTGGTGTAGAATCGATCCACAAATCGTTTAAGGTATTCCGCTCGAGAATCAGATGATTTTTGAAAAAGATATGGGCTTCGCCCTGGGCCATATTGTCCTTCCATGCATATTCCTCACTTTTGAAGGGGATCCCCTAAAAAATTGGACTAAAAATGGAAACAAAATTTTGTGTCCAGATTTTAACGCAAATTGGTGTAGAATCGATCCAAAAATCGTTTAAGGTATTCCGCTCGAGAATCTGATGGTTTTTGAAAAAGATATGGGTTTTGCCCTGGGCCATATTGCCCATCCATGCATTTTTCTAATTTTTGAAGGGAATTCCCTAGAAAATTGGACGAAAAATGGAAAAAATATTTTGTGTCCAGATTTTAACGCAGATTGGTGTAGAATCGATCCACAAATCGTTTAAGGTATTCCGCTCGAGAATCAGATACATTTTGGCAAAGATATGGGCTTCGCCCTGGGCCATATTGTCCTTCCAAGCATTTATCCCATATTTGAAGGGGATCCCCTAGAAAATTGGACGTAAAATGGAAAAAATATTTTTTGTCCAGATTTTAATGCAGATTGGTGTAGAATCGATCCACAAATCGTTTAAGGTATTCCGCTCGAGAATCGGATGATTTTTTGCAAAGATATGGGCTGTGCCCTGGGCCATATTGTCCTTCCAAGCATTTTTCCCATATTTGAAGGGGATCCCCTAGAAATTCGGACGAAAAATGGAAAAAATATTTTGTGTCCAGATTTTAACGCAGATTGGAGCAGAATCGACCCACAAATCGTTTGAGGTATTCCGCTCAAGAATCTGATGAAATTTGGTTAAGATACGGGCTACGCCCTGGGCCATATTACCCTTCGCTGCATTTTCACCATTTTTTAAGGGATCCCCTAGAAAATTGGACGAAAAATGGAAAAAATATTTTGTGTCCAGATTTTAACGCAGATTGGTGTAGAATCGATCCACAAATCGTTTAAGGTATTCCGCTCGAGAATCTGATGGTTTTTGAAAAAGATATGGGTTTTGCCCTGGGCCATATTGCCCATCCATGCATTTTTCTAATTTTTGAAGGGAATTCCCTAGAAAATTAGACGAAAAATGAAAAAAATATTTTGTGTCCAGATTTTAACGCAGATTGGTGTAGAATCGATCCACAAATCGTTTAAGGTATTCCGCTCGAGAATCAGATGCATTTTGGCAAAGATATGGGCTACGCCCTGGGCCATATTGCCCTTCCATGCATTTTCCCTATTTTTGAAGGGTAACCCCAAGAAAATTGGACGAAAAATGGAAAAAATATTTTGTGTCCAGATTTTAACGCAGATTGGAGAAGAATCGATCCACAAATCGTTTAAGGTATTCCGCTCGAGAATCGGATGAAATGAGAATCGACTTATTAACAAAGTTTTTTTTGTTAGTATAACTTAAACATATAAAATTAATTTTAAATTAAGATTATTTTGAACCGCCACTCTTTCAAAATGTCCTTAGCACCTAATTTGATAATTCCTAAAATCGATCCAAACTTTAATGAGGGCTAGTTGGCCGAACCGGACCACTCAATGCCAAACAATCCAACTCGATAGGAAAGCACCCACCACCCGAGGAGGGCCTCAACACTTTTGCCAGTTCTTGTTTCATATTCTATTGCGGACTTTTGCCGTTTATTGAATTTGTGTAAATTGCCGGTAGACACGGCATGAAAGCCAGTGGACAGGGGTACTATTCTATATAAACCACATGGGCCGATGTGACGGAATGGGTGGGTCTGGGTGATAGGTTGTGGGTGGTGCAATGGATCACTGGGGGACTTTGTCTTCGGTTGTTGTCGCACGTCGACTGTTAATGTTTTTAATGCTTTGGTATGCCTCGTTTTGATTTGTTTTCAGTATGGGACGGTTAGTGAACCCCATTTCGTGGATTGGGAGTTACGGGCGTTTGGGGTGTGACTTTGTTTGCCCAACACAGCGTTAAGGTTTCGAAGCTCATTAGCGGAAATTGGGAGTGAGAATTAGGACATTTGGGGAGGGCGAAAGCTGAGTACTTCCAATGAGTTGGAACTTTGAAAGGTTTTCGGTAAAATGATTTTGCGTTTTGGGAAAGCCCAGTATATAAATACAAAGCTAGCTAAGTAATAACACGTGTGACAATCTTTTTATCGGTAATGAGTTTGCTTTTCGAGCCAGAACAGCTAGACAAATGATGAAAAAAGTTTTCCTTTTAACTTGCTTGTGGTAATGACCATGGAACCAGTCGAGGGACTCTGGGAGGACACCAAAGCAAATAAAAACCTACCGATAGAAATCTCACTAAAACAAAGGTTTCTAAACATTGACAAATCGAGGGGGATTACATTGTAAAGAGACTATTCGAAATGGTGCTAAAATAATGGAATGGTTTTATTTGAAAATAAAAACAAATATAAAAAATTATTAACTTTTGATTCTTTTGTAACAATAAAAAAAAATGTACATATATGGCCAGTTGATTCCGATATTCCTGCAACTCCTAGTATGTTCACTAAAAATGCCTGTAATTACATACGGCAGGCATTGCGTATACGCAGTGTTGGTTGATTGATGGCCAGGTTGACCTGGAGACGACTTAATTACCCAAAGAAGCCATTTTTCTGTGTGTTTTTTTTAGTGGCCCATAAAGCAAAGCTGACCAGCCCCCAGATTGCCACAAGTTGCACTTTAGTTTGATGAAATGACGTCACTTTGAAGGTATTTGTTGCAGGTGCAAATTTTTAACCTTCAAGAGGGTTCTTTTTTTGTAAACAATGCTATGCAGGAAATGTTTTGCGTGTCGCACAACTCTTGAAACTTGGACTCTAAGTGGGCCAACTTGTCCGCATTTTTCGCGCCGCGAAAAGTTTCTTATTCACCGCAAACAAAGTGGCCAGTGGCCCCATTCTTGACATGAAATAATGTAATATTTTGCACTTGGGCAGCTAGTAAATCCGGTTCGGCGATAAGCCAGGCTCCCCAACTGGGTCAATTAAATGCGGTGCCTGCAGAGAATCAACCCCAATATCCAATCCTCCCAGTCCTTAGGCCAAAATCCGTTCAATCTTGACTTTACTTGATTATGTAAAACAAACATGTTTGATACCAACAAAACTTTTTGAATAGCACTGCAGAGTCCCGATATGCTCACTTACAAATAGTTTTGTTTTGCTTCGGAAACTTTCCGGACACGCCAATGGCCAAAAAATTTAAAACCGGAAAAAAACCCGCTGGAGGAAAAGGCTTAAGCTCTGAACTACCGGGACAAGGCAAAAGAAACTTAACCCGGTTAAGAGAACCATTCGCGTCGACGTACCAAACTCAACTGAAATGACTGTTTCGGCCTGGTCAGAAAATACGAAATAACGAAATTATAGGCATGTAGCAGCTGGGGGTGGCAATGGAGGTGGCCTGTGGCCAGGACAAAAATAAAAGGTGGTGTATCGGCTGGGTGGTACGACACGGAATTGTTGAAATGCTAATGCGCCATTTTGCATATATTTCAGGCAAGTTTTCTGTCCGACGCTGGCCAGTTGTGGGCTAAATAGTTGGCAAAGATTCTCATATCCAGGCTGTTAAGGTCCACTTTAATAATTGTCGACAAATAAAGGTATTTCTTAAGCTGAAGAGCTATAGTTGCCTCGAAAGTAGGCAACAATTTAGCACATTTTATGCAAATCATGCAGCACTCCACTTTTTTTGGCATTTCCGCCACGTCAACTCATGGAGGTCTGATAATAATTTCCAGTATTCGGCAAACGAAATGAAAAACCTCCATACATATATCACCACGAAGGCATTAATTTTTATCGAGGAAATAATAAACTAAAGTTTTTCGTCCTATCAAAGCAGGGCAAGACATTGAAATTGGCAATTGTTTATTGAGGAAAGTGTCGATTATGATGGGTTGATTGATTGATTGACTGAAAGAGTGTTGGTATTTTCAAATATTTCAAGCCGTCCATCCATCACTCAATCGTGTGTGGCCTGAAATTTGCATTTGAGATTTTAGAAACCTTGCTCCAATTACGGATTTTTATGGCATCCGGCCCGGCTCACGAGAAGGTCAACACAAATTACACGGTCAAAGAACAAGGACTTGCGGTTTGGTAATTGAAATTTTTATTAGCTATTATTTTGATGCCATATAGAGCGGGTATGTGTTTTGTATACTTGTATTGTGTAGATTTGATTTGATTCCTTTTGCTTGCAATTCCATTTAAACTAAACGTTCGCAGCTAAATAAAGTAATCGTTGCGGTTTGTAAAAGTGTAAACAAAAGTTCTCCACCTAGCCAATGCTTAAGAATTAAATGCTAACTGAAATTCATATAACCTACAGTGTATTGCTGGGGGATATAGGTACGAGTATAGGGTTAGGTATAGGGGTATAAAGCGGAAGGCAACAGAAAACTCTTGATAAAACAGTGGACAAATATTTAAAGTAATTGGGCTGAATTCGTCTACTTTTGTGGAACAATTTTAGAAATTTCCATTAGTTATTCATTACTAGCGTGTAAATAGGTTAAGATAGGCAGCTAGCTCGACATTCCTCGAGCTCATGGATCCTGGTGTGTGCTCTTTTTTATTAGACTAAATGCAGTTGGCTGATGCTAATGGAATTATCTTTGTTTTCTTTCTTTTCTGGCCTGCTGTGCTTGTGTATATGTTTAATTGTATAATTGTCCTTATCAATATGCTCAAAATGTTATCGTCATTGTCAGCCGAGCCTGTTGCGGTCCTCCGCTGTCCTCTGACTCCTTTTTCAGACCATAGAAGGACAGCCAGGGAGCGAAACAGGCTGGATAATGCAGATTATTGTAATGGTTGGCATGTTTAGAATATCGCTGCGAGGCTTAGACACAAGGCTCCACGTAATTTCCCGGAAACAGGCCGGTCACTCCATCCATGACGCCCTCCCACCAGCCGTCATCGTTCTTTTTGAGCACATACAGCACTGAGCTTTCCTGGAAGCTCAGTTCGTCGTCCTTGTCGGCATAATAGTCATAGATGGCCACCACTGAAATAGATGGATGATTAGGGAAATTAATTAGCTGCCAATCAAACAATAAACAAGATTGAGAAACACTTACCCTTCTCGATAAAGTTCTTGGGCACCCAGCCGGGGAGGTTCTGATCCTCCGGTACTATTGGCGCCAGCTGCGGTCCTGTCGAGGTGCGTGGCCGACCAAAGTCCTGATGTTCATCCTCTGGCGGTGGCGGAGGAGGCAAAGGCGGCGATTGGGAGCCGGGTCTTGCAAAGTTTAAGCTAAAATGATTTCTTTGAAAAGGGAAAAGGTTATTTTTCTTTCTTCGAAAGGGACTTTTAACAAAATGACATGCAAATTACCGGTTGGGATTCCTGGGTTGCACAAAAAACATGAAATAAGTTATATGTACAGAATGACAAACATCTGCTAGAGGATTGAACTTACCTGTTGATGTTGCGACCCAGAGTATGCATACCAATGTGGCTTTGCTCGGTCATCTCGTGCTGCGACACTGTCAGCGGCGAAGGAGGAGCTGCTAAGGATTACAAACGGAATGATTAGTATGTTCAGGATGATGCTCAACAAAGGCAACTTACGAGGCATGCTGCTGCGATCATCATAAGTTGTGGGCGGCGGTGGAGGCAAGGATTGCATCATTCCCGCTGACGGCAAGTTAACATGGGTAGCTATTTGCTGACTCGGGGGCATGGGAAGAGCACTATAGCCAGCTGCTCGTTCATTACCCGCAGCACCGCCTCCGTTACCCGCTGCTGTTCCCGACGAAGCGGTAGACATACGCTTGGGATGCCCAATTGGATAGTTTGGGGCATAATGCGAGGGCACCTGCGGTGGATTGACCACTGGCGGAGTGCGATACTCCCGTGAACTCTTTCCCAAAGTTCCCGTATTGCTAACCGACTTTCCAAGAGTTCCAGTATTTCCAGCCCGCGACATCTGGGGTGGCGTTGGTGGCTTTGTGGTCGGTGGCGGACCCACAGACGAGGGCACCAATGATTGCACGGATCCGTGGCTGGAGCCACGATGCTTTTGCCTACCCTGGGCATGTTGGGCCGAATTGATGCCATGACCAATCTCGTCCAGAATCGAGTAATCGATGGGTTTGCGAACATACTTTATGGGCTTTTCCGGATTGATGGGTGCCACTATTTTAAACTGGCGCGAGCTCACCTTATTGGCAGTAAGAACACCGATTTCCCTGAGAATTTTGAAAGGATTTATGATGAAGAACTTGTGGCAAAGCAAAGATAGGATTTTAAGAAAAATGTCCACTTACCGCCTTGCCACTTTCTCCTTGTGGATGTGCACCGTCTGGGCGATGTGGTTCATCTGGGACTCCATCTCTCCCAGTTGCTGGGCCTGCAGTTCTAGCAGCTGCATGTAGCTGTAGGCGAGAGTGTTTATTTGATAGGCGACGCTGGCTAGAGACTGGGTGGTGTAGTTCTTGGTGGCCTCCAGTGCAGACTTCTTGTTGTCGGCGCGATAGTAAGTGTCCTCACAGTAGTCGGCCACGCGCTCCAGGTTGGTGTAGCTGTCCCTGAGGCTTTGGCGTCCGTCCGGGATCTCGGTGCGAATCAAAGAGGCTAGTTCGTCCATGATGTTTTCGCTGGCCATGGGGGCTTCGGTCAACATGGGTGTGGATGCTGTGCAATGAACGCCAAGAAAACAAAATTATTTTTCACCATTTTCCTCACTTTTCCACTCTCTTAATCATTTGGGGCGGTGGCTTCGTTGCACTCACTGCCCCCATTGCTCGTTTAACCACTCACAATGGCGTGTTTCTAACTTGCACTCACTTTATTTACTAGGCGATTGCACTGCAGATGCTTTTCCAAATCGGTTGGTTTGCGTTAAATGCAGGTAAATGCAATTTTTCTTTACATTTTCCCCAGCGAATAGGGAAAAGAACGCAGAGGTGGTCCAGTGGTGCAAAACTGCGCTTCTGGTGAAGTGGTGCTTTCCAACACTGCCATTGTCACGTTCACAGAAAATCACTGTGATTTCGTGGTCTACTTTGTTTACGCGATATGGTCACACGGTTGTGAGTAATATTTTCTTTCGGCAATATTAATTTTAGCAGTTTACCAAATGTCTCACCAAACGGGAATCCGAGGTAATTTATTGTATATTAGCCTTCAATTCTATAGTCTACATTTGTATACTTATTTACAGCCAACGAACAACTGGCCAAAGTGTTCGGCAAGGCGAAAAATGGAAAATTGCGTGTGATAAAAGTTTCCATAGAGAACGGTAAGTGGATTTCCTCAAAATTTTTACATATACACACGAATATATATTATGTACACAATTTGATAACGATGCTTCCGGTGATGTTAATTCTATAAACAGAACAGCTCAGCTGCAGTGCAACAGCGGATGTTAAAAAAGACTGGGAAAAGGACTACGATAAGCTGATATCGCCGCTTGTGGAGCAGAATGTGCCCTGCTACATACTCTACCGACTGGACACCAAGATCCCCTTGGGCTACAGCTGGCTTCTGATTAGCTGGACGCCGGACACGGCAAGTATCCGGCAAAAGATGGTATACGCTTCTACAAAGGCTACGCTAAAAACTGAATTCGGATCGGCCTACATCACTGAAGAGTTGCACGCCACCACTTTAGATGAGACCACCCTGGAAGGATACCGTCGACACAAGCAAGAGTTTGCTGCTCCTGCTCCGCTTACTTCCCGGGAAGAGGAGCTAAAAGAACTGCGCAAAACTGAGGTAAACACCGAGATTAGCACGAACACACGTCACCAGACTCTGGGCGGCATCAACTGTCCACTCAGTGAAGCAACGCTGGCAGCTATTCAGGATCTGGTACGTGGCAGCTACGACTATCTACAGTTTCGCATTGACCTGGAAGAGGAGCGCATCCATGTATCCCATGCCGGAAAGGTGGAGCTCAGCGATCTACCAAAACAGGTGCCTGAGGACCATGCTCGGTATCATTTGTTCCTCTTCCGGCACACACATGAAGGAGATTATTTAGAGTCCTATGTGTTCATTTACTCAATGCCTGGATACTCTTGTTCGGTGAGGGAGCGCATGATGTATTCTAGCTGCAAAGCGCCTTTCCTGGAGCAGTTGGCCGCGATGGGAGTAGAGGTGGTCAAAAAAGTAAGATATAGTTGTATATGTAGGGTTGGGATTTGTATATTTAACCGAGTTCTTTGTTCCAGCTCGAAATCGACAGCGGCAGCGAGTTGACTGAAGCCTTCCTGCAAGACGAGCTGCACCCTAAAAAAATCCTTCACCGACCGGCATTTGCCAAACCCAAGGGACCACCTAACCGCGGCGCCAAGCGCCTAACGCGTCCCACCACCGATGACTAAGTCTGAACCGCAATCCCATCGAGTCAATTCTTCACGACACCTTCTATATATCATCAGTTTCCTAGGAGAGCATTTAATTTATTATATTCGAAAAAGTTTCGTGTTCATTCGTATGTCTTCTGTATTTCTATGTATCTATGTAAATGCCTGTATCTTATATCTTTAAGAGGTACCGGGCGCAAACTGAAACAACGCATAGCAGCCTCCAATGTGGGCTTCCTTAAATGTATTCTTGTCTATGTTACTTTTAATGGACATATATGCAATTTATTTAAATTAAAAAACTCCACTTATTGTTAACAATTATTTGACCGATTCCAGAGAGACATTTTCCGAAACCTTCGTGTCGTGTGCTTTGAATAGCTCTGGATTATCTTCCTCTGTGAGTTTTCTGACTGCCTGCTGGATATTATCGTCGCGATCCAGTCGCCACTTGTACTGCCAGTAACGAACCTCCTCCATTGACGTTCCAGACGCTTTCATAAGCAGAAGAGACGCAGCCCCAGCCACTCCCCCCAAGAATCCGCCGATGATCCCGCCAGCAGCCATACCTCGCAGGCCTAGGTTTACTTTGTAGAGAGATCCGGTCAGGGAGCCGGCAGCCAAGTACTCGTAAATAGAGGACTTGCCGCGATACACCGAAATACAAGTTATGATGCCACTACGAAATAGTAACCAAAGTAGTACAAATTCAGTTGGTATAGCGTGATTTTCTTACAAATAGGAGGTGGTGAAGAGGCCCACTCGCCATCCCCATTTGAAACCGCCCTTGGCGAAGTTTACAGTGAACTGATCCTGCAGTTTTTTCTGAAAACATAAAGACGTCATAACATCAGGATGTAATATAGAGAAAGTATCCAATATCCAACCTTAGCGTCGAAATGCGATTTAAACGCTGTAGCCTGGTTGTTTTCCATGAAATTCATGTAGCCCGCGCGGGATTGTGTAACACCGCCGTAAATTGCTCCAATAAGAAAACCCAAAAATCCGGCCTGGTAGATTGAGTTCAGCTCGGATGATATGCTTCCAAATTCACTATTTTCATTGAAAAATACATAATTATAGGAGTTTTCATTCATATTTTAGCTCTTACTCAATGGTAAACATATGCTTCAGTCGTTCCAATCCAGTTTCTTCCGGTTTCTTGCCTTCCAAGAATGATTTGTATGTCTTGGTATCTTTACCAACGATATCGTCACCCCCGGGTGCAATATTTGGAATGATTCCTGCTATCAGGATCCGGTGTCCTTTCCGAAAAAAACTCATTTTGGTGTTCAGTTAAATAACAAAAAATGAAAACACACAATCAGCTGTTTACCGGCGAACCAGTGTTGATTAAAATGCGTATTTTTAGTGCTAGAAAACGTATTACCATAAATGTAAACATATTAAATATTTTCCAATTGTCATTTAATGGGAAAACAACCTAATTTTAGAATATTTAATTAAGTATACTAATATGTAATAATATGGAATATAAAACTGTTCTTATATTTTTTTTGTAGTTCTTGTCTCTAATTATGATGTTTTCCAACACTTTCAAAACAAGGCACGCCGCATATCGCGGTGGTTTGCAGAAAATTTGTTGTGAAATATTGCGTTTTTTAAATCTTATTTATCAGCGAATTTAACAAATTTTCTTTCTTTCGACGGATTGAGTGCCGCAGCACTTTTGACAACTGTCAAAATGATGTATGACAACGAAGAAGGTGAATTAAAGTTATTGGAAAATGTTGACGCACGTTGGCAAGAAAAAAATGAACATGGCGACGCGTTTCGCCTCAAGACTCAGCGATTTGCAAAAGTTAATCAAGAATCCTTTTACAGAACTCTACGAGGAGGAGAATGCCGAGGAGATATCCCACGAGCTCTGGCAGGAGGCCTGTTGGATTGTGATAAACGCCTATTTCGACGAAAAGGGTTTGGTGCGCCAGCAGTTGGACAGCTTCGATGAGTTCATCCAGATGTCTGTGCAGCGGATTGTGGAGGACTCTCCGGCTATTGAGCTGCAAGCGGAGGCTCAGCACACATCCGGCGAGGTGGAAACCCCGCCTCGTTTTTCGCTAAAATTCGAGCAAATCTACCTTTCCAAACCAACGCATTGGGAGAAGGACGGTTCCCCCAGTCCTATGATGCCAAACGAAGCTCGTCTGCGGAACCTCACCTACTCTGCTCCGCTCTACGTCGATATCACCAAAACCAAGAATGTAGAAGGCCAAGACCCCATTGAGACTCAGCACCAAAAAACATTTATTGGAAAGATTCCCATCATGTTAAGGTCAACCTATTGCTTGCTCTCACAGCTAACAGATCGTGATCTTACGGAGCTAAACGAGTGCCCGCTTGATCCTGGCGGCTACTTTATAATAAACGGATCCGAAAAGGTTCTAATTGCCCAAGAAAAAATGGCAACCAATACTGTATATGTGTTCAGCATGAAAGATGGCAAGTACGCCTTCAAAACTGAAATTCGTTCTTGCTTGGAGCACAGTTCGCGACCTACTTCCACGCTATGGGTGAACATGATGGCTAGGGGATCGCAGAATATCAAAAAGTCCGCAATCGGCCAGAGAATCATTGCTATTTTACCTTATATCAAACAGGAAATACCTATAATGATTGTTTTCCGGGCTCTCGGCTTCGTGGCAGATCGTGATATCTTGGAGCATATTATATATGACTTTGACGATCCCGAGATGATGGAGATGGTTAAACCATCTCTTGACGAAGCTTTCGTCGTGCAGGAGCAGAATGTGGCCCTTAATTTTATCGGCGCTAGAGGAGCAAGGCCGGGAGTCACGAAAGATAAGCGTATCAAGTACGCGAAGGAAATTTTGCAGAAGGAAATGTTGCCCCATGTGGGAGTCTCTGATTTCTGTGAGACCAAGAAGGCGTACTTTTTGGGATACATGGTGCATCGTCTACTTTTAGCCTCCTTGGGTAGAAGAGAGCTCGATGATCGTGATCACTACGGAAACAAGCGACTGGATCTCGCTGGTCCTCTGTTGGCGTTCCTGTTCCGAGGCCTATTCAAGAACTTGATGAAGGAGGTGCGCATGTATACACAGAAGTTTATTGATCGGGGCAAGGACTTCAACCTGGAGCTGGCAATCAAGACCAACATCATTACTGATGGACTGCGGTACTCGTTGGCCACTGGCAATTGGGGCGATCAGAAAAAGGCGCATCAGGCCAGAGCTGGTGTATCTCAGGTGTTGAATCGCCTGACCTTTGCTTCTACATTGTCACATTTAAGGCGAGTGAATTCGCCCATTGGACGGGATGGTAAGCTGGCTAAGCCTCGACAGCTGCACAATACTTTGTGGGGCATGTTGTGCCCCGCCGAAACTCCTGAGGGTGCTGCTGTGGGTCTCGTAAAGAATCTGGCCCTCATGGCGTACATCTCCGTCGGATCGCAACCGTCTCCCATTTTGGAGTTCTTGGAGGAGTGGTCCATGGAAAATCTGGAGGAGATCGCTCCTTCAGCTATCGCTGATGCTACAAAGATCTTCGTAAATGGATGCTGGGTGGGCATTCATCGCGACCCAGAACAGTTGATGGCCACACTACGAAAACTGCGTCGTCAGATGGACATCATCGTCTCCGAAGTGTCCATGATTCGGGATATTCGAGATCGTGAAATCCGTATCTATACAGATGCAGGTCGCATCTGCAGACCTCTCCTAATCGTGGAGAACGGATCTTTGCTACTTAAGAAAACCCACGTGGAGATGTTAAAGGAACGAGACTACAACAACTACAGTTGGCAGGTGTTGGTGGCTTCTGGAGTGGTAGAATATATCGACACTTTGGAAGAAGAGACTGTGATGATTGCTATGTCTCCCTACGATCTGAAGCAGGACAAAGACTATGCCTATTGTACCACATACACCCATTGCGAAATCCATCCCGCCATGATCTTGGGCGTGTGTGCCTCTATTATTCCCTTCCCCGATCACAACCAGAGTCCTCGTAACACCTATCAAAGTGCTATGGGTAGGATTTTTTGCATATTCATATCTTGGACACTATTCCATTAATTTTTCTATCCCCTAAAGGTAAACAAGCTATGGGCGTGTACATCACAAACTTCCATGTGCGCATGGACACCCTGGCTCATGTGTTGTATTATCCAATGAAACCGCTGGTGACCACACGATCTATGGAGTATCTACGTTTCCGAGAGCTGCCGGCTGGAATCAACTCAATTGTGGCCATTCTTTGCTACACGGGTTACAACCAGGAGGATTCTGTCATTCTGAATGCATCCGCCGTGGAGCGCGGCTTTTTCCGGTCCGTGTTCTACCGATCCTACAAGGATTCAGAGAACAAGCGTGTAGGTGATCAGGAGGAGAACTTCGAGAAACCACATCGCGGAACCTGTCAGGGTATGAGAAATGCTCACTACGACAAATTGGACGACGATGGAATTATTGCACCGGGAATCCGTGTATCTGGTGACGATGTGGTCATTGGCAAGACAATCACTCTTCCTGAAAACGACGACGAGTTGGACAGCAACACAAAGCGGTTTGCCAAGCGGGATGCCTCAACTTTCTTGAGAAATTCCGAAACAGGTATTGTGGATCAAGTGATGTTGACCCTGAACAGCGAAGGCTACAAGTTTTGTAAGATCCGCGTACGCTCTGTGCGTATCCCGCAAATTGGCGACAAATTTGCCTCACGCCACGGACAAAAGGGTACATGCGGTATCCAATATCGACAGGAGGACATGCCTTTCACCTGTGAAGGCCTCGCCCCTGATATCATCATCAATCCTCACGCTATCCCCTCTCGAATGACAATTGGTCACTTGATCGAGTGCCTGCAGGGCAAACTTGGGTCCAACAAGGGCGAGATTGGCGATGCCACGCCTTTCAACGATGCTGTCAACGTGCAGAAAATTTCCACTTTCTTGCAGGAGTACGGCTACCACTTGCGAGGCAACGAAGTCATGTATAATGGTCACACGGGACGCAAAATCAATGCTCAGGTGGGTTTCAGATCTATAAGCAATGAATCATGCCAGTAATGTTCAACGCATCTTTCGTTTTAGGTATTTTTGGGACCTACTTACTACCAGCGTCTTAAGCACATGGTGGACGACAAGATCCACTCCCGTGCCCGTGGCCCAGTCCAGATTCTGGTGCGCCAGCCTATGGAGGGTCGTGCTCGCGACGGAGGTCTACGTTTCGGTGAAATGGAGCGCGATTGCCAGATTTCCCACGGTGCCGCCCAGTTCCTCAGGGAGCGTTTGTTCGAGGTCTCCGACCCGTACCGCGTCCATATATGCAACTTCTGTGGCTTGATTGCGATTGCAAACCTGCGCAATAACACTTTCGAGTGCAAGGGCTGCAAGAATAAGACCCAGATCTCGCAGGTGCGACTGCCCTACGCGGCCAAGCTACTCTTCCAAGAACTGATGTCTATGAACATTGCCCCGCGCCTGATGGTCAACTAATTAATAACCCTATCGCCCTAAGCTGAAATGTTAGCAGTTAATTATTAAATTACCATATTTGTGACAACTCAATTGGGTGCTTTGTGTAGGGTTTTCTATTATCCCCTTAACTGGAGCAAATGTCCATCGTGCATTTTAAAGAGACGAACGTGCCGCTAGCAATTTTGGGCGAAAGTCTGCACGGGTTCAAGAGCTCTGCCAAATGGAATGTGATTTATTTATTCCAAGAAGATACTTCGGTGTAGTAAGGGTATGCGTCTGTAAATTATCTGAAAAATAAATTTTTTTTTTATAAATACGTATTATTAAAATTTTATTAAAGTATATCTTTTTATTTTCTATTTATTATATTTAATTTTATATTCCAATGTTCGTAGCGTATCTGAAATTCGGTGTTCCATAGAAAGCCTTTCCATTTCCATTTATGTTTTGTTATGCTTTTGTTGCTTTCTTTGATTTTGACGTAATGCTTTGGCCCGCGGTCTGTGACGCCCAGTGACAAAAGGGATTAGTTCTTTGTTGTCGGATGTGGGGATTGGGCGACGGAGATGGAGCCAGAGCCAGAGCTAAAGACGAAGCTGGAGCTGGTGCCACAGCCACCAATCGACTGACAGTTATTAATTGCCACTTGACGTGGCTCCCAGCGCAGATATAGCAGCAGCTGGGGGGTGAAAAAAACGCCACACCGAGTTCATGTTGCTGCCAATGTTGGTGCCCATTTTGTGGCTGATGCTTTTGGCCAAGTCGATGCCGACACCTATCAGTCAGCGGTCTGAGCCCTGCTTATGAGTAATTGAAAATGCGTGTAAATCCGCGAACGTAGAGTGCATTTGACAGAACTTTACTTATAACTTAATCTCATTTTGGACTTTTAAATCCTTTATCAAATGAATAATTGTTTGGCTATGTTTTTGAATTGAGTGTTGGCATTTTTTTGCGAATAAAAGAGATATTTTTGAAAGGGTGATGTCCCCTTTTGTTTGGCAATCGGTCACTGAAAAATCATAAAACTTGTTTACCGTGCGGCATCGATAAAAATTGTAAACACAAACAGCACTTTGGCTCTCCTGAGATATTTATTTATAGCATCTTAAAAATAACCTAAATTACTCCTGTTTTTTGTGATTAATCCCCCGAGATCCTCCTCAGTTACTTTTCCGCATTGCTGAAAACACTGATGGCGTAGAATTCTGGGACTCTGTAGACCTTCAAGCGTTCGTGACTGAAACGCCCATTAGTGAGGGCCTTCACATAGAATATGTCCTTCATGTTAATATCCTTGCGACGGGATGTTTTCGTTTCCTCCAGGACCAGACGCTGCTGCTTGGGACGATAGGCACTGGACTTATCCTGCAGAAGCCTCACGAAGATGATGTCCTGTTCATCATTTCGGCCAGCCAGGGTGCGAGCCTGGTAGAGATTCTCCCTTGTTTTGGGATAAATCAACACAGGCTGGATGGGCAATACCTGGCTGGGTGATGTGGGATAGGCCTCCAGGTCATCCGGTTCGGGACTTGTGAAATGCACTGCGGGTGCTGCCCAGGATAAGCTGGGCAAGCAGGCCAAAAGGAGAAGTATCGCGGGGTGCTTGGTCTAAAAACAAAAATAATTTAAATCAAAGATTTAATATATTTATGATACTTTTAAATTAAAAGAGTTTTAAGAGAAGGGCTAAAAGTTCTACCCCAATTTTAAGTCAAACTCATACCTAAAACTTTAAAATTTAAGTATGTAATAAGTTACTAAGACAGACAACTAATTTAAGAAATGAAAAATGAGAAAAATATCAAGCCCTCCAGAGGAGTTAAAATTTAAAACAAACTATTATTTAACACACATCTCAACGCATATATTTTCGGTATCGATTGTACATGATTAATATTTCTGTCAGATTTATTTTATCACGCCGATTTGCATATCTAATTGATCTACAAAAAGCGGACAATTAATTGGGCTTTATGACCAACCAGAATTGGTTCCAGTCAAAACAAAATTTGATCTTTTTGCCATAAGCCATGACTGGGTTCCTGGCTTTGAATTACCGTTTTCATTGCGATTGATAAGTCCCGGCTCAAGTTCGCTCGATATTTTTAAATTTAAGCGGATTTGGTTCGCCTGTTGGCCACTTTTGCCCTTTTTGGTCAATCAAAAGGTAATATCACAGGCGATCAGAGCGGCGATCGAGCGCGACGCGCGAATGTCAGAAGCAGACTGGCGTGCGACAAGGCCAAGTTAACTTCTGTTACCGCCCGACGAAGTTGAAGCTCAAACAAAAAATAAATTACAAAAAAGCAGGCCCGCGCTGGAGGAGGAAAAAGCGGCAGCGCAGCTTCGGCGGAGCTTGTCAACAAATTGCAAACGGTAGGCAAACATGGCCGGAGTGTTGTGTTAACCCATTAAGGTAGCTACGAAACTTGGTGTATGGTTAACTGAAAAATGATTAGCCGGAATTTATAATGCATATTTTATGTAACTCTGAAAATAGCTTACAATAAATAACAAACTTTTGGTTCTATAAATAAGTATTTTAGAAGATCTTATGTGTCTTTAATTATTTCTTCAAAAAGGCAACCCGAAACGCATATATTTTGAATGGGTTAATCAATAAAAAGTGCCTGGGAGGGATCAGTCATTATTTGTGCTATTAATTGATCACTAGGTCGTAGCACTGATAGGGTCAATGTTATCAAGAAACGAGCGTGGATCCATCACCTGTCTTCGATGAGCTAAAAACTCATTTCCAGCTGCTTACAATGCGATGCGCCGTCTGGTAATTCTATGCTCTTAACGCCAGTGATGTCAAAATTATTATTATAGCCTCTGTTGAATGGTAAGCCGGGTAAATAGAAAAAAATCACATAAATGTCAGAAATAAATTTAAACACGTAGAAATGCTTAATTAGCAAATATTTGCGCTACCTTGAGCTTAGTAAAGAGTTTTGCACATTTGTCGGATAGTTTTTAAGTGTTTATACGCTGCTTTAACAAGTTAACAATCAAATAATAGAAATTTCTTTGGAAGACAAATACTTCTTGTCAAGAGTTCTTTGGCTTGATGGCTGACATATTAATCATACGCATCGTGGCCCGATGAGTTGAAAATCAATTACAGATTGCCGCTGCCGTTGCAGAAACAAAGTCAAATAAATAAGCAACATAACGAGGGCTTACACAAGGCCAAAAAGCGAAATTTAATCGCTTTAAATGTGAAATTATGGGACCTGAAACGGTAACAAAACAAATAAACACCAAGTGAAGCGCAAATAATTACAAGTTTTCAAGGCATAGTCAAAGTTTTTGTCGCCCGATTTCGCTGGAGCTCTTCGATTGATTCGTGACTGATTAATTGCATCTGGAGTATCATCATGAATAGTTTGAGTAACCCCCTTCTCCGTCTGCACTTTGTATATTTGATTTGTGCTTTCGTTTCGGGCTTGTTTTCGCTTTCGGCTTAGGTTCTTTTCGGCCAAGAAGCGCCGGTCGATAATGAGCTCATTCGCATGCTTCGATGGAACCGTGTGAAAGGTGAATACCTATGCTGGGGAGCTATCTACCGGATATTTCTTTGCGGCTACCGTTTGCACAAACTACTCCAAAAAAAGGGAAAGCTTTTCGATTTCAGAGGTGTTTGTGGCGCCAGCATTAGCCACAAATTGTAATTTTTGCGTCTGGCCAAAAGCCATATCGTTTGTAGGCGGGGGGTGGAATGCAGAAATAGAGTAACAGGTTTTAGCTTAAATAATATAGGTAGAGGTTAATCTGCCGCAGAAACAATAAAAACAAATTTGATTGTAAAAAGCACAATAGAACAAAGTTCATATGCGTGCACATGTGAAAAATGAACAGCATATTGTAAAAGGTCTCTAGAGAATTTGAATTTTTATTTAAAGTTGAAAAAGGGTTAATTGAATGCCGATATTCCGATATTTTTAATACGATTTGGTTCTGTTAATGCATATTGGGACATTGTGCTTATCATTTATTTATATTGTATGTTTTTATTTATTTTAATTTGTATCTTCTTTTTTTCTGTTTTTTTATAATTTAAAACCGTGAAGCAGGAAACAGGAAAGCTAATGGAATTACTCAATATTTTTGATATTTTTTGCGCCTTTCCTATTTGTTATTTTTCGTCAATTTATTATGCAAGATATGGTTAGCAGGGGAATTTCATATTTTATCATAAACAACAGAGAAAAGTGATGGCGCAGACAAAAAGTAGAGTAAAGTTGAATGGCTTTAATATTAATGTTTAAAGTTTCAGGCCTTATTTAACATGCAATTTAAAGCTCCATTTTAAAAATGATTTTCAACCAAAGACGATTTTTTCTTGTTGATCAAGCTTTATTAACGTGGAATAAAATTGGTTGGCTGACTTTTAATCACTTTAGCTGCTCTCATTGTTACCAATAAAAACCAGCATTACTGCAAGGTTAATACATATACTATGATGTAATACATATATTTTTTCTCACTTGTATCTTTTCCTGTATGAATGATTTTGATTCAGCATCATAATCCGTCTGACCAGATTTAAGCGGATATTTCTTTTTGAACACCTTCTCCTGTGGGATTGAACGCTTTTTCGCACAATTTCCCAGCGCACTGTAGCCTCATTAGCATTGTTAATTGATAGCAGAGCATGTTGGGCGGCCAGGAGGAAAAAAGAAGGGAACGCACAATTTATAACAAAATAATCATAACTCTATGAGGAGAGAGAGGATGTCTGTAATATTATTCATGTAAATGAGTTCTGTCTATGGCTTTGTGCAAATAGCAAAAGCCAAAAGGCGCTTAACTATGAAATACGATGACAAGACAAACGGCGTTTGCTGCGCGTTTTTAATTACCATAATTACATAACTGCACTCACACCAGCGCGCGCTCAGGCACTCCAAGACCTAAACACACGCACGAACTCACGCATACGAGAATTTTGTCCGCGCCTGGAAGTATGCAACAAATTCACGTAGAAAAAGGGTGGAAACATGGTGGCACGTAGTGTTGCTGTTCATTTGGAGTAAAACTAAAATGGCTGTCAATAGTCTAAGAATCCTTTTCTGGGAGAAACTTATTTAAAATAAAAAACTTTTAAATCAGTTTTTATGCCGTTAAAATTTGATTATGGTAATCATAGTTTAAAAAGTTTTCCCCAAATATAAAAATTATGACATTTCAGTTTTATAAATCCAACGCAGACAAACACTAAAAAACTTTAAAACTTAAACTTTGACGGAAACATTTTCCTGACATTATTAATACTATTATTTTTGCCAAATTGAAACTTGTAGCTGGAACTCTTTAAGCGGGAAAATATCTAACCTGCCATCTCGGCAGCGAAGTGAGGTAACTAATGGAATGGGGCCTGTCCCTTTATTGTTGTTATCGCATAAACTTAAATAGTTTTTGCCAGCCACTTTGCGGCTTTTAAGTTATTTTGCGTGCACCACTTGAGCGGAGCACTTTTATTTGGTGCCCCGCCCGTTGAACAAGGGTTGCGAAAGGTCCTCGCCAGCGAGCCAGAGTTCCTGGGGCCAAGGACCTTCAGAGTGGGATGAGTGAAACACTACAGAGACAGTCGGGGGAGACAGGCTTAGTGTCAGTGTTTGAATGTTTAACTGGCTCCGTTAATTAAATTGCCACTCTCCTCCACCACCTCTGGCTGTATATACGTTTCCACCTGTTTCTTGGCCGCAAATTAAGTCAAAGTTTTCATTCCCATTCACTGTTTGGATTTTACCCTGTCTGCTGCATAATTTGCACCCTGAGGTTTTCTTTTGACGGAGGGGATTTCCCTTTGGGCGGTCGCGTGGCCCCAGCAAAAACTTGGCTAAATGGTTTGCCATTAATTTTTCGAGGCATGCCGGTTATTAACCTGCCTGCTTGTTTGCTACCACTTCTTTCTTATATGCCCCATGTTGCAGTCATATTTCGCAGCGAGGGCATGTAGCCCTACTGGGCGTGGCTGACACAGTTTGCGAATCAAAGCAGAAATTCACAGCTGAATTTTGGGCGGGCTGAACTAATTGAAAAATTACTTAGCCTGTGGCGTCTTGAAATATAACCTTAATAAAAGGGGAGCCTCATATTGATTAAAAGTTCTGGATAAAAGCTTTCCATATAATTTCTCGGAATAACATGTATTTCTTAAGATAAATAATTAAAATGAATCGTGGTAACGGAAACATTTCCTGGAGACCAAAAAGTTATAAAATTAAGTTATTCACCCTTTAAAAACAGTAATGCCAGATAATAATAAGAAACGTTCCTAATGATACAATAATGTTGTAGATGGCTTACTATTTTTTTTGGGTTAATTTTGTTCATGTTGACTTAGGTCTAGGCCAAAGCACACGTGACGGCTTCAGCAATTGGCTTTCACAATGATTTCAATTGAATTTCGGTCACATCTTTCATTGTACCACAATCGAAATGCATTTTAGCTTTCATAAATAAACAGGTTTGTTAAATTGTCCGTGTTCCATAGGCTTCTTCCACCACGGCTTGTATCCGAACCTACTCGGGGGTCCGGTTTATGTGCATGACTGCCTCTAAAGTCCTCAAGTCTTTACAGATTCTTCTCCTGTTTCTCACTTGCTGGCTTTCGGATTTGAATACGATTTTAATGCTCATCACGTGTGCGACCAAAAATTGTCTCCAATAGAGATACCAAGTAGTGCTGGCTTGAAAAAGTTCCTAAATAAGAGAATAAATAAATATTTTGAAGATACAATTTTAATAATACAGACCTTGATGGATTATAAATTATTTTTTCCTACAAATTGTAATATATTTTTAATAGCCAAGAACAAGACTAAACAAATTATTAAAAAAATAAAGCAATACCCAATAAATAGCTAAATTGGCAGCATTTTGTGGTTTGCCGATGTATTGGTCACGGTTTTGGGTTCTTGGTAGAAGCTCAAATTTTCTAGTCCCCTTGGATCAAAGGCGCATTTAAGCAGCTTACCGAAAAATGGAAATGGATTTGAAAGGTTCATGAATTACCATTGCCCCAATGGAAATTACTGGCCAAAAATTCCAAACAACCTCCTTCTTCTCCTTTTACCAATAAAATTCCATTCAATGTAGAGAACTTTTCAGGCCAACAATTAGCAGTGAAACATAAATTGATTTTCGCCGTCAGTTTGATTAGCAGTGACAATTAGCAGTGAAACATAAATTGATTTTCGCCGTCAGTTTGATTTTCAATTTTCCGAAATACACACCCTTTAAGCTCTACTTGGCTAAAAAACGGCAGCAGCAATAACAAAAAATACGACGAAAAAATAGAACCACAGCTAAATCTCTCAACTTTGATTGCGAGATTCTTTGCCTCCATCGAAACAATTTTCAGATGCCCCTCGACCAGCTCCATTGCCAAAACAAAAAAAAAGGAAACGAAACGACAAACGCTCCTATTTGCATTCGTATTTTTTCTAATTTTCCACTGCAGTTTCACAGGATTTCTCTTAGTTCTTATTTGTGGACTGAATATTGGCTTTTTAAAGTGCGGAGTGCGATTAGCAGGAAATTAAAGTATAATCTAAATAGAAAATTGGTTTATTGAGTTGCTATCTAAATTTATTTAGTTTTTTGAACTTATAAGTTGGTTTCTAAAAGTTAAAAACTTTTAAACTGTTTATAAACTTTTCCCTTGGTTTTAGAACACCGCTCCTGATCCAAGCTTCATATTCAGTTTGCATTCCGTTACACTTCCTTATTTTTTCGATTTAGTGGATAGTTTTTTCGAGCCAACAGCAAACCGGAACTGGCAAAAGTGTTGCTTGCAAATGTTTACAGTTTAGTTGGACGGATGTGATAAAAACAATTTGATTGCAACATAAACTGCACAGGGCATTGAATTGGGGAAAAATTTCCTGATTGGACGAGTGGAAAATGGTATTTTTGGACCGGGCACAGGGAAACGCAGTGATATGCTTGAGGATGTTGAGTGGAGAGCACTGAGCACTGAACCGGAATGTGGATAAAAAATGTTTGATTGAGTCCCTGTTTGAATTGATTTCGGACATCAGCAGCCGACTGTAAAAAGGAAATACTCCTAATATTCGAAAAAAAGAAACCTGCATTTTTGCTTATGGCAGGATTAGATTCACATTGCAAAGCTAAGCGTTTTTCAGAAGGCACACAGTGCGTATGAGTAATGCCGTATGGCAATTACCCAGTGGCGGATTTAAGGAAAAAGGCCCAGTGGGCAAAATTTTACCAGGGTACATTGAAGGGTATTTTGAAGGGGAAAGCCCAGAACATTTGACAAAAAATCTTAAAAATATTTTGTTCCCAGATTTTGATGCAGATTTATGGAGAATCGATCCACAAATCGTTTAAGGTATTTCGTTCAAGAATCGGATGAATATTTCCTAAGATATGGCCTTCGCAGTGGGTCATACGGGGCTCCCCATGCATTTTGCACATTTTGAAGAGGACAGCCCAGAAAATTTGACAAAATATCTTAAAAATATTTTGTTCCCAGATTTTGATGCAGATTTATGAAGAATCGATCCACAAATCGTTTAAGGTATTTCGTTCAAGAATCGGATGAATATTTCCTAAGATATGGCCTTCGCAGTGGGTCATACGGGGCTCCCCATGCATTTTGCACATTTTGAAGAGGACAGCCCAGAAAATTTGACAAAATATCTTAAAAATATTTTGTTCCCAGATTTTGATGCAGATTTATGGAGAATCGATCCACAAATCGTTTAAGGTATTCCGTTCAAGAATCCGATGAATATTTCCTAAGATATGGCCTACACAGTGGGTCATATGGGGCTCCCCATGCATTTTGCACATTTTGAAGGGGACAGCCCAGAAAATTTGACAAAAAATCTTAAAAATATTTTGTTCCCGGATTTTGATGCAGATTTATGGAGAATCGATCCACAAATTGTTTAAGGTATTCCGTTCAAGAATCGGATGAATATTTCCTAAGATATGGCCTTCGCAGTGGGTCATATGGGTCTCCCCATGCATTTTGCACATTTTGAAGGGGACAGCCCAGAAAATTTGACAAAAAATCTTAAAAATATTTTGTTCCCAGATTTTGATGCAGATTTATGGAGAATCGATCCACAAATTGTTTAAGGTATTCCGTTCAAGAATCGGTTGAATATTTCCTAAGATATGGCCTTCGCAGTGGGTCATACAGGGCTCCCCATGCATTTTGCACATTTTGAAGGGGACAGCCCAGAAAATTTGACAAAAAATCTTAAAAATATTTTGTTCCCAGATTTTGATGCAGATTTGTGGAAAAGAAATCGAAGGTGTAACTTTCAGCACGAGGGGCCCTGAAAGCCTTTCGTCGGGGGGGCCCAGTGGGCATTCGCGCCTTTGCCCACCTGTTAAATCCGCCACTGCAATTACCATATTTCTCTCTAGGCTTTAAGGGATTAATATTTTATCTCAAAGATGATACTGTAAAATAGTTTAAAGAACTCTAAATCCAACATGATTGAAAACAAAAATAAAAGTAATATACAGGAACAAAGTTTACCCAGCTTATTTAATATGTACCATCCTTGTGCTAATCCTTTCAAACTTAATCTGTGTCAAGCTAAAACTCGGCCACGTTTCTTGTCATTCTGTCCAACTGTCTAACTGTCCGAGTGTCCTTTTGACCATTTAGACCGCTTGTCTGTCGGTGGTAGTTTGTGATTAATGGCAACAAAATGAGGGTGGTGGCCTTTTCTATGGACGACTAATTACATTGGGTCGCCAAAGCGCCAAAACGGGAACAAAAAACTCATTAACGCACTTGCAACATGTCATTTATATAATATTCATAATATTTTCTCCATTTTCCTTTCTGCCTTTCGCGGAACATATGCGTCAAAGTTTCCGAAAGCTGTAAAAAAAGTTATACTGTTTAGAAAAGGATATGACGGTGGGATACCTTATATTTCGACTGGCTATATTTCGACATAATTATAAATTAGTGAAAATGTATTAAATAATTAAAATATTTAGGCTTTTTTAAATAAAAAGAACCCGCCCTTTTATACTCCTTCTAAAGTGTATAATTTGAGAAATGGGTTAGGTTCACTTATATATTTACACAGAGATAAACTCTTCTTCTGTAGTCTCTTTGCAGAAATTTGCCAACATGTTTATCTAAAGGGTACGTACTACGTAAACTGAACCAGAAGTGGAAATAAAATCCTTGTCATGCCGCTCATGACCATAAAGTTTTTGGCGAGTGTTGCCTTTATGCAAGCTGCGAATGAATGAGTGAGCTAGCCGGGTTGTAAATGCGAAAAAAAATTGAGGAAACGGAATGGGATTTTCCTCATGACCCCACGTATACGCATTACACATGAGTGAGTGTGGGTATTTGTGAGTGGTGCATGTTTTACATGAATCACAGTTAGTTTGCGATGCTTTTCCACTTTTCATGCCGGCAAAGCGGGAAATGTGCGAGTGTCTGTACATAAACCACAAACGTGACAACAAAAATGCGGGCGCCCTCCTCTGACACAGTGAGTGTCCTGCACGTTAATGTGTGGGTGTGTGAAAAGTGACAAAAGCATTGACAGGAAACAAAACTGTCCACACGGCCAAACACAGACACAAATACAAATAAAAAGCCAGGCAACCAGAAACAGATGCAAAGCCAAGCGAGTAGGGCCGGAGCCAAAGGAAACTTTTTTGTGGCCAAGGATCATGGACACGGTCGCATAAGCAGATAAGGACTCTTCGATTCGGGCCCGGATTCGGTTTCGGATTCTGTTGTGGACCGTTATCTGATCCGGAGGCGGACCAGCGAAGAAATGGTCTGCCAACTTTTATTGATGGCCGACCGCAAACTTTTAGGGGTCATTTCCCTGACCCATGACCTTACGCTAGAGTTGTCTCTTTCCATGACCTAGTGGGTCAAGTGTGTGGCCAGTCCATGAATCTTTTTTTTAGTTTAGAAAAAAAAAACTTATAAGGTTCCATATCATATCTTCATGAAAGTGTATATGTTAAACTAATGGTTTTATTTTAATTGATTTCCATTTGGTGCTAGTTATCTAAATCAGGCATAAATGCTTGCCCTCTATTCATTCAACTTAGTCTATTCGTAAATAATTTCTCATTCAACAACTGAATCAGTTTTAGTTGGGGAACTACAACACTAATCTTATCTGAATCGCCAACTGAATCTGGAATTCGTGTGTTGCTCCATTTTGCTGGTTCTGTGTGCTTAGCCAACTGTCAAGCGACTGTCAATTGGTAATTAAATGTATACCTCTGGCAGCAGCTGCCAGGGAGGTCTGTTGATTTGTTGGAACCATACTTGTGCTTATACACACTTAGAAAATATATAGATGAAGAGAACGAGAAAGATACAGATACGAAAGCACACCACATTGGCAGATACATTTATTGCCAAAGTTTGCCACGCAGCCTCTGATTTGTGTAAGCTTTATGTTAATATTGTTACAGTCTTGACAGTTTTATTGTCCCGAACTAATAACTTAATTGACAATTTGAACTTGCAAACTGAAAGATCGGGAGGATGGTTGGTTTCCTGGCGTTGGCACCTGTTACGCCATACATTGTAATTTTCGTAATTTATTAACTGAAACATCGGCTCAATTGATGCTGCACAATTTGATTTATTCATTTTCGATTTGCTAATGTGAATAATGACATAAGTGTCAGGAATTATAGTAGATGGTTCATTATTTATTTTTATTACTTAGTTATAGGCATTATTGTTGTGAGTTCTTATTGGCATTCTTAGCCGTCTGATCCTCCAATAAGTCTGAGAATGTCCATGAATATGTTTACCACATCGATATAAAGATTCAATGCTGCAAAAATATACTCCTCGGGACTGATTGAATATCTGTGATTGCCGCCCATCATTAACTGGGTATCGTAAATCAAATAAACTGAAAATACCACAGCACTTATAGAGGCATATATAGTGGAAGCCAAACCTCCGCCCACAAACATGGTGACGATACCGAAAAATATCAGGATAATTACACTGGCCACCAGGATACCGCCCAGCATGGTGAAGTCATATTTCGTTTGCAGGGCAAAGAGCGTAAGTCCCAGGCAAACTGCAGTCGTAATCAATACGGCTGTAAAAACCTCCTTTGGAGCGTAGTGACAGGCGGCTGAGCCCAGCAAGAAGGACTGGGCTATCGTAAAACACACTAGGAGCACAAAATTGGCGGGCGTCTGGCGACGCAGGTCTTCGTTGCAGACCAGTATCACCAAAATGGCGATTGTCATTATGAAGGATATCATGAGAACCCAAGGGTTCCTGGCCACAGCATACTGGAATTCTGTGTTGAAGACCATAATCGAGATTATCACCAGGGAAGTGACCAACTGGCCCAAAAGGATCAAGTACACCTTCCGAATAAATCCGCGCCGAATGCTGTCGTTGCTAAATCCAAAGCCCTTTGGCTGCTCGTCGGACTCGAGATTCGAGCCATATTGTCCGTACTGTCCCAAGGAAATGCTCTCCCCTTGGTGTTCGCGGTTCGAGTACATTACTGGCTGAGACTCAATTTGCATTTTGTCCAAATATCACAAAAAATATGTCTTTGTTTGCTTTTATATTATGACCGGATTTTAGAGATTGAAGTATGGATCAAAGATTGGTGCAAACTTTTCAAAACAAAAAATTCTAAAACATGAATAAATAGTCAAGCTACTCACTTAGGCAATTAATTCCTGTATTATAAAAGCAAGAACAGAAAACTCCCCTTATTTTAAAGCTAAAACCACAAACAAAATGAATATAAATGTTTTCCCAAGAACTTTCATTATCTTATGGATCCAAAATTTATCAAGTCACTTTGGTTAATTAAATGGATTTTGGGTTGAGCAATAGTTTTCAGGAAATAAATTATATAAAAGGCTACCATGGAATGGCAACTTTAAGCGACTTTAAGCCACACACCCAGGGTGGGTCAATAGTTTACGGCTTGATCTTGCCTACTGCTGGATTAGCACAAAGCAACAGCAACAACAACAACAGGTGGTACTGTCTCACCCCAGAATTTATAGGATTACCCCCACACATGCCCCGTCTTTCTCTTTCCCGCTCTCGCTTCTGCGCTTTGGGGAAATTCAGCAAATTTGAGAGCTTTTTACGAATTTTTTTCTGTACAGGTTGGCTAAAAGCGGAATCCTGTGTTCAGTACTTTCGGCTCCTTTGTGGGACTGGAGTGGCCGAAATATAACCGAGTGAGGACTGCACTTGGCATTTTCTGATTGCCTGGCCATGTCGACGTAGTTCGCTGTGGCAACTGAAGCCCGGCTTTTGGCCAACCCAACTCGCATCCCGAGTTCGGACGGAAACATAAAAAGCCTTTTATACGGGGTGAATATTTAAATGGATATGAAATTTCCAAAATCCCCGACACAAATTAACTTGACATTTTAGTAGGACAGCTCATATGTGAGGGCTGTTTTGTCAATTGGCCCGAAATTCAGGACATTTTTGTGGCACACATCAATCAAAACGCCATTTAGACCATGCCATTCTGGCCTACACGTGTTGCGTTTTAAAGTTAAGCGCCTCCCACTTTAAAAGTCCCAGCTTTTGTGTTGTACAACTATCAACAAGTTTTGCTTTTTTTCGGTCTTTTTGCTTTTGACGGTTTTTTTTTGGGTGGTTGGGAAAGTTAAGCCCTAAGCTGAAGTGCGTCACGTGTCGCAAGATTTTCCTCTAAAGCCCTCCGCTTGGCTAATGAAAACAACCTCAGCCAGAGAGCAAAAAATAGAATAGATGGAAACAAAGGCCAAAAGGGGCGGTAGTCACTTCGAAGACGGGGCGTGGCTGGCAGCCATCTATCAACACTTTTCAAACTTTAAATGAGTTTTCAAGCGACATAAACTTTGCCTGGTTGGTCCCAAAAACCACACAATAAAAAATATAGAAAAAGCAACCTAAAACAAACTAAAGAAGTCTGGGGGAAATCGATGTCAAGAGTCCAGGAGCTGAGTGTTGGCCAAAAAGTGCTTGAAGACCGAAAAAGAAAAATAAATGTGCCACAAACTGATGACTCCTGAGATTCTGGCTTAGCAAATGCTAAACAACCCATGAACAAGCAACAACTAACTGCGAAAAAGCAGTGACCAGTACGGAAAGAAAAGTCACAGCACCTGGCTTCGTGTGAATTTTTGTGCGCGGAGAACTCAATTCTTCTCGCCAGAGCCCCATTTCCTTTATTTTATGCATTATTACGGAATATTTTATTTTTATTCCGCTTTTATTTTCTCCTTGTTTGTCATTGTTGAGTTTTTTTGGTCGGGCTTTTTTTATATCCCCCGTCAAAATATTATCTTAACGGAAAGTTTAATTTTTATTTATGTATTTGGTTTAATAAATTGCTTTAATTCAAAGTAGAAGTTTCTAACCATAAAACAAAAAACTCTAACTTTTATAATATTATAAATAAATTGAATGGGCATCCCAGTTCCATTGTGCTGACCACAACCGTATTTAGTTATATTTTAAAAAGGGAGCCAGCCATTGCAGTATAATCTATGCAAATCCACAAGAAATCTCATTTTGGGGATTTAAAGTTGATAAAAATGTGCTGCAGCCAGTCCGTTTGATGATGTTGAATGTTGGGGACTAAAAGCGGCAAAACCCCGATACGAAAATAGGGCAAGAAATGTATTCACATACAGACACACAGACCCCCAAACACATTGAGTTTTTCAGAAAACAACCATCGAGGCTTCGTGTGAATTTTTGTGCGCGGAGAACTCAATTCTTCTCGCCAGAGCCCCATTTCCTTTATTTTATGCATTATTACGGAATATTTTATTTTTATTCCGCTTTTATTTTCTCCTTGTTTGTCATTGTTGAGTTTTTTTGGTCGGGCTTTTTTTATATCCCCCGTCATATTTCCACCCGCAACCCTTCTCCGAGGTCATTAAAATTTACAATTCGCCAAGGGCAAGAAACTTTGCTCACTGCAACACAGTTCGCCTTATTTCTGGTGCAGTGCCGGCTCAGGGCAACAATTAATTTTAATTTTTGAATAACATTCGTGTTTGTATGTTAGTTTAAGCTTACATTCTGTCATATTATAATGTATTCTTTCATATTCATATTATATTATAGATTCTGAGACGTCTTAAGCTTTCTCTAGGGACATTAAAAAGTCATCGAATCCTTTAAACATTGAAGAGAAAATAGGACACGTATGCTCAAAAGATATGCAATACTTTTTATGAGTTTGTTTTCCACTCACATTTGAATTTTGCATTTTCATGGCTCCTCCAGAGTCCAGGACTGATCCTTGTGTCATGCAAATTGACATCTTAATGCCCTCTTCAGTTCACTGACGTCGTGCAAAATAAAATGCGATGTATGTGAGTTTGGAAAGAGTGTTTAATATGCTGCACATTCTGTTACTAGCCGGCGGCTGCTTGCAGTTCACAAATTTCAGCTAGACTGGAAACGACTAGCATTGCTCCTCTAGGAGGACAAATATTTTTGAAGCAAGCAAAAATATTTTGAAGCAAGCAAAAATATTTGCAATAAACACACACGCCAACACACAAACTCGAGCACACACAGACAAAGAGGTGAAAGTGGCAAAGTTTAACCGCAAAATGTCCATAAAGTTCATGGCCATTGGCTCATCATTGAACGCACTCAGACACGAGGATTCTAAGGATACGGACCAAGAGGCTGAGAGTCTGGATACTGGAGACAGGCGGCAGCAAACGGAGACGAGGGGCAATCAGTCAGTGACAGTCAGGACTTACAGCTGCTCCTTGGGCACTCCTTTAACCCTATGCCCCTTTTGACCTTATGCAGTTTTAGCCAAGTTTGCTCTTTTAACCATATCTTCTCCACATAAGTGGAAAGAATTCCAGGCATTTATGTTCGAGCTAAACTTTCGTTTAATTGAATTTTAACTTTGCCTGGCTGACACTTATTTGTTGGGCTATTTTTTGGGCGGTTTCGTTTAATTGAAATTCACTTTGCCAGCAGCTGAATGGAAGCCGTCGGCTCCCAATATCCCATTTAATATATATCGTCTATATTTTAATTGCATTGTGGCACGAATTTGATGGGATATCCAATTTGATATCCTTACAACTTTTAAATGCCGACACATTTATCCGGCCAAATGGTGTTTTGTTTTGGCTCTGGCTTAGCCTCTTGTTTTTCGAGTTTTATTATTTGGTTTCATTTTACTATTCATTTAATCCTTTATTGCTAAAAACTGATGACAAATGCTGATCCCCTTGGGCCCTTGGGCCATAAAAAGGAAATGAAAATAGATGGCAAAATTTTAAATCAATCAACAGCACGTTGAACAGTTCACTACACACAGATTCGGCGATAAGTTTTGTTCTAAAACAAAAAGGCTTTCAGGGCTTATTGAGTTTTTAATTTCAAATAAATTGGATTCGTGCCAAGGAAATTGGATTGGATCTACCTCAAAGGATTATCTAAATATTGTAAACTTTATAAGCATGGCTTTTAAACACAAAAAGGTTTTGATTCAGTTTTACACAATATGTACAGGGACACTATCCAACTTGTAAAACAAATGCCGGAACTGCCAGCACAAAGAAGCAATTGCCATTGGGATTTATTTTATTTGGGGTTTGTGAGTTTCATAAAAATAAGCGAAATTTTCCGCGGACTTGTTTGCATGCATGCATGAATAAATATTTTATTGCAAGCAAGCAGCTCTCGGGGGTCGTTGGGCGGACGAATACTTTTTGTAGCGAGCCGGGGAGAGTTGGCAGTAAGAAAATTTGGTTTTTAGGATTATATAGTTTGATTGTGACACCCACAGAAAGCACAGTTCGTTGACAAACTCGAGAGCGTAAACTCTTAGGTCTCCTTTTATTTTTACAATCCACTCCGGTGACCCATATTGTTGCATAATAATAGGATCATTTGGATAACACTGTTGGTTTAGGCATTCATGCAGAAAAAATGCTCCAAATTCAGAATATGTTTCTTAAATATAGTCACGGACAGGGAATTGTCCTTGAAAAAGTTTTATGAAAACTAAATCATAACACAATTTTGAGAAGTTTATATCCTTTTTCCTAGTTGACATTTCCTTTTATCCTTTAATGGAATCGTAACGCTGTTGGTAAAATAATGTTTGTTTCAGTTATTTTTTCCGTTTGTTATGGGTTTTGTTATTTTGGCAAAGGGCTGAGTGTAAAAGAAAAAGCCTTCTGTTTCATGTAATTGACACTGAAAAGTGCAGATTAGAAATGTTCTTGCCTTTGTTGCCTTTTTAGAAATAATCATTAAAATTAAAAATATAAATGTTTGTAAGATTTATGAAGCAACTTTATTACTAAACCTGAAATACTAAATAAGTTAGTAAACCATATCAAATTATTTTCCATCTATAATAATGTTAAGATGAACTTGAACTAATGAGATTAAGATGCAAAGCCAAAAAAATCTATAAAATAGTAAGCCCACTCGATAACCGATAAGTTTTTGAAATGAATTTACAGGCTTTCTTGATTTTCGCGTTGGTCCTCTGTACTTCTTTGTGTGCTGCCATAAAGGTAGTGAATTTCCTATAAAAGGCATTCAAATAACTTACTCTTTATCCAGATAAACGCAGAAAAGTTGGAAAAAGTTCTAGTGGGTGGCGTTATTGAGGGCTGTATGATTAAGAAGTATGGAATCCGAGCGGAAGATGCGCGAAACGTTAAAACGCTTCCCAAGGAAAGAAAAAGATTAGTCGAAATGTGCCTCTTGCATTGTTTAATGGAAAAGGGATCCTACATACGAAATGGCCATATCAATCCATCTAAGCTCAGACAGAGTTTGGGAAAAAATCTGACTCCAGAGCAAGAGAAGTCGGTAAAAAAAGCAGAAGAGGTGTGCCATTCAATGACATACACCAATAAGTGCGAATTGGGTGTACAATTGTTGAATTGTTACCAGAAAACTGGAAATAGAATAGGATAATTGTCTTTGTAAGTAGGTAAACTCTTAATAAATTGTTCAAGAATCTATAAATAAAAAGATCTGAAGAGAAGCATTCCAAGAATGAAAACTCATTTAATTTTTCCCCAAGTGCAGTCTGCCCCATGGCACCCACTCGGGCATTGGAGACGCGTGTAGCTTACTCCGATTACATTGCCAAGTCACGGTCGTTGCTCATACGCAGCGTTGTCGCCAGCGTATTGTGGCATTAATTAGAGCAACGGTTGCGAGGCAGAAACCCTCGGCTCTCGCTTCCAGGTCCCTAGCCCGAAAGTTGCGTGTGCAACCCCAGTTGCATGCAAGCGTGTCGAGGCGGCAATTAAAATGTTGCAATCGAATATTCATTAAATCGCAATTTGCAGTGAAAGCACATCTGGCATTTTGGCATTTAGCTTAAAGACGAAATGTGGTGAGCTGAGGGCAGAGGGCAGTGGGCGGACAGCAGGTGTGCGCAGATTTCCTTTGACAGCTGAAACGAAACAGAAATTTGCACAGCTGTTCCAAAATTGCGAAAAGTGCCAAAAGCGAAGCCGAAGTTTGGCAAAGGCGTGCAGACCGAAATATATAAGAAAACGACGCAGCTTAATTTGGACAGTTGGAAAGTTTCTCGGGGGGCATCACAAATCTGCTGGCATAATTATTATGAATTATGCAGCAAATAACTTGGCTCTGCTAATGGACTTGGCCCAAGCCCAAGACTTTAGAGACTTCCTGCTGAGCCGGGCTGGCTGGCTGGACGAAAAGGTAGTGCAACTAATTGACAAATGATGATAAAGTGTCTCGGACAGCGGACCTTCTTTGCCCCAAAAGAGGACTTCAATGTGCAAAGTACAGGGCACTCCACTTCTCCCCATTTTATAGTACAATATTTCCTTAACGCGCCCGGGCATTTCGCCGTTTTATGTCTGATAAAAGCTTTGTTTGTGCTGACGGAAACGGATGTTAACTGCCAGACCGAATGGCCACCGACATGACTGGCAGTTGGGCAGTTGGGCTGTTGGGCTCTTGGCCATTCTGTGGCAAGATGTGGGATATTACGACATGGTCAGCATTGGCCTGTGTAAATATTTGCCACTGTTTTGCTTTTGTCCAGGGTATCAACAATTCGCCAGCAGAAGCCACCGCCTGGCACTTGGCTTGTTTGATTTATGGAGTGCCAAAATGCGTTTACCTTTGCTTTTTCAGCCTCGGCTCCCCTGTCCGACGTGTTGACTTTAAAGCGTCAAATTAAAAATCCCATTAAATAAAATATTCAACAGGGCTTGCCCAAAAATATCGACCCTCGGTGTCCAATGAATTATGTAACGGGGACAAGGGTTACCCGCCTCAAAACATAATTGTGAATATTTTAATCATTTGTGCATCCCTTCCACAATCTCCCCCTCATAACTTGTAGCCAAAAAGTGTCAAAATTTTTGGAATAATTTCATGCCTATCTGCTGCTGTCGTTTATGCTGCAAATTTGGTCCCGTCACCTGGTAAGTGTCCTATTAAATATTTCCGCCCCTGACAGCGGTTTATATCTGAAATTTGTTACGCGATTTATGTGGCTTTTTATTTCCTTTTTTCCATTAAAAAATTACTCCAAAAGAGACAACTGTGGAGGTCATGAAGTTAAAGTATTTCAGATGTTGCATATTTCCATTTCATGTCCATTTCAGGTTTACATTTTTAAAGATTTGTTTTGACATGACCGCCAAAGAATCCCTTTATTTTTATTTGTCCTTCTTCATTCTTCTTTTAGTTAGGAAAGGTAAGATATCTTTTACTTTGCCTAATTTACGGGCCAAAATATTTCTGGCTGAAAATGAACTTTTTTGCACTTTTGCTTTCTCCACTTAATTGGCGTAATTTGTATAATTAAAATTTTCGTGCACTCCTTGTGTAAATTTGAGACCTTTGTGAAGGGACTAATAAATTGGCTCAATTTGAATCCTTTGGGTTTTTAAGGATATCACAAGGGAATTGGCGAAACGGTTCCTCTTTAGAGTATTCTTTTCAGTTTTATCAAAGCTTTAAAGTTCAATATTTCCAATAATATTCTATGTTTCAAGTCACCTTGGTTTCTCACTTATTAGCTGACTATATACTTGTATGTTCCATCAGAGTTATGGATATGAAGCGTTCTGGGCTAATCAGCTTAGGCATTTTGCATATATTAGCATTTTGCCATTAATGTACTATTATTCCGTATGTGATTGTATTACTGTGTGTGTTTCAGTTGCTATCTGGTGTATTATGGAGTAGCATACCCCGATATCCTCCCTTGGGCCGTGCGTGCCTGCCATTTAATTAACTGCACAGGCAACATTTTCAATCTCCGCCCCAAACACCCTGCCACAGCACTTCGTACTTCCCTAAACTCAACTCGATTTGCCGATGTCGTTGGCAATCCGAAATGCTGTTATAATAACGCAAACAAGCTGTTGGGCTTACTGAATTTAATCCCCCCGACCGTCCGTCCATCTGACAGTTTGTCGGCGGCACTAAAAACTAATTGAAATTGCCATATTTCATGCATATTATGGGTATGCGAAGGGGAAAATCACCGAACATAACATCTGATAATGCGTTTCGGATTTTCGCAATATAGCCAGTTGACTTGAGGTACTTTAGGAAAATTTTTAATAAATATTTTATATTGTTGATGGCTTCCGAGACTAAAACAATATTTATATTTATGCGAAAGGATTTGGTCGAGAATGGGATCTAGATACAACAGTATTTGATGTTATTGGGTGGATTTTTTTAGCACACGAATTCATAGCGACATGGATCGACGCAAGGATTGTATCCTTTGCCGCGTCTTGGTAACTGGATTGGACCTGGACCGGACAGAAGGAGCTGGCGTTTCCTCTGGCCATCTGTCATGCCATCGGATCCTACCTTGGCCTTCTTTGGCCTGGTATCTTTGCCCTCGTCGGGATTCCACGGCCGGGTTAGAGTTCCCTCCTTTTGCAGATACTTGATCATATCGATGCCCTTCTTTTTCTTCATAATAGCATCCTTTTCCGCCTGTATGGCCGCCTTGGCGGCATCCTCCCCCGGCTTAAGAAACCGCTTTGGAAAACGAACTGGGATCGGCCCTGCCTTTCCGCCCTTTTTGTTGAAAAGCTTATTGGCACCGGGTACTCCAGCCAATTGGCCACCGAGACCTCCATGACCCCCAGGACCTCCGAGTCCACCAGGTCCACCAGCTCCACCGGGTCCGCCACGGCCGCGTCCTCCGCCAAACATTGCGGAAAAGCCACCACCGGTTCCCCAAGCAGCCTTCAACCGTGGCCTGCCGCAGGGCATAGGATTTAGGCCGTGGGGTCCACCGCCTAGCAGACCGAATAGGCCATCCTCGAAGACCTGCTCACCGGGCAGGCCCATGGCCGTCCCCATATAGCGGTCGCCCACAGCGCAATCATAGGGCTTCCAGTAGGGCGAAATCTTTTTAGGGTACTTCGGAGGGGGGCCTAGCTTGTCCTTCGCATTGAACTGTGTGCCGTGGTTCACGGTCTTCGGCTTCGGGCGAGAACATGGTTGCTGAGTGCCTGCGGGAGGGGTTACATCGAAGTCGTACTCCATGTCGCTCTCACTGGTATCGGTGAGAACTAGATGGTCGGCTGCAGGAGGAATACTGTGGCGCCGGCATTCCCTGTTCAGTGCCCGCTGGAGGTGGGCCTTCTCCAAGGCGTTTCGGCACTCGCACATCATCAGCGTCTGGTGGCAAGTGCATTTGCGAAAGCCCTTCTCCTTCAGCTTGCGCTTGATCTGGCTCAGGGCCACGGCCAGTTCACTCTTAACGACCCGGAAGGTGATCGGTTTCTGCCGCACGCCCAATGTGCTCAGTGGCCTCAGAGTGATGAAGATCTCGCCGTTCTTCTTGCAGACATTCAAAACCGGGGCGGCCAGCTCCTTTTCCCTCTCCAAGGTCTCTGCATCCTTGCACTTGCCAAATGCGTTGTCTCGCGGAGACTGCTCTAGGAAGAATTTCATCAAATGTTTGATCGGCTTCCTTATGGCTCCGGGTCGCCAGCCCAATTTCTTTGCCTCGAAACTCTTGCTCCAGGCCCAGCCATGTCGCCGGGAGACGAAGCCCGATTGTCGGACACACTGCTTGTGTCGGCTAGAGATGTGGCCCTTATTGTTGGCAGGAATATACACAGGCTTGTTGTCCCTTTGTGTCTCTTCCTTTGACTTCTTGCCTTGAGTTTCAGATTTCTGAGTCTTTTCAGCCGACTTCGGTGCTACCCGTTCACAGTTCTCATCCAATTCCGACATTTTCTTAGTGTCCTTGATGTCGTAAAGATCCCGCAACTCGGAAAACACTTTTGCCAAATACGGTCGGCAGTCGTCCGAGCTCTTGTTCACCACACAGTAGTCCTCGGATTCCTTTGGTTCTACTTTAGGGCACTTGGGTTCCATGCGGTCCACCTATTTATGAAATAAACTAGTAAGCTGTTCAGTATAGTACCTATTATCTAAGGACCTACCTTAAAGATATCGGCACATAGCTTACGAATACGACAATGAGCACACATCTTTCCATATTTGCAGGTGCACCGGCAGGGAGGACACTCGTCATCTTCGGCTTTATTTTTCTCCCGCTTGGCCTTCTCGCAAGGATCCACACAGTAGTCGTCCAATGTGGGTGGAGGCTTACCCAGAAACTCGAGCAAGATCTGGTCAGCCGAGATTTTTTTCTCCTTGTGTCGCTCCTCAACCACAGGCATGGGCTTAACGCCACACTTCGGGCAGGCAGCAAACTTTGGCATCCAGGACATATTGGTCAGGCAAACAGGACAGAAGCGAATGGGCTTGATGTTGGACTGCTCGCCGGGACAGTCAGCGATCGGGACCGGAATCATATTCTTATCGCAAAAGTCGGGCTTGGTGTCTTTCACAGCTGGTAGGTAGACAAAGCACGGTTTGTTGGGCGGTTCCGGAAGGTCGGGCATGAACATGGGTGGATCTGGAGGACATCGACATGGACTCATCCCAAAGATGGCTTCGTCGGTGGGATCGCGGCAAGGTGGCTTAGGTGGCGGTGGGCCAGTTTGTTTTGTTATCGAGTCAATCATTCTCTCGTATTCAATCGCCATTTTCTGAAAATTAAATTAAATTAATTAAATTTTAAATTTATTAAATTTTAAACATTACTTGAAAGTTATAATCACCTTTAGTTCACAACAGGCTGGAATTCCGGATCCATTGTCTGTCATCATATCATAGGGCTTTATGCCACCGCCTCCGCCAAGGCTTCTGCCCCAGCCTCCGCCCAAGCCTTCACCTAAGCCTCCACCCAAGCCTCCACCCATGCCTCCACCCATGCCTCCACCCATGCCTCCACCCATGCCTCCACCCATGCCTCCACCCATGCCTCCACCCATGCCTCCACCCATGCCTCCACCCATGCCTCCACCCAAGCCTCCGCCACCGCCTCCGCCTACACTTCGATAGCGGTTAAGGTCCATTTGAAGACTTTCTTCGCCCTCATCGTCAGCGAAGGGTTTCGGACATGGCTCGATGGCTGCAGGACACACCTGTGACTCGCCCAACACGAACATGATGTCCTGTGGACTGATGCTCTTGTCCATGTTGCGCTTGCACTCGCTCTCCACCACACTGTATAATAAATTAATGAAATATACAAATTGTACCAGATAGATGAGCAAAATATCATTTAAATTATGTTTATGTCCTTTGTCAACTCACTCTGTGAAACCCGAGATGACCATCCGGCATTGGAAGTCCAGTTTTCCGGTAACGTCAGTGCCCCGACTCAGCCGAATGGAGTCAGAGTGGAGAAAATCGGTCATTTCCTTATCGATGGTCTCCACCAGGGGTGGCGGAAAGGAGGCCTGGCCAGTGCCAATAGTTTTCTTGTCGTACGACACCGTAAAGGATATACCACAGGAGCCGACATCTTTGCGGACCTCCTTCGGATCCTTTTGGAACTGCATGCCGGCATTTTCCTTGAAATCCTCCACATTGATCATGCTTGGCGTAAGGGGAATGGTGGTCTTAAAAAAATTGGCTGTAATTTCGAGCATGGCAGGATTGGAGAACGCCATTTCATAGGAGACTACATTGGTGACAATCAAATCGAACACGAAGGTGGGCAGTGGCTCCGGCTTCTTAACCTCGGTCGCATCAGCTGCCGGTGGTGCAGGTTCCTCTTTGGGACCCATTTTGAAATGCTATTTTTGATTAATTTATTGTCTAAAATTTGTATGTATTTTGTCTGAAATATTTTCTGGTTTGCGGGCCGTATTTATTGAATTTTTTTACTTTAGATTTTTTTTGGAGAACCTCTACTATGAACTTAATAAACTAAACTGATCTGTAAAATTGTGTCACCACAAAATGACACCCGACTTCAAACAAAGAAAATATAAAAATTGGCACACGAGCTGCCTCGATTTGAAATTTGTACAATCAAGGCTACTGCGATCGGGTTTCTTGTTTAAAAGTTGTGTCTAGTAACTGAAAGTTATACTTCCAACCGGTGAATCGCAAAAATTATAACTTTAAACTCTGAAAGTAGATGAGGTCCGTTACCATTATAATAACACCTGTTTGTTTGATGATTCATTAAATATTCATAAAGGCATTGTGAAATACCCGTTCTACACTTTGCACTTGTTTATCTTGAATGCAAATACGAAAAAAAAAAATGGACTGGTAATCATACTAATTTCATCGTTAAAGCTAATTAATTATGCATTTAAGAAATAATTTAAACATATTTTTTAAAGAAAGTGACCTACTTAGTTGAAAGCCAAGACGAGCCCCTCTTTTTATTATTTTTAAAAAATGTTGAAATTAATAAAATTCAAAAGATTTTAATAAGCAGATTTTTATTGAAATTTCATGCAAATTGTATTTCGACTCGTAGGATTCGGTCGTAGTTCTGGTTGTGAACTTGTAGAGCTTTACCAATGTCCACCAGCGCCATGGCCGCTATGACCGACATTTCCTCCATGGCCGGTATGACCGACATTTCCTCCATGGCCAACATTTCCTCCATGACCCACAGGACCAGAATGACCTACAGGACCTGCATGTCGAGAAGGACTGCCATGGCCCGAGTTATAGCCATGTTGGGGTGTGGCCTGGACGAAAGCCAGGACGGCGAGGAGCAGGATTGCACTGAGAGCCAGGAACTTCATCGTTGAAACTGTTGATGCATTCTGGCTGCTGGCAGATCTCTTTTATACTACCAATCATCAAGAAACCTGTATTCCAATTTGGCTTACAGTTTGTTTTGCCCCCAAATAATTATAATTATTGCTTATCAAATTTATTGTATCGATTGCTTAAAATGTTTACGAGGCAATTGTACAATACCTGTCTTTCGTGATTTTTAGCAGCTGGTTGTCCCAACACCTGTCCTTAATTTATTCACATTTCAGTTTAAAAACACCCACTTCAAAATAAGACAAACAACGCCTTCTTATAAACCATTTCTAATTACTTTGAAAGTTCTTAGGTTATTCACATAATTAATCTTCACAATTGTTACCAGATTTATTTTAATTGTTTCTTAAGATTTTTGACATCTTTTTTGATTAGTGTTATTTAATACATTTTTACCTCTTTCATCCTTTTTTTTTTTGTAATTTTCCAAGTTATTTGGGCCCAAAACCGATTCGTTTTGGCAATACTGACTTGGTGTCTCTTCCGTTCTTGGGACTCGCGTCCCGACGTTTAGGACCTTGTGTCTCCAGGTACTTCAGCATGTTCACGCCCTTTTTCTTCTTTGCGATGGCTTCGAGTTGCATCTGTTCGGCCGCTTTGGCCGCATCCTTGGCTGGCTGAAGCATTCGCTTAGTCCATCGCACAGGAATGAATCCAGTTTTTTGTTTTTTGCCAAAAATCTTTTCAGCACCGGGGATTGCAGCCCACACAGCAGCGCCTAGATCACCACTACTTTGTAGGCACGGACGTCCACGGCCACCGCCAAAGATAGCCGTCCCCATTCGACCTGAAGGTAACTGGCAGGATGGTGGCACCACGGACCTGTCGTTATATTTTGGTGGGACTCCATGGGGACCACCACCTTCCAGTCCAAATACACCGTCCTCGAAAACATTCTCTCCAGGCGCCCCGAAGGCAGTGGCTGTGAAGTGATCTCGGACTGCACAATCATACGCCCGGTAATAGGGATTAGCTGGAACTGGGTAAAAGGGCCTGACCGTCCGGGTTTCCTTTTTTCCCGTCTGAGTGGCGTGGTTGACATTGTTAGAAAGGGCCCTGAGCTCGGGCCTTCGCGACGCTGTCGGAGGGGTGACATTCAGGTCCAGCTCCACGTCACTGTCACTCGTGTCGGTGAGCACCAGGTGCTCCGGACACGACTGCATATTTCGTTTGTGGCACTCCGTCTTCAGGGCTTTATTCAACTCCATCTTCTCTATGGCATCGCGGCAAGTACACAACACCAGAGACTTGTGACATGTGCACCTCCGAAAGCCCATGTCCTTGAGAGCTCGCTTTATTTGACGCAAAGCTACCGCCAGATCACTCTTGACAATACGAAAGACAATTGGCCTCTGCCGTCCAATCATGGATTCCTGAGGATGCAGGGTGATGAATATTTCTCCCTTTCGCTTAAATATATTCAGCATTGGCGGCGCCAAGTGTTCCTCCTTTTGATAATCGGAAATGGCGTTTTGGTGTAACTTGTAACTGTCACGGCGATTGAGGAAAAAGCGCATTACATGACCAGAAGTGCTCAGAATGGCTCCCGGACGCCATCCATTGTTGCGAGCCTCCAAGCTCTTCGTCCAGTTCCAGCCATGACGTCGGGACACTGTGTACTCCGTCGGTAGGCAGCGTTTGTGGACAAGCTTTGGGCGGTTGGTCCCTATAGCACAGGCTGGTAAGGATCGGACTACGCGCGGTTGCACTTGGCCTGGCGCTTTTTTAGAGACGTGTAGGGACAGTAGGGCGCTTGAGTGGCAGCGTTTCTCGAGGTCTGTTTTCTTCTTGGAGTCGTGCAGATCGTAGAGATTCTTCATCTCAGAGAAGACCCTCGTTAAATAGGGGCGATCGTCTTCCGCATCCGCATCGGTAATGACGCTGTAATCCTCGTCAGACTTGGGCTTTGGATGCATTCTGTGAACGGATGACGGCACATGGTAGATATCCTCGCAAAGCTTACGGATGCGGCAGTGGGCGCATATCTTTCCCAGCTTGCAGGTGCACCGACAGGGCGGACATTCTTCTTCGCCATCCAGCTCCTTCAAGGCCACCTCGCAAGGTCTCCGGCAAAAGTCCTCCACTCCTTCCGGTGGTTGCGGTTTGACCAGCTGCTCTTTCATGATCTGATCCGCGGTTTGCTCGTCACTGGGTGGCTCTTCGGCAAAAGGCCGCGTCGTGGTCTGGCAGCGCGGACAGTTTGCGAACTTGGGCAGCCAGGACATCGAACACAGGCAAATGGGGCAGAATCGAATGGGTTTGACTCCGTACTGCTCTTTGCACTTAATGGGCACTGGAATACGTTGATCCTGCGGAGGACTCTTCAGAAAATTGCTCTTTTCCGACGGTTCCTCTGCAGGAACAACAGGACTCCAGAAATCATTTTGCTTAACTTTCGTGAACACCGAATCGACAATGTCGGCGAACTGTCGAGTGACTTCTTTCAGCTGTCGAAGCGAAGGCTTCTCTTTAACACAGGGGAGATCATCGGGAAGAACCACCCTGCGATTCTTCATACTACTATAACGAGCTAAGTCCAATTTCAGGATGTTATCCCCTTCGGCCTCTCCTAGTTCGGAGCAGGGATTCGAGGGTATTTCCAGCACCGGATCTGGGTCGCCGATCACGAACATCACATCCTGCGGATTTATGGTGTATCCTTGACTAGAGCAACTTGGACGCCTCGTCTTAGCCCCAATTTGATTGGATTTGAGTTGTCCGGGACTGTCTGAATTTGTTGTTTTCCCAGGATAGCTTTCCTTCTCGCATTTGACGGTGAGACGCAGCAGAACGGTGATGGAACCAACGACGTCCGTTCGGCGCATCAACTGAAGCGTTTCCGCATGCAGCAGATCATTCATTGTGGAACTGATCTGGTCAAGAAACTCCTGCGGGAACGACATGGATGCACTTCCCGTCGTAGAACCATTGTAAAGAGCTGCCACAATCAAGCCTTTTTCCTCTAGGGCATCGCGCATGCGAGAGGGACTCGATACGATCTGCACTTCCCGGTTGGAAGCAAACTCAGTGACATTTATACGGCTGGCACCGATTTTCCAGGCCCGCTGTGGCAATTTTATTGAGACATATAAGTTATCCGGTTCGGGCTTAATGCCTTTTAATTCCAAATGTGTGACTACGGCATCAAATAAAAAGGTCAGCGATTCATCAACCTCACTCATTATAAGGGCGGTTGTTCATGGGTTTGGAATTTCTTGATGCCAATAAAGAAAGTCAAGAAACTGGGCAATGAATACCTTCAAGAAAATGTGTTAAAATCAAAAAAAGAAGAGATTGAATATAAATAAAATCATCCACTGACTATTCACTCAATGCTACCTTAGTTAAAAAATATAAAAACCCTTATAAAATAAAATAAATGAAAAAAATGTATCTACAAGGCTATATGGTATTATTTATTGTTGCCTTGTAATTATTTGCGTTTATATTGTGCTTGCATTTTTCCTAACATCTTCATGGGCAGGTATTTTCAAGTAATCTTCAAATATTTAATGGAACTTAAAGCCAATCCGAATTATATAGGCCTGTTTCCAGACACTTCTTTAGCAGACATACTCATAGCGACAAGGATCAAGGCAAGGATCGTATCCCTTGGCTCGTCTCGGAATCGAACAAAGCAAAGGACGCGGCCCCGATAGGAGAAGCTTGAGCTTCCTCTCTCCACCTGTTAACCTATCGGGTCCGTGCATGCTTTTCTTCGGCCTGGTATCCTTGCCTTCATCGGGGTTCCAAGGGCGGGAAATGGTGCCCTCCTTCTGCAGATACTTGATCATGTCGACGCCCTTCTTCTTTTTCATGATTGCATCCTTTTCCGCTTGTATGGCTGCCTTGGCTGCATCCTGGCCTGGCTTGAGGAAACGGTTCGGAAAACGAACAGGAATCGGACGTGTAGGTTTTTTCGGGAAAAGCTTGTCGGCGCCGGGTAAGGCCCCCTTGACGCCACTGAGGCCACGGTCACGATTTCCACGACCACCGCCGAACATTGCATTGAAGCCGCCACCGGCCCCCCAAGCTGCTTTCAACCGTTTTCTGCCGCAGGGCGTCGGATTTGGCCCATGCGGTCCGCCACCCAAAAGCCCGAAGAGGCCATCCTCAAAGACCTGCTCACCGGGTTTGCCCATGGCCGTCCCCATATAGCGTGCTCCCACAGCGCAATCGTAGCGTCTGTAATAGGGGGAAATCCTCTTTGGATATTTCGGAGGCGCGGGTTTATTGTCCATGTTTGATGTCTGAGTGAAGTGGTTAATAGTCTTCCTCAGGACTTTTCTTCTTGGTCGGCAAGGGGGGTTGACATCCAAATCAAACTCCATTTCACTGTCACTCGTATCGGTCAGTACCAGGTGCTCTGGGCACGGCTCCATCAGGCGTTTTTGGCACTCCTTTTTCAGGGCCTTATTCAACACAAACTTTTCAAGAGCATCCCGACAGATGCACATCATCACAGGCTTGTGGCAAGTGCATTTCCGGAAGCCCTGATCCTTGAGGGCGCGTTTCATTTCCCGCAACGCCACCGCCAAATCACTCTTTACAATTCGAAACACTATGGGCTTCTGTTTGATTTCCGAGGTGGGCAGTGGTCTTAAGGTCACATAGATCTCTCCAAAACGCTTCGTAATATTCAGAACTGGCAGACGATTTCGCTCATCCTCTTCAAGCTTGGCGACCACCTTCTGACAGATATTTTGATTCGAACGTCTCGTTAAGAAGTAGCGCATCACATGGCCGGCAGTCCGCAGAATCGCACCGGGCCGCCAGCCTCGCTTTCGCGCCGCGTAGGATTTCGGCCAGCTCCATCCGTGGTTCCGGGGCACAAGTATGTCCTCCGGAACACACTCCTTGTGACCTGTCTCAATGTGGAATGGCTCAGGAATGCCCGGAATGCGCCCATCAGTTGGAATCGTTGATTTGCTGGAGGCTTTGGAGGTCTTGATGTGAAGTGTCATGAGGGACTCGGACTCGCACCGCTTCTGAATGGCTTCAATTTTTTGGGAGTCGTGCAGCTTATACAGATCCTTCAATTGAGAAAAGACCCTTGTCAAATATGGACGATACTCGCCCTCAGACTCGGCTACAACACAGAAATCTTCACTGGATCCCGGCTCCGGTGGACGGATGGTTGAGCGTTTCCTTATCTGCTCGGGTGATTCCCTGTTGAATATATCCTCGCACATCGCGCGTATGCGACAATGGGCACAACACTTGCCGTCACGACAGGTGCACCGACACGGTGGGCATTCATCGTCAGAGCCCAGGTCCTTTAAATCCATGCGTCGTGCCGCGTCGCAGGGGCTCAGACAAAAGTCGTCAGCTCCAGGTGGGGGCACTGGTTTTTTCAGCTGCTCAGCCATGATCTCTTCGGCAGTCAAAATTTTAGAGGGGTGGCCTTCGAGTACAGGACGCGTCTTGGTTAGGCACCTGGGACAGGGAGCATACTTCGGCATCCAGGACATGCTGTGCAAGCATACGGGACAAAAGCGTATTGGCTCCACGCCGTAGTCATCTTTGGGTCGGACGGGAATGGGTATCCACCGGTCTGCCTTAATCTCGTCGAATGGCGTCTTGTGCGAGGGACACGTCCACTCAGAGGGTGGTTCCGTGGTAGGCACAGAACTGGGTGGGAGCGGTTGACACTCCATTGTCTTTATTTTCTCCGACACAGAGTCAATGATTTGCGAGTAGTGCTGGGTCAGTTTTTTAAGCGAAGTAAAGGAAGGCTTCATTTTGGGACAGGGATCATCGTCTGGAAAAATGGCCCGCCGATTCTCCAAGCTGGCATATCTGGCCAAGTCTAGCTTAAGTCGGGGATCGCCTTCCTCCGGGGCCAGTTCGGAACACGGTTCCGAGGGAATCTTTAGTAGTGGATCAGGATCCCCAATGACAAACAGTATGTCCTGCTCGTTAAAGCTTTTGCCAAGAGTACCGAGTACTGGCTTTTTACTAACTGCTTTTCCAGTCGCCCCCTCTGCCGGTGGGACTGGCTCTAAAGCCTTTTCGCATTTGGTCCTGAAGATGATCAAAACTGTGGCATTGCCGACATGATTGACTCGGCTCATGAGCTGGGTGGTGTCCTGGTATATGAGATCACGCATGTTGGGGTAGATCTGATCGGTTACTGTGTCGGGTAATAAGAGGGTACCTGATCCCAAAGTGGAGCCCTGATAGCGGGCCACTAACGTTATTCCAGCTTCGTTTAAGGCGCGTCGAACTTCCGAAGCAGTTGCCATGAACTCGGCGGACCTGTTGTTCACAAACTCAGTGACATTGATCCGGCTTCCGGTGACCCGCATGTTTAAAGCTAAAAACTTCAGCTGTATCTCGACCTCTGTCGGGTCCTGGATTTTGCTGCTAAACATTTCCAGCTTCGAAATGACCACATCGAAAATAAAGTTCAGCTGCCTGTCTTCATTTTCTTCAAGAGACATTTTGCAATGTAAAATTTCACTCTAAGCCTTTGCTAAGGATAGTAAGAACATAAACCGAAAATCGAGTATAAATTTGTGTGTTGAAAAGTGTAAATGCAAGCGGTGTGAATTCTAAATCTGAACTGACTTTATTACAAATATGAGCGTGACATTAAAATCAATGCGAAACCTAGCACTAAAATATACTTACTCAGCAAAAGGCTAAGGACATTGTGAGGCTGACCTGCATTGACCCTTGAAGGAGGACATCCAAAATGCCCGGCGCAGCAAAATGGCAGAAAAAATGTGTTTCTAATTACCCCGACCACTTCCACATTTGCCTGTTGCTGCCAAACAGGCCAATAGCCCGGCCACCACGTTCTGGAATTTGCGGCTACACCTTTCGTAAGCGGCTTAACACGCGAGCTCTGGGAAAACTCACACGCCCACGACGGTGGACTGCCATTTATCAAATCAGCTCACATGCTTATCTAAATTAAGTTCAATTTTAATTAAATTTCGCGCATTAAGTTGACTCATATCGGTTATCCGTGCTTGTTCATTATTCCCCCAACGATCCGCTCCTCCCATTACACAAAAACTAGTTTAAATTGGGTCCTGGAACATTTTGTCGAAAAATGCCGAACCGCAGAAAATGAAAACTCCCTGACTAACTAAGCCGATTTAATTGGATACAAATTGGTGCAGCGAAATGTTCACTAGCCAGAGGGCGAGGTAGGCGGGTGTATTCGGGGTCAGGTTCCTGTCCACGCCAATAGCCAAACAATAACAAATTGGGTCCACGGGTCCGGCGAATTTCGTTGCCGTTTTGTTTGGCTTCGCTGGCCGAGATCCTGCTGGCCAAGTGAAAACCACTCGTGCATAAATTATACAAGGCCAGGGGTCCATATTCCAATTTACCCTAACTGTATGTCCAAAAGCTGTACGTTCATTAGGAAGGTGTACAGATCTAAAGAGAATTATTTTTGGAGGTTATATACTCCTTCATTCCTCTTTCCTTTTTGTTCTATACTCCCATTGAGGCTAGAAAATTCACATCTTTTTTTAAAATTTATTAGAAAAAACTTTTAATGATTAAAGTGTGAGACTTAAAGGCCAAATAAAAATGGTTCTATGTAATGGGACCCTCGCCATCGCTTCGATTCCAATATTTGCGAGGTATTTCAACTATCTGGCTTCGCCCCAATGTTTTTAAAATTTTTTTCTGGGCGTCCTGAAAATTAAAAAAAAATATATCAAAAGGTGTTTTCCTCTGAGTAGATTGTATAATTCTTTACTTGGGCAGACGACTTTTATATCGCGACAGGTCCAGCCGAAGGCGTTCGTCACCCGCTTCGTCTTCAATAACATCCGAGCAACGTTCACAGGGAATTGGACAAAGATCTTGGTGTCCTATCAAAAACATGATATCCTGGGGAGCAATTGTGCTTCCCATATTTGGAAAGCAATCTGGTTCGGGCTCTCTTAATATAGGATTAATAGGTTAATATGAATTTATTCAACAACTTTTTAAGGATACCTTGACTTACCCCACGCATTTTATGACCAGACGAGCAAGGAACTCTAGTTTCCCTGTTACTTCGTCGCCTCGAGTAATATTAACCCTATCCGAATGTATAATATCCGACATATCACGGTCTAAAGTATCCAGTAAATGTTGTGGAAAGTAAGCCTGGCTACTGCCAATCCCCTTTTTGTTATATGATATCTTAAAAGATATGCCACTAGTTGCCACATTCTTGCGGATCTCCTTTGGTTCGTTTTGAAACTCCAAGCTGTAACCGCTTTGGAAGTCGGTGACATTGATCTGCGAAGGTGCCATTTCAAATGGTGTCTTAAAGAAGTTTCCAAGCACTTCTAGCTTCGATGGGGTGGTCAACTGGATGTCATTGGCCTCTAGTTTCGTAATAATTACGTCAAAGATAAAAATGGGAAGAGGGTCCGGCTTGGATCCCATTTTGGTGATTTCCAACTGCTGATCCTGTTGGGCTAACCTTTACATACTATTGTTGGGTTTTTATGATAGTATGAAGTGTATAACTTTTAAATTTGGAATGAATATAAACAGAACAAGGTATTGACAAATATTTTAACTCTTGCTAAGCACACTAAGTTTGTAGATTTATTTTGTATACAAAATATTTATCTAAAATTCTATTTTACATTGAAGAGTATTAACTATAGCATATATAAGTATAGTATAAAGTTCACACAGATATTCCCACCCACAAAACGTGTGAATACACCGAGTTTCGAAAGCTGGACAACATTTTCGTGTGGCTAAAATGGCTCCTATGGTCGAGAACACGGCATTAATGACTTGTTAATTAGTTGGCCATTTTGTCGAGTAAAGCAATTGCAAAACAATTTCACTAGCAATTGTAGTTTGGTTTGTGTCTCTCACATTTTAGACTAAATGTCATGCTTCGATTGCATAATTAATTTGCGGAATCGGTTTTGACAGAACTAGCCGCATTTATTTGCATATTTTTGGCTAAGGGATTGCTCATCTTGCAGCAATTTAATTGCTTTGCCAAATTAATATATGGCCCTAGAATAACTGCCAAACATTGTACACGACTGCCTGCATCTAAGGACAAAAGCCAAAAAACCAACCAATTAGAAATACGGAATGTAAATATGTGCCATGTTTTCAAGGACCTCAGGCTTTGGTTTTGGTAACCAGGGTGTTTGTGTGAATGATATGGCCATAAGTAAAGCCAAATAAATCCTTTTGGATAAACAATAAAACAAAAGGTAGAGCTTCAAGCTGACAGCACTGAACAAATGTATACAATGGTTAGCAAATATGTAAAATATATAATTTATGTATCACAAAAACGAATCAAAATTTGTTACATGTTTTTAATTTTGTAAGATCAATTTATTGTCTTATTTGTTTGAAACACAATGTGTTTTGTGGCAGTGTACCTGCAAAACTAATTCCGATTTTATGCTGGCCACACTCCCACAAGTAATTGGTTGAAGAGCCTGGGAGCTTTACGAAATATTTTCGGCTCTTGTCTTGCTCGAATGAGCACTCTTGGTTTTCGCACGTTACGTTACGTATACGCCACGAGTACGAGGTGGCTCTGTTCCCCGATGCCCTGAACCGTGCTGCTGTTATGTGGCTGCATCATGGCCACCCACCGAATTCACCCATTGCCTGGAGTTTTGTTGATGCGCCTGCCTTTGCTTCTGCCGGCAGACAAATGAGTATTCCCATTAAATGCTTCTGAAATATGCTGGCGAATCATTCACATCTGAAGTGGGGATTTTTCCTGGCCAATAAATCTAAAAGCTCTGTACTCAGGGTGAAGATATTTCTCAAGACTCCTAACCACAAGCTATGAAGTGTTAAACGTGTTTGATTGGGGCTTTTTCGGTTATTCAATGCACTAAGGCTTAGGTTATTTTAACCTTCGATTTGTATTTAATAAAGGTTTAGCCGACATAAATGTTCTAGTAGTTTTCAGAGTAGTTTTTGTAAAGCAGAGTTGGCTTAGATTATTGTTTGTTGCTTATGGTGAACTAAAATGTAATTACTAAAAATTCGAAATTTCGCCACCATTAAAAATAGCGGCTATCCTCGCCATTCGAAAAAATCGTTGCAAACTATTTGTGAAAAAACGGCCAAAATATGGGGAAAAAGGGTGGAAAGGGAGGAAAGAAGGGAAGGAAGACCATGGCTAAATCCATATTCGTCCCTGCTCCGCCAGATGTTCCAGCTAAGCCTGCTTTTAATAGAAGTCTTCCACTGTACTCCTTTGACCTGGTTGTGACTCGCTTGGAAGTAACGGGCGTGGCACTAACAGATCCCCGAAAACTGGTGGTGAAGGTCAGTTTCGGGGACAATGACCTCTCGTTAACTGCTAGTCGGACCAATGTGAGCGCATTCAAGCCAGATGCCAGTATGATCTTCCAGTCGGTGCCAATGGAGTTGTCCACGAAACTCCAGGAGAACGGCATTGCCTTTGAGGTGGTGTACGATGAAATAATGATTGGCAAGGGAAAGGCGGCTCTCCCCAAAAGACTTACCAACAACGTCGGCTGGAACATGAAGGAGTTCAACTATACGAGCACCTGCTCCCTGGCAACTGTGGAAAAGCCGGATATTCAAATCGGTGCTTTAGAATTCCTGTGCAAGCTGTTCATCAAGTGCAGTGATTATGCCAGGTAGGTGCATTAAATATAGTAGTATGTTTAAATGCCTTATAATGTTTCTCAGGAAGGGAGAAACGTGCAAAAATCTGGACAGGAATATCAGCCCAAATGACATTGTATTTGTTATTGGCAAATCAGCAAATAGTCCCACCGATTGCGATGGCTGCAAGGGTGTCCTCGAAGCCGAGGCTAGAAAGGAACAGCAAAAGGACTATTCCATTAGTCAAGATCCGCGTTGTGGCTATTAGTAAGAAAACTTTAGGCTCTAATTTTAAAAAATATAGTGAATTTCAAAAAGGCATTCAAAAGGCTTTTTTTTTTTATTATTCTTCTATGGGAAATACTTAAAATGTAAGCCTTAAATTCAAAAGTGCATTGCAAGCCACACCTTGAGTTTCTCACTGGAATGGTTTTTGATCCGGATATTGTTTGCTGCACAAACATTTTTAATGCAATGCTCCATCTTTAAGAGGAGATTTATTTAAAACGCCTTTTTTCTTGACAGACAAGCTTCGCTTTGCTTGATTAGAATGTGACTTCAATTTGGGGTATTTTTCTGGCTTTTGTAGATAAGCAAATATTTGTGCCTGGGATCAGGTTGGATTTTTATTACACATTTTGCTCATTTTAATGTCCTTGCAGGAGGGCAATCCCAAGTCATCTGCCTCGAGTTGTTTGTCTGGTCCTCTGATATTTACCCCCCGCCTCTTTCAACAATTTGGGGCGCATGTGTGCGGTGGGTTCGTACAATTGCGTGGGGGCATAAAGGAAAGCAAGTTCATCTATTTTTTATTTGCCCTCAGCCAGATGCTTCAATATCATTTATACACACATACATTTTTACGAATATGTATGCAAATGGATGTAGCTCATGTTATGCAGAGAAAAAGTATATTATTAAATTCTTCACGTGTGTTTTTGTATACTCTAGTTGGTTTTATAATTTTTCTGGTGAATGCCAAAACGTACCGTTCTACTATAGTTGGATTGATATTATTGCTCTATTGAATTTTTTTCTAAATGGCCTTTATACTTGTCCAATCGACGATTTTTATACCTTCCCGATCTTACATCTTCGTGTACTATTATTTGTAATTATTGACAACTATAATCTGACCAATTTATCGATTTTTTTAAAGGGCTAAAAAACACACATCACATCACCTTTTGCTAAAAAACAACTCAAAAATAATTTTATAAAATGGTATGCAATTTTGATGAAGATTGAAGGCCAAGGGAATTTACATTCCTAAATGGGTTGTCCTTTTAAAATCCAATGAAATTTTATAACTTGGCCAACAATGTGCTTTGTTTTGACTTCTTTTAGAAAATCAACCATAACTTCGCTAATACTTGTCCCATCGACAAATATTTTACCGTCCCGATCTTGTATCTTAGTATTTATTCATTCTCATAGTAACATTATAGTCTTGGCCCAAAATTGACCCAAATATTTTTATGTAATTTGGATGCAGATTAAAGAAAATTAGAACTCTGATTCGAAAATGATATTCCCCTTTAAAAAGAACATCCGTTACAAAACAAAATAATTGGAAAAATAATAACTAAAAAGTTTTATTTTTTTCACCCCATGTTTATGACTTTGCCAATGAAAATCTCACCTTTATTTATTTCAGGAAGTTAGATTTTTTTCTACTTATAATTTCTACTAAAACCTGTTGATCTAAAATGTTGTCCCAATTTATAGTAGTTATGTTTGTTAAAAAATCGAAACAAGATTTTATTTCTGTTTTATTTACCATACTTTGACGACGAATAAAGTTCGATGCTCTGATTTATAATTGGTAAGGTTTTTTTAAAGGCTATTCTGAAGGGTATAAAAACCTCGGCACCTACTTGTTTAAATTTTTTATCTCGTATATTGTATCTTCGAGTTTGTGTCCCTTTGCATTGTGAAAAATTCTAAGTATGTTATCCCAAAAAAAATCCTCAGCCAAGTAAATAATTGAATATTTATTTGATTCGTTTTTGGGACCAGGTTTGAAGGAGGATTCCATTGTTAGGCCACGTTTTTTCACAGCATCAAGTTAAATTACGTCCGCTGTCAGACATAATATTGCATATTACAACAACAATATGCGAACGTAACAAGGAAGAATAAAAAAAAAAAGATGGCTTACAGGAAGACCATAAGGAGAGTAGTCCTGACTTTCTGTTGGCAACCGCAAACCGGAAATTAAAACTTCACGGAGGAAAATATAGTACCATTTTTATATTTTCAGGAATAATATTGTATTTCTATGAACCTAAATATTGGAAAAAAGTATGAATAATTATATGTTTTCCAGTAGGTTAATATATAATCTTTTTTCCACGAATTAAGATAAAAATAAACTTGCCGTTTGTGCTGGGTAGAGAAAAACATTGTGTATCACTAGGCGTATGAGTAATTTTGCAATAATTATTTTTTAATAATATAATTGAATTAACCAAAATTCCCAAGACATTAGAATGGGTAAACCACAAAATAATAAATTGTATTTTTACAGAACTCATGCATGAGGCTTATTTATGTGTGGACTACTGTTTTGTGCTGGCTCTCCTGTGCATCCTTAGAGAAATGCAGTGTGGAAACAGAACCAGACAACGATTGCGGTGCTGGACAATTGTGTGGGCGTCTGTGTTTGCGTTAAATTGAATTCCGTCACAATTTTTAATGAACTCGAAATTCCTTGCACATTCAACGGCAAGGCCATGGCAGTTTCCCAACGCCCAGTCAGCTTGTCAAACATTTTTCAGAGCAGATAGACAATCGGCCGTGACATGTGTCTATATATATTTTTGGGTAAATTTAATTTCGCACAAAAGGCATTTCGCACCAACACTTACCTTTCTTTGAAAAGCTGCTGATGCTGCTGCTGTTGGTGCTGGTAGTGCTGCTGATGCACCTGCTGAATAATTGAATCAAATTCTGTCGAAACTCTGCTCAGCCTAATGCGTTTTTGCAGACTGTCAATAACAAAATCGTATCCAAGCTGAAACTCTGCCCGAAAATGCAATTAAGTGAAAGCCAAAAACACATACGGATCTGCTTATCAATATGCTTCAGTATTTATTTAAGTATTTCTCACTTTGCTTAAAAGTTTGCTTCTCGAGTAAACTCAGTTGAGAGATTTTCAATTTATACAGAATAGTGAAATCATGCTGAAAGGAAATGAAAGTCCCGAGATTGAAAGGTGTTAACTTAGGGTCACAGAGGTGAGGTGAGTACATATGGTGTTATTGATCTAAGCATATACAGGGACATATACAGATATACACAAAAACATTTACAGCTAATTCATTAATCTGGGGCTCTCGGCTCTATCTCTATATATATGTTATATGTAATGACAAACTCACATTCATTTAACTATATATATTTTACTGATACTTTTTTATCCATAATGTATTTATTCTTCTAGGCGTATTAGACAGAAACAATGAACTATAATTTTCCACTACAGAATTTAGCTTGACTTATGCTGTTTGAGATTCAATAATTTACACGTTAATTTTCTTCTATGCGGATTATGTAGTTCATGTTTAGACTATTAAATGCTTTCAGCATAATTGTGTCTTAAACTGGCATCCTTGCGCTGAAGGATATTGGAATGTAATTGCCGGACCTCTCCCTCTGTTGATTTTGTGAGCGGTTCGTTTAATTTGCTATAAATTTAATTGTATTTATGGTATTTTTCGGCATACATATTAATCGATTTGGTTTGCTTGACTTGCAACTTAGAGCTAGACAAAGGTTTAAGTTTCACTTAGCGCTTTCAAGGGTTCCTTAGTAAATTCGAAAGTGGGAGAGCAAGAGGTACAAAAGAGCCTTACATACAGTGTTTGGGTTGTTTACTATTAGGTTTTCGTCGATACATGACTTTGCCATTTAGCTTACGTCTAAAAACTTGGTAGTTTCTGTTTCCGTTTCCATTTCCATATCCGCTTCGATAAATCGTTCCAATATGTACTTTTTGGTAATTTTTTCTTAGCTGATATTTTAAGTTTTAAGGGGTTGCAGTTCCAAGCCCCCTCTATTTTTGCTATTTATTTACATAATTTGATTTCGAGTTTACTCGAACTTACGTGGCTAAAGGGGTACAGTTTACACAACGCAATCCATCTTAAGGTACGAAATAGTAAAGCAAAGGTACAGAATTCCCATGGCTCAGCAATGTTAGTGTGTGACTTTGTGTTTCTCTGGCTGAGTGTGCGTGATATGTGGCTGATGTTTGGTAATTAATAATTCAAAACTTTTCTGATATGCTTCAAAGACGCTAAACTGTGGTACGCTCAGGACAGCGGTGATGCGGTGGATGGTGGGGCCCGCTGTGCTAGTGGCTCCTCTGGGGCCCAGGGAGGCTGACTTTTCGGAAAAATGAGGCAGCACTTGCTGCAGCAGCTGCAGTGCCTGGACGACATTTGATGCGAAAATACAGCTCAACTGTGACCCCGGGGGATCGGGTATATACAGCCACTAATGCCCCGGATTTTCCGCACCATCCAACTCGGTTCAACTCGTTGCAACTCGGTGCGGTTGAGCTCAGCTCGGTTGAGGGAATGTGTCAACTTTTGCGTCGATTGTATGGCCATTAAACTATGTCGCAGCATTGGCAGTTTTGTAGCCTAACTTAGTGCGGCTGCTGTTGCCTACACTCGAAAAAATCTTATCAAGGTTATTGTCATGTTCCGATAAAATCGTTCTTAGTTTGAATAAAGTATTTGCCTGCCTGGCTTTAGCCTTTTGCCAAGATGATGTGACCTTTTCTTAAAAACCCAACATTTTTCCGAGTGTCCTTTATTCCATATTCGAATATGTCAACCATTTTTCGACATTTGACAACGCCTCGTTATCTCCTCTATGCCAGAAGCCAAAGTTTTATTTCTGCCTAAAAATTGCCAGAGTCACCCATGGAGGATACAGCAGAGGAGTGGGAAAGTTGACCCGGGCTGACAGCTTCAGCACTTAATGCAGCTAAGCCAGCTGTCAGTTGCAATAAAATCGGAGACTTTTCCGACTGCATTCTACTTTGCCAACTGGAAAGAAAAGGCACAAAGGCGGAGAGGTCAACGAGGGGACGGAGAGGTCGATTAGATAATTTGTTGATGCCACTCAGGACTAGGTCATTGTGAATTAATGGCCTAGACGCCGAGTTCGTTTGGCAAAAATTAATTTGATGGCTAGGCTGCGGTTCGGTTCGCATTTGTTCACTATTTATTTTATCAACAGCCTTTCCTTTAATTTGTGCCTGGTTTATTCATGCGATTCTGAAGCACTGAAAACAATTTTTTGTTCTC